TTCCTATCACCATCCCCCTCTACGGCAAATTCACTTGAATCATGGAACACGAAGGCAATTGGGTTTTATCCGCAGGCTGAGCCAGAGGGTTATATGGGCTACCAGTCTGTACAAATGGGTCAGTATCCAGTAGCCGTACCGCACGGTTCTCAGTCGCGTGCGTGTAACGTTGTTGCCTCGTGTTCATCGGATAAACTAACCGCGGTCTTTGTTCTTCGTCCCTAGGAGGGCAACTGGACTTGCAATCGCCCATCCTATACAGACGCAGTACCACGGCCTCATTGCGCATCACCATCAATATCAGGTCCCAGGCTCAGGATATCCTCCTTCTCCAAGCCCTCCTCATGGTGGCCTAAGTATCCCGGCTTCACCTCCTCCTCCTTCACCTGACATGTACGATCCCCTGTCCCCTCCACTCTCTGGCTCAGATACATCCGACGGGCTCTATCACGGATCGAATTCGAGCGGCGCTAACTCCCCATCGTCGAGCCGCGCCAACAGCCTCGTCCACCGTCACGTCCGTTACGATCCTACGCCATCACCCACCAGCTCAGTTGGTCGCCGCCGCCGCGGACGTTCCCAAGACTCTGACGACGACGAGCTGGCGCTCGTGTATTCCACGGAAAATCTGGCTCAATCGGAAGGAGGCGACGCGTCGCCAGCGCATCGAAGCCGAACAGCGCCGGCGCGACGAGCTGCGCGATGGCTATGCTAAACTGAAGGACGTTCTTCCCTTGTCCAATCAGAAGAGCAGCAAAGTGTCTCTTCTAGATCGAGGTACGTTCTCGTCGCGGATTGTATCTCGGTTGCCTCGAACTAATCGTCCGACTAGCGACATCGCACATCAGCTTGCTTGAAGGGGAGAATCAGGCCCTTCAGGATCGTGTCGCGTCCCTCGAGCAGGAGATCCATCGTCTGCAGACATTGAACGAGAAGCTCGCTGGTGCTGGGACGTCACTCGAGCCGGCCTCGCCGGGAATGTACGACGGACGTCCGTTGTCTCCCCTCCCGAGGCACCGAACGCACGAACTCATTCCGCCGCGAGCTTTGCCGATGCATCCGGAGTAGTTGATCCCTCCGAAGAGGCTCACCAGACCACCACTCCATCCCCGTCTGATGGAGGGTCTGAAGGAGCTCTGGCTCTGTTTGTCCCGCGTCCGCTCCATTTCCGTCCGTGTCTTTTTGCTTGCTACGTCTCAGACATTTCTCTTGCACCACCATATCCCACGCTGCACATTTATCATCATCACACACCGCATTTCAATTCCTTATCATCCAAGACCGTGTCACGAGCCCGGAATCACGCCCAACAAAGAAGTCGACGCCAGCCATCCGATCGTGCTATGCGCTTGCCGCGTGGCCCGTGCGAAATCCGATGCATCGTCGCACGCTGCCTCGTGTCTGATCTCGTTGATCGAGGATCGAGACATCGATGCTGCCAGGTGTCTGCCAGCCTCTGTGAGGCTTCGCTCGCGTTTGGCTCGCTCCTGCCATTTTGTGTTGGTGATGGGATTGGATTGCGCTTTCTTGGTTGCGCCACGAAACGGCTGGCCTGTGCTGCGATCGGATACAGCAGGAATCCATGCACCCGAAGAATGTCTCCTGTGCTCGGTCTCGATCGCACACAACATACAGCGGGACTGTGTACATACCACGTGGTCGCTGGATAAGCTCTTCGACGGCTGCCGATGAGATCACGACAACCCTTACGCTCGCTTTTCCCTCCAGTCAGGGAAAGGAGGCTACGACTTGGCCGGCACCGGACTAACTCATTCTTCTCATCTTCTCGACGGCTGTGCTGTCGATGAGGGATTGGTCGATGAGCTGTGTCCTCTGCTCGGTCCCTTTCACGATTCTTGACGAATGATCCATTGCCACACAAATGTACCACCCGGCATGTACTACTAGATGTAGACTCGCGCATGTATGATCGATACCTCAGCGTTCTGTCTGAAAATGTCTGTTTTTTTTTACAACCAGATCTCTCCGATGAACTAGGACATTGCAGCGGATGCCAGGAGAGTTCCATCCGCCGTTCTTTTGCGCACTGCTGCCACTTCGATTCGGAAGCTTGAGGCAGACTCACGCGTTTCTCACGTGCCTCGCGGTGTGGCGTCGATCTAGTATTAGGTTCCCACCTCAAGCTTCAGAACGTTCCAGCTTGTTAAGTGGGGTCAAGCCGCCACACGAGGTAGAGCACGAGTGCCTAGGTACAGTCTTCAGGCATTCATAACAACTCTCTGACATGGAAATTTCGTGGCCGGGCACGGCGACAGATGCTGTTATAAGCAAGTTGTTGTTTCGCCGAAACGATGTTGATTGGATTCTCATGAACCCATGGCTCAAGCGACTTTCACTGGCAGCTCATCTGCCTGGATCTCAGCAGCGGCAAATTAAGCAATCCGTGCTCCCACTATATCCAAGCGCAGTCCTGACCTTCGAGGAGAACGCAGGGTGTTAAATTTCCGTGCAGTGTTCGCGATTGCCATGGGAGATTCAGTGCGATGGTTTGGGATGATGATATGGTAGATGACGATTATCTGCTGTGATCTTTGCATTGCGTGATTCCGAGTGTTTTCAAGCCCTTTATTAGACAGCACATGGGTACCTCTGAACGGAATTATATACTTGATGTTCACGCATGCCGAAAGCCGCAGACTGACGCTGAGATCCAATGCTACTGTGTCATTAAAATTACTGAGTGTGAAGATACAGCAGAGAACGGTATACAAGGCAAGTAAATAAATACGGCTAGACTGCCCCAGAATCAACGTTCGCGTAAGGAAAGCTGAGCGTCGCGCCCATCTTCGGCGACACGATCTCGAACGCAGACGTGTCCAAGATCGTCGCGCTTTCATGCGTGTCGTCCGACGACGAGACGTCATGCTCTCCTGCGTCCTGTGCCGCCAAGACGACGACGTCTCGGTCGTCGACACGCTCTGCATCTTGGCACTCACCCGCCGCCGGGCGATCGCCGCCGAATTAGGCCGGGTTCGCGGCGGCGATTGCTGCTGCTGGGTAGCCGGCGGCACAAACTGGTCCGGGATCTTCGGGCTCGGCGGGATATCAAACCCCCGTTGAGTGACCCGTGGGACGACGGGGGCGGCGACCCCGTGACGCTCCCCATCCGCGTCCGGTTGAAACTTGTCGCCGAGGGCGTCAGCGGCGCGGGCACCCCACCGGTCACGTTCGCCGCTGCCTTCCACTTGAGGATCGACTTGCGGGTCGCATTCCTGTCGCGTTCAGACGGAAGCGGCGCAGGTGTTGGGTTCGGTGGACTCGAGCTCGGTGGCGGTGTCTGAGTGTGGGACCGGCTGCTGGTCGCTACGGAGGAAGTGAGCGATGCCTTGCGGGTGGGATATGGCGACTCCTGGTCCCATTCCAGGTTGTCGCTCGATGTCTTCCGGGACATCGGCCCGGCCTTGGCTGCAATGATCGGCGCACGATTCGTCGATTGCAGCATGGGTGGAGGGACCATGTACTGGCCCGGACGGAACTGAGTTGGCGGCATCGGCATCTCTTGCGGTGGTGGTCGCGGTGACAGCCGCGGTGACGGCGGCACCGGCGGCGGACTTGAAGGGAAAGAGCCCATGATGGGCGTCTTGGGTATCGGGACCTCAACCTCCACATCGGGAAACTGCATTTCCTCCATCGACGGTCGGTTCGGCCTCTGTGGCGGAAGGGGTGGTGATAATGGCGAGAATGCGTTCTCCAAGACAGGTGAGATGACTGACACAGACGGCGAATTCTTGTGACTCTTCCTCCAGAGGCTCTTAATCCCTTTCACGCTCATGATCGTTCCCCGGTTGCTCTGCCTCTCAGCTAGCCCTCTCAAGGACTCCGTCGAAAACCGGCTCAATGATCCTGAAGTCGTAGATGTCGATCGCTTGCGCTCAACCTTCGGCGCTTCGGCCGGCTGCGGCGCAGCACCCGGAGTAGGACTCCGAGCGGGGACGACCGCCGGGGCGTCCCAATACGACTGCGACATGCGTCTGGTATCATTTGAGGAAGGGTGTCGCCCAAACGGGTCAGGCGACAGAGGAAGCAACGGCGAGTTCAGCGAGGTCTTGGCTTCGATCGCAGGAGTGAACGCTGGATACGCCTCAGCGTGCTCTTGCTTTCGCATGTCGGACTCGGACGGACTGGGGCTCGGCCCAGCACGGCTGTTGGCGCGGAACCGACTCGGCATAGAAGTGCTGACCCCGTTCAGCGCTAGTCGCGGCGCCGTACTTGCTTGTGATGGTGCACGGTCTGGAAGCGCATTGAACGGAACAGCAGGCCAAGCTTGTCGTGTCAGGTCCTCACTTGAACAGAACTGAGACACTAGTCAAAGTAGATAAAGAATGCCCACTCACGTGTCAGACGAGTCCTCATCAGCAGGATGGATGTCCGAGTAGCTCGCAAGTCGGGGAGTGGGTGGAAGCACATCAGAGTTGTTCAATTGTGGAGATAGGGTAGGCTGGCTGGCAATTCGCGCCAGAGATAACGACTGTTCATCCTCCAGCTCTGACTTGAGTTTTCGCGGTGAGAATTGGGCCAAGTTCTTGAAGATCTCAGCAAAAGTGCTCTATCAATAGCGAAGGAACGCACCCGCTCTATCTCGTCAAGCTGAGCATGGAGAATGACTTGGCTCTTGCGCCGGTCATTGGGGTCGTCGAACTGTAGAATGAAATGAGTCCCAAACTGAGCTCTCGAGAGCAGCTTGGACCCACCTCGACATCAGAAGTATCGAATCCGAAATCCATGTCATCATAGAATCCCCACCGCGCTTGTCCGGATCATACAAGCTCTTGCGAGGCATATCCGCATCGGACTGATCCTCCGGCGCCTCGTCAAGGTACGGCAGCATCACCGGCTCCTTCTCCGCAGGTTCATGCATCTCATTCGGTGTGCTAGGGGTCGATAGATTCAACGGCGACGGCGGGGGTGCGCGTTTTTTCGACGTCGAGCTTGAAATGCCAGTGACATCATCCGCAAGTTCGGACCGGCCAAGAAGCCTCACGATCTCTTTCAGGTCTTCTTGCGGCTCCGAGTCGTCGTCAAGATCATCCTCTCCCCCGTCCGCATTGTCCTCGCCGAGCTCACCAGCACTGAGCGCCAGCTGGACGATGTGCGGGTTCGTAGGCCGTTCGAAATACTCGGCGTTCTCCGCATGGACTTCTGCCCATGTGTCAGCATCGGAACCAAACACGTCGGCGAGTGGGTCCTTGCCTGTCTCGAGGGCGTCCTCGTCTTCCATGGGTGAAGGGGACTCCGACAAAGGAAAATATTGGACCGGATCTGGTGGCAGCGACCCAGGGCTCCCGTTCTTCTCGCGCCCGTTCAGCCTCAGCTCGAGCGGTGGTTTGAGCATCCGGCCGTGCTCCTCCACCGACGACTCATCCTCTCGCACATCACTGTTCTTTCTCTTTGCGCGGTTCAACCGCCGACTCCTCAGCCACGGGTCATACCACGCCGCTCTCCGTCGGTCGATATCAAACTCGACCTTGGCAAGGATAGGAATCAACGAATCTGTGTGGAGCCCGGGAAGATCCAGCGAGTCCGCGCGCGAGGTGTCGGGCGTTTCAGCCTCAGACGGTGATCGGGAGGAGGACGAGGGCGGTGCCGACTTGGTCGCGCTCCTGTTTCCAGGGAGGTCCGACGCGGTAGACGGTGTTGTCGGTGAGGGCGAATACGGATAACTAGGCCGCGGCTGGACGGGATGCAAGCCACCCGGAGTCGGATTCGACGCAAGCAGGGGAATAGGATAGGTTGTGGGATAGGGGGAAGAACGCCCATTACCGAGCAGGGGGGGCGCGAGAGATATGCCCTCCTCGGTCTTCAGTACCCGGTTCCAGAGATGGCGCCAAACATCCTCTGATAACCGTGGCCCGGGCTCATCAAGTTCGTCCGTCACCGACTTTCCGGTGTTCTCTGCCGGCGGACTTCGGGTCTGGTTCACCAGGTACAGAATCAATCCTGTGGTACTGGGGAGCGCATATTCCTTGGCGATGGCATTGAGCTGCGACTGGAGCGTCGAATGCACCGCAACAAGCGTCCCGCGCCGGAATTGGGTGTGATATCCCGAGGCCGACGAGGGTGGAGGGGTCAGGCCCGTGTCGAAGGTGTCGGTGTCATGTGGGAGATTGAGAGGAGGGATGACATGGAGCAAGTATTTTGAAGAAGAAGCGGACGCGAAACCGAACGAAGAAGCAGATGATGGTGTGGGTGACCTCCGGAATTGGTCGAATCCGGAGGGGCCGGGGAGCGGATGCACATGCGCGTACGATGAGGACGATGACTGCGATGGGGGAGCGTGGATGGCCGGAAGTGGCGTCGATACACCCAATGCGTTGGCCAGTCGTGCGAGTCGATGAGGCGGAAGGGGGTGCTTTGGCGGAAGCCAATTGGGGGTGGGTGCAGATTCGTCGGCATCAGTAACGCTTGACATCGTAAGTATGACTAGTCAAAAAAGCTTTAGGTGTAGATGACGGAGTAGATTCTCGGGGGAAGCAGCGAAAGTGTGGTAAAGAGTGTCGGAACTGTCGTTCACCGAACAAGCACTGGCATAAGGGTGTCGTATCGAGTTCCTGGCTTGAGCTACCTGCAGCGTCTCCGGCTCCGGGATGAAAGGTAAGCGCGCGCGTCGAGTTGGGGGGAATAGGCACAAGGGCTTGGTGGGTCTTCAGGGCAGAAAGTAGCCTTGAGCGGTTGTTGTGGTAGCTATTCGTGGATCGTCGCGGGAAGCTCAACACGCGGTTCCCAGCACGCGGAATGTTCCCAATGCTAACCAAAGCGAGGGATACGTAGAAACAACACCACAGGACTGCAGCACGCTGAGAGGCGGCAGGAGCAGCAGGAGGGTGAAGGCGGTAGACTGGGAAATAGAGAAAAACACCCAGATTCAGACTCTCGATCAACAACCACTTGATCGTTTGATCACCACACATCGCTACCGATGCTTCGTACATATTTGGACTTCCTTCTCTCTCCCACGCAGTGCCTCTGGTCGTCACTCTCACACTTTCTCGGAGCTCTCTGTATGGAATGGCATTTATCCTCTATTGGGACACTCAATGGCGGGCTCGTCAAACACGGTCTCAATTGTTCGCGACGTAAGAGTCTAACTGCCGATGATCATCACATTTCTGCATACTCCTTGACGTATTGTCCGTATGAGCACAACGTGCCCCTCGACTACCAGCAGATCCCAGCTCCGTCTCTATCGACTTGTCAATCATGCTGCGCACCATAAAACGTGTGTGACTGACGCGTGCACATGCGCTCCGGCATCTAGCGTTCAAGCCTACTTACCTTGTCCGGCGTCCGAACTGTGGAGCAATGTCAGGGCTCATCGGCTTCAGCGTTTTTCGTTGGCCAGAGATATGGCCGAGAGGAGCTCGACCTGCTGAAGGTATCTCCTGTAACAAAAGATCCCCTAGCTCACACATCTTCCTCCTAATCATTGCGGAGCCGTACTGCCGAACCTCATTTCATTGCTTTCCTGCTGTACTGCCGATCCATCTGTCTAGCTCATCCTTGATCCCGTACCATCAATCTGCGTTCGCAAAACTCCGCATGTGAACGTCGATCGTCGGAGGCAGCTTGGACATCTTGGCATGAAGACATGATCCATTTTCGAATCAAGATCCGGTCACGGAGTGGCTGGACGAAGATGTGTTATGAAACAAGCCTCCCAATCGCCACTCAGAGAGTCTCTCTCAATTTTGACCTACAGAGGACTCAGTCCCCGTCTCTCAGGATCCGTTCCATGGCACAGAATAACCACTTATCGTGTGGGGGCCGAGACGTCGGTTCCGATCAGCAATAGCGCATCAACGTGTTCGACTAAAATACATGATCCTCGGATGTATACCCGCCCTCGATTACATATGCAATAACATTGCTAGTTGTCAGTGCTAAGTGCTATAGAACACTTACCACTGAGTTGATATTCATTACACAATGCCATCCGAACGGATAGCACATTGACCGAAATCCTGCAAGCCAGTCTGAGCAAGTGCGCAGGTCGTCTATTGACAACGACTGACCTTCTTCGTGAAGCCTTCTGGTTTGGGAAGTATATCCTGAGTAGACCGGAGTTTAGCGTTTAAAAGATGAGATAATATGAGACGGGTAATACATGGTCAAAGATTCCAGTCGGGATTCCGATAGTAACGCATGCGTTCGGGGAGTCCTGCGCGGAGTCAGCCTGAGAATCGAGATTCGAACTTGTGTCACCCACCACTACAGCCCCGACATGACTCTCAATTGGAGCTGCCGAGAGCAGCAGATCTGGAGCTGATTCAACAGGTGAAATGGACATCGCCGACATCGGCTCACAAGCTTGTTCGCGAGCTGCAATCTCGTGAATTCGAGTATCATCAAGAGTTGAAACACTCACTGTATCCGACTTTCATCAAATACGCAATCGCATTCAGTGCAGCTTGCTTGTAAGCCACCGTCGCGTCCATGTTGTATTGTTTTCCGTCCCCATCTGTGTGTTCAGGCAATTAGAATCCAAAACGGTGTCCCATGCTGGACTGACGGTAGTCGACGCTGATTCCCTCGAAGACCACTTTGGCTGAGTACATCGGATCGACGGGAGAGGGCTGGATTTGAATGTGAGACTGTTGCAGTCATCTACAAATGACCACCGACAAGGAAGATAGGCTGTTTCAGAGCGAACTTCTCCACTCCGCCTTTGATAATGCTTGTACTGAATGTGATGATTCCGGCCTGGAAATCGAGTTCAACTGCAGAGCGCGGCGTTAGTGAGCCACTTGCCATTTCGATAGCGCCACAGAAAGAGAGCTCGAATAGAGTAAGTATATGGATCCAGTGAACAGCAAGAATCCACCTCTCCCTAGTGAGCTGTGAGATGGGTCGGAATTGGAAGACATTCTGCTTACATCTCCTTGCGAGAAATGCAAGTCCCCAACGGACAGATTCGCACCCTTGATAAAGACAGGGAAGTAGCATCTCGACCCTTTGGACAAGTTCTTGATGTCACAGTTTCCGCCGTGCTCGCGTCCTGGAACCGTCCTAGCCCCTTCTTCAAGAATCTTCTTCATAACCTCGGGGTCGAGATCCTGGCCAACATAGGCTCCGACCGCGCTCGGCGCAAAGGCGACAGGCGGCATCGCGTTCGGATGTTCGGCGATCAGCGCGCCCTCGCGTTGATTCCACGTCGCCAGGAGCTCAGCAGAGGGGGCAGTCCCGATGAGACCCGGGTGCGATACACCGGCGAACCGGACACCCGGGATGTGGCGTGAGGACGCATACACGCCTGCGTTGATACGAAATGTCAATCTCAAGCCTTCGGCGGCTGTGCGAAGACAGACCGTGGAAATCCCAGATGGCCTTCGCGGCTTTGCTCTCGAACTCTTTCGCAAACAAACCACCGCCGTTGCTCAGTTCGAAGATGCCAGTGTAGCCCCAAGGCATCTTTTCGAACGGTGTAACGTCTAGAATGTCCACCACTAGGCAATCGCCGGGTTCTGCACCTTCGACTGCGATCGGACCGGAAAGATTGTGCACCTTGCTCAGGTCGACGTCCTTGATGTCGTCGCTAACTAGGCAGATAGGCATCGTTGGACCAGCGAAATGAGTGAGTGCAGCGGCGCATACAATCATTATTCCCGATTTGCGCGCCCGTCCAATCGACACATTCGATCTTGAAGACTTGGCCTGGTTTGACTGTTGCGACAGCTGGGATATCGGGGCTGCCGAGATATTATCAGAAGGGCTTGTGCACGAAACCGACGATAGACGTACTGCCACCGATTGTGCAAACCCTATGGTTGGGCTGAGTCGCGCAGATGAGATACAGAAGCAGAAACTACCTTCTGTTGGTCCGCAGGCCTTCATGACCAGTATCAGCAAACCCCGCCGACGCGTCAGATCGTTGACACTCACACAAAGGGATCAACCTATAGCAATGAGAAAGATCGACACGGATATTTAGTAGCAGAAAGACACACCTGAATCAACGTAGGATGCGGAACTGAGTTCGCTTTCGTAGCCATTGTGGAAGGGAAGAGAAGAGGATGCTATCAGCATTCTCGAAGACCACTCAAAGGCACTGATAAGAGTGGGGCGTTCTGGCTATCTGTTCTCATAAGAAGCTATGATTTTCCACGGGAGAAAGATGGACACTGGACAGGGTCATGAGATCATAGACACTTCAGAGCCCTCATAGCCACAGACTTGATAGCCGAATCTAACCGACCGTCCGAGCTACTTGTGGCTACATATGACATGTGGCTGCAAGGGCATGTTTGGCCAGCTTGTCTAGCCAAAAGCTGGCGGCGCCTGGTATGACAGCACGCGTTTCTTCCAATCCAGTCGAACGAAGGACGTTTGTGAGCAAACTATTTCCGTTCGATGGGAACCGCATCGCTCTGAGCATGAGCGTGCACTGCATCCATGGTGAAGAACAGCATACTATCTGTTGTCGCTGTTGAGCGTGCGAGCGCCGTGCACCACGGGGAGAGCCATCTCGGCTTAGGTTAGGAAGATCCATAGTCATGCAGTACGGTGTTCTGATCAGATTGGCCCTGGCAGTGCGACTTGGAGAAGAGCTGCGAGAAAACGGACGATCAAATCACATCACATGCGACCAAGTACTACGAACACATCCGAGTTTACTCTCTCCCTTCCGAAACTATGTGTCTGGCTGGATCTTCACGGCTTTTCATCTGCTTTCATCGATATTCTACGGCGACCAATGGACACATGTGCGTCTTCTGGGACCGACATTATCTAACAAGTGCTTGATCCCATCCGTCAATCTCCTGGAAGCGTCAATAGACTGCATGCCCTGGGATGCGCCGCCGGCCAATCTTGGTTCCGTCCGAGCTTGCGTTGGCTTTCTTGAGCCCATGTGTCGAAATCCGCCACTTCGGCGTCGGGCGCTCGTTGGCTGTGAACTGTGGCATTGTTCCACTGAGGCAGTGTGTATGGGGAAACGCTGCGCAGACACGGAGCCGAGTAGTTTCCCTCCTGCCTTTGATCATGTCACAAGTTGACGAACATCAGGCCGAGAAACGAGACACCGATGAAGCAACTCTCGAGCGCGAGAGGGCCAGCGGCAACAAGCTCTGGAGCGTCTACATCTACGAGGCGCAAAAGTACGATCAAGGCCTTATCGAGGGCTGGCGCAGTGAGATGGATGGACTGTTGATCTTCGTGCGTCCCCTGTCCATTTCCATTCAGAGTCTCTCCCTGAATGTGACTCAGGCCGGTCTCTTCTCCGGTGTTGTGACGACATTCATCATCGACAGCTACAAAACGCTGAACCCCGACTCGGGCAGCCAGACCGTCGTACTGCTCAGCCAGACCGTTGCACTCCTCAGCGAGATCTCGTCCCAGCTTGCGAGCATGAACAATGCCACGGCGGTGGCAGATGCACTACCTCCCCCCGCTGCCTTTTCGCCCCCGGTCTCATCTCTCGTCTGCAACGCACTTTGGTTCGCCAGCCTCGGGCTCAGCTTGTCAAGCGCACTCGTTGCTACACTGGTCAAACAGTGGGCGCAGGAGTATCAGCACCGCACATCGATGTTCTCCTCACCCTCTGTGCGGTCGCGTGTATATATGTATCTCTACTATGGTTTGCGCCGCTTCAACATGCACGCCGTTGTTGGCGTTCCTCCGCTTCTCCTGCACGGGGCACTCCTTCTGTTCTTTGCGGGTCTAGTCGCATTTCTCGTGCCCATCAATATCTTCATTATGGCCATAATATCCGCCCTGCTACTTCTCTTCATCTTGGTCTACGGAACATTCACCGCACTCCCCTATTTTTCTTCAACAGCCCGTACCAGACACCACTCACGCGAATCCTCTGGTCGCTGAATCAGAGCTTCCGAAGCGTGCTGAGGGCTTATGTTCGAAACAGAGCGCCTCAGACCGACAGTGAGGCCCTCGCGGGATCTCCGGTACCTGGAGACACTCGTCCTCAGAACCAGAGCATGGTGGACGCCCTGAAATGGGCAGCACTGCATCGTCCTAGAGAGGCTGCTGTCAAGACCGAGACTCGGGCTGTTGCTTGGACCATGCGCGCTCTCTCTGACGATCTTGAATTTGGGCCATTTGTTGAGAGTCTTGCCGAAACGCTGTGGGACTTTGATATAGCGAAGCCACGTAGCGTATATCAGGCGCATTTCGAGAATCTATTGCGGGATCCGCAAGTCCATCTCTGCCAGCGACTTGCGGATTTTATGGCTGGCTCCAACAGTAATCTGCTCGACCCCAAGGAACGCGTCCGCCGCCAGCTCTCCGTACTTCGGGCCATCTGGGCGATCTGTGCTTTCTCTCTTCACATAGGGTCGCCTTTAAGAAGTCCAATTGGAGACGCCGATGTCGACAACGCGCTGCTCGGCTCGAAATTTTGTCATTCCGACGAAGTGCAGAGCATGCTTCCCGACGTGTCCGCTCTGATCCGTCTGAACACGATTGAGTCTCAGAGCCGGGAACACGCCCCCACAGAAAAAAGCAACTCCGACGGTGACATCCGCGCCGAAGCGAAGAAGCGACGACAAGCAGACATGCATCGCACGTACGCGCAGTATCTGGTGGCACTTTCCAAATGCGCTGCCAGCTTTCAACGAGATGTGACCAACTCACTGTTCCACCAGTCACAAATGCTCTTCAAAGTCGCGGATGGCTACATCAATCTGCATTGGAGTCTCCAATTGGTGATCCGTTCAGCATCGGACGAGACAGCGGACAATCTCGTTTTTGCTGCTCGCCAGATCATCACCCCGTTTGCCCAGACATCGGACTATCCATGGTGGCTGAATTTGTTCGGTCTTGGGCCGTTCCTGGTCCGGCATCCATCCCTGATTGCCTCCGACCCAAAGTCCGACTTACAGCCTGCTTCGAAGTATCACTACACCCGATACTTGTGCCACACTCTATGCGAGAACTTGGAGCGGCGATTAGATCTCCCGGAATCTGTCGACGCCCTCCAGCTGATTTATCGGCATTTGCTCCAGTTTGACGAGCCACCAAGAGACCTGGTAACCCATCTTTTGGTCCTCCGCACTCTGCAGAATGAAACCGCCGACATCCGCACACATCGTTTGGTTGCCATCGTCCAGTTTGTTGTGCTCAGATGTTTCTTGCTGGATTCGTCGGAATTGGGGGATATGTCGGAATGGGAGAAATTACCAAGTATCTTCGACGACAAGGACTGGTTCCGCGCCGTGATCGGTCTTGACAACGAGAAACGGACGGAGCGGGCATTGGCACGGCAAATCTATGACTGTGCTCATGTGGGTGTTCTGACCACTTTCATCGAGCATTGTACCACTGGCACCTGGAGTCCGGATCAAATAGAGCAGGACCTGAACTTGGAGACGTTCAAATTGATACCCTACGCATTCACCCACATTTCTTCGATGATCCCTACTGAACTGCAACATCGTTTCGCCGACGCGGCCTCTGCTTTCATCCGCAAATATCCGAAGGACTGTCTTCTGGGTGTGGATGACTTGTACTCAGTGCTTCACTGGGCCGTCAAGGAGGATGTTGGGTGGATCACCGATGTTGATGCATTGCAGGTCCTGGACGCGGCTGTGTCGGAGGTGCAGACAGACAATCAGCAGGAATCACACCAGAGACATGCTGAATGGATCCGTGTGCAGATGCAGAAGCGGCTCCTTCTCCCCGAGATCATTTTTGCTGCCTTGATCTCGCTCATGAGTGACGGAGAGTGAAGGAATCATCGGTCTTCACCCCTCTTACGGAAAGGCAGAACACAAATTGGAGAAACCGCTACCCGGAAGGTCCCTGAGGAAAAAGATGTAGATGGCACTGCACAGTCAGTCACAGTAGATAATCATTTTCTACAATACAATCCCAAATCATTTCACCTCCAGTAAAATAGCTATGGAAGTCAGCCAAAGGGTGAACTATATACTCTGTCTTGAGCAACACTGTTCCCTGAGGAAGCTTTGCTGATGAAGCAGATCAACATACTCCTCCAATGTTTCTGGAGGACGAGCATGGGCGATGGATGAAGCCACTCATATTGGATCGTCAGATAGCTCCCAACAGCGATGATGACTCTTTTCGTGCCATAACTTCAGATGGCTCTATCCAGCGGGGGCGGGGCCGAGGCCAGGTATATTCATCAGGGTATCTAGTCGTGGGAAATAAAGGCATTAGATCCCTTGATATTGAGGAACGAATACTGTGAAGCAATCAGTGACCAGCCCAACGAATCCGGACACACCGCACCTCAGCCAAATCCGCTGAACTCTCTCGATTATAGTTGTGGTACACCAGATTCGGCTGTGAAAGGCGTTAGATCGTCCTTGAGCTCCACAGTGCAACGAACTTCTGATAGCTTACCTCGTCCTTGAAAGGCCTTAACCCTGCAGCCTCGAGCATCTCCCACCACGCAATCACATCCACGAACGACGACATCTCCCACAGATGGATTTCCACCAGCAACTGTCCGAATGGCAGCGGGCGGCCCGATGTGATATATGGCATGATCAGGTCAGTGAGCGTCGCGAATTCGGCGTGCTCGATGTCAATTTTGAGGATATCGATGTGCGTGTGACCGTTCTGTTTCATGAGCGTCTCGAGCGTGTGCATGATGGGTGGTGTATGCGTCGATTCGGATGAGGAAGAGCCCGCCAGGCCATAGGGGAAGAAGTGAGTGCGGGGAAGGAGGCCGGAGGGAATCTGCGGCCCGAAGGAGGTGACGGCAGGGTCGTAGCCCCACACCTCACACCCATGCGTGGTACTGAGAAGGTCGGCTTCAAAGGACGACTCGTAGTTGATGCCTGTGGGAGAAGGCGCGTCTGCACAGGTAGCATTTCCATCCTTGGCAAGGCGTACCAACAGAGTAGACCACACATTCCGACTTGGACACTAGGCGCGAGACACCGCATACCCACTTCCCGCCGTCTGCAAGAGCACCGAGGCGCTGGACTTCATGCGGGCAGTTGAACGCTGAGGGGAAGAAGTCCCCTGGAAATATGGATGACTGAATTGTAGGTGGATCGGCATTCGCGAGCTGGGACTACTCACAGACTGTGTATGCAGGCCAGGGCTTTACGTCTGGAGGAAATCTAGGAGCCATGCTTCCGTTGAGATGCCTCACCAGCAGTTCATGACGTACAACACAATGTCCTTCGGAGTAGGCCCGAACTTCTTGATCTGCGTTTCATGGTAAGTTTCGTCGGGAGTACGTCCTGCCTTCCGGACACGTCGTAGTGACTCGCCAATTTCCTCCTCGCTTCCAGCATACGACTGTAAATCTGCTCCGACTGTACCAGGCGTGTCGAGAGGTCATGTGCGTGTATAGCGCGATTCCAGGCCGGCGCGGCGGGACGTAACAGCAAGAAGAATGTGCCAGAGACGACCACGAAGATGAATGTAGCGTAGAGCGGGTGGCGGCGGCAGACGTTCGTCGCCATAAATACGGGCGGTTACGGTCGAAATGGAGACTCTCGCTTGGCAAAATGCTGATTGATCCAGCTGATGTGATTCATGATAAGATAGTGAGGCCTAAGGCCTGTTCGTGTCACTCGGGAAGGACCTCTGGGCAAGTGGAAACACAAAACTACGGTGGACATCATCAATAAGGATATGATGGCGCCTTAGCGTCCATGTGAATTCTGTACAAATCTAGAGAACCAAAACACTCTCGTCATAAGGACAAGATGGCTAAAGCGAGGCAGGAAAATGACAGCAGAGATGGCAGTATCGAAGGAGGCGAGATCCCTGCACCAGAAGAGGCAGCCGCTTTAGACGCAGACGGGGAAGAGGACGGCACAATGGAGGGTATGGACGAAGTTGCGAATCCCGATGACGTTGACGATGTTGTTGTGGATGTCGCTGACTTGGTGGCGCTGGCAGAGGTTGGAACGTGTGATGTCGATATTGGGGCAAAAGATGTGTGGATCGTGCCGACAGTGATCGTCGATCCCGCCACACTGCCGATACTAGCCGGGGCCAAAGTGGAGGGTATAGGGATGGAGCTTGTCGCTGAAGCGAGCGGGGAAGCAAAATTTCCCGACATGCCGTTGAGACTGAGTGAAGTGATCAGCCGCGTTTACGGTGTGCAAGGAGAAGAGACAGACGTGATCGACGGAGAGAAGGCGGCATAGGCAGTACCATTGACCTTCGCGGTCGTGGAAATGAAGGAGATATAGCTGGTGATGTCATAAGAGAATGTAGCGACTTCAAAATGATTTCACACGCACTAGTTCTTCGAATTCGGCCCTGCCTCTGCATCGGGCTGTTCGAAGACTCAGAGAGAGGGGGATGTGCAAGACAGATTAGACGAACAGTGAATTGAAATGAGTGGGATTCAGAAACATCGAGAGGCTCGATCGATTGGACCAGTTGCTAGAGGTAAACTGAACTTGACGCGTCGCGTGGAATAGGGGCTCACACACCTGATTAGCGGTATACAGTCCGACAGTGACGACGCCAATATCCGCGAGAACAGGGATATTTCCGTCGTCCAGCCACTGGAGTGCGCAGGATTGGCCACTCGTGCATGTGATGCCACCGGATGGCTCGACAAACTAGGGAATGTCATCAGCTCGCAACTCGATGAATCGCAGCGGGGTGATGTACATATACACCAGCGCTAACAACTAGAGCGCAATTCAGGGCCACAAAGGCAGCGAGTGAGGTTGAGGGGATCATATCCGAGTCAACAAATTATGTCACAAATTGCGGTTTTATCGAGGATGTGCAAAAGGGCGCGCAAAAAGAGTGTGATTTGTTCTCGGGTCGTTGTGACGAGTGTGAGATGAGAGCTTGCTGACCAGAGCTTCCGCGGACCTAGCGCATATGCGAGAGTGAAGGAGAGTCGTAAAAGGATCGTCAATGGTCACAACGGAAGTTGGTTGCTTTGGTTGCAAGCCGCGTCAATCAAGGCGTTCTCATGCTGTCAATCATGATGTCGATCAAAGAATCATGATTACTACAGTTACTGCCAAAGCAGCAGCTACGATATTGAGTTTTAGGCGGGGCTGACGGCGGTCACGCAGACTAGCTCAATGAGTGAACCAATGTTCGTGATTTGTTGCGCAACGTGAAAACATTCTGCAGGTGTGAACGAGCCGAAAATAGATAGATCCAAGCAACGGAGCAATGTAGCTCAACTGTGACGAGGATGGACTGCAATTGGGGAATAGGGCATAACGTTCTTGCGCTTCAGGCTAGAACATGGAGCAGAAGTCAATGTAGGTCGCAGTCGGAGGTGACCATGAGCAGAGGATCTCTGATTAGCCCAAGCGATGACCTAACTCATGACGTAGTATTTGACCAACTTTTTCTGATGTCCCAGGCTGCCATCAGTTCATCGCGTCGCCGGGCGACCCCTTCAGGTTGCCCTGCTCTTGGCCACCCACCGTCACCTTTGCGCTCGATCCTGGGCGCTTGTGATGTTCGCGCGACTCACAGCCATCGCGTCTCCTCTCACTGGCTCAACCAAGTCGTCCCCAATTTCCATTCACGACTCGGTGCCTTTCCCCGATCGCAAAGTTTTGCAAGAAGAGAAACCGCTGCCCCCAACGCCCGGTTTGCGATTCGCTCGCGCAGGCTCGTTGGAATACACTGAATACGACCAACAAGTGCCGCCGACGCCCGGTCTGAAACCCAGTCCTCCGAGCATCGCTCAGCTCGCGCTTCCCTCACCGGAGGAAACTTCGCCATCCAGCTCATCAAATACATCGCATGAACCTTCGAACTTGAATGAGCTCGTTAAATATGGCGTCTCATCACCCAAGCGTCCGAATAGGCTGCGAAAGAAGGCCCCGCCGTCGAGCTATCCGTTTTCCTTTATTCCTGATGACCCGTCACCGACTGTCAGCTTCCCATACGCCTTTCACCGCTCCTCCCCCACCAGCCGTTCAAGCAGCTTCATCTCTCCACCCAGCCGCTCGATGTCTGTGAATGGTATTGCGCGGATCACTCGCAAGCTCACGAAACGCCGACCTTCGTCGTCAGAGCCTACCGACGCGGCTGTTCCGGATGATCAAAACCCGCGTTTCGAAGAGGATCAGCCGGGAATCGCCCCTCTCCAGCGCCGAAGCACGTTCAACTTTGGTCTGGGACGTCGAAGATCTTCAGTCACCACCAATCTCGGAACGTACACGCAGAGCGAGGACGGTCACTATTCATTACCTCCCGTGAAGCGTGCAGGCCGTTCTGCGCTGAATATCGTACGTTGATGTGGTGTACGTCAAGCCCATCTAATCTCCCTGCTGTAGCCCACGTTCCAGCTATTCCAGACTACCCGACGTGATTCCTGGCATGCTCAGAGTGCTTCTCAGCCTAATGTGCCATCTTCACCCAGTGCCGTCGGTACCGACGCTCTATCAGAAGTTCCGTGGACCGGTGTGGTGTCAAAGGCTTTGGACGTGCAGACTGAACGGAACGGTTGGAAATCCACTTGGAGTCTGTCCCTGGATGATGGAGAACATATGCTCCGCCCCAAACCCCGTTTCACTCTTGGCGACGAAAGCGAAAGCCCGCGAAGTTCGAGTCCGACCCTCTCGTCTCGACCGCCTCTCCTCCGCAGACATGCCGTTGTCACAGCCCCCAAGCGACGTTGGACGCTTGCCATGGCGCTTACAGACGAAGGGATCTCTGATGAGCTCTTAGTTGAAAAGCTAGAAGCGCTGCGTTCACGATCGCGAGTAGGGTCTGTTGTGGAAGCTGACGATTGGGACAGTGTTTGGGCTGCTTACAACGACGAGCTCGAGGAAGATGATTCCCAACTGCCGTTGCCGACATCGAAAGAGTTTGATAACCCGAGTCTACCTCCCATCCGCACAACATCGATGCCGGTGTTACCAAGCAGCACCACTGCGACATGGCAGAGCGCCCGTCGTGCCCTGCTGACATGCCGAGAGCTGGTGCGAACAGAGCGTCACTATCTTTCGTCTCTGCAGACGCTATTGACTGGTGGAACACGAATGCGACCTCCTCCGTTGATGCACGCCTACGCCGTCGGCCTTGCGGTCGAAAGTGCAGGCCTTTTACGACGAATGGAATCGGATCCGAGTGCTTGGGGTGTCGCTGCCGCGTTCTTAGGAGCAGAGGAATCGCTCGAGGCTGCGCTCGTTGCCTGGTGTGGTGTAGTGGGCGCTTGGTTCTCGGATGAGAAAACCGAATCGCGCACCTCCAAACGGCTAAGCAAGACGCGTGCTCCTGATAGTTCAATCAGTGAATCGGCAGCGAAAGACGAAGAGCCGAGGCTGTCTTGGCGTCGAAGCAGTCTGACTGCTTCGATTAGGACCCTGTCCAAACCCTCGGCCCCGCCTGACATTCCGCCTGTTGTCCCTGCAGTTCCCTTGAAAGTGGCGATACCCACTGCCGAGCAGTTGTCTGCGATGACACCTTCCCCATCCTCCTCATCCAAGAAGTCGGGAAAAGAAAAAGATCTGCGTCCGAACGTTCGAGACCTCGCGATTGCGCCGACGCAGAGAGTTATGCGCTATGTGCTGTTATATCGAGGTGCGTGTCTGCCTTGTTCACTGGAAGAGCTGATCCTAACGTTTGACAGACCTACTCGACCACACTCCAGCATATAGCGCAGCTCGACCGCTTGTCTCTCAAGCATTGGATACTGCCATGAGAATAGCCCAGCGGTGTGACCGTGCCCAGGGCAATTCTGCCTTCCTCCGGGTTTGACCTGACACTTGAAACACTTTGTTCATCTTCCACGCATCTCCAGCACGATATAACAGTATGCTCGATACCCGCATCACCACGTTTACGCCCATGCAGCCTTGTATCATTATTAAGCATCGTGCATTGACCGCATCCCAGAAAACATAAATGCATAACCCTTGACCCATATCACACGACTACAGCAATACGATACCTACACTTATTGCTCATTTAACTTACCCGCCTGTAACGCGATTACGCTAGACACACACATGACCAGTAACGCTTGAAATGTACTTTTAGTGTACATCTAAATTTTGATTTGCACAGATGGATATTTCCGACGCGCTCATCCTGTCACAGCGTGACAGCTCGCGTTGCACCTAGACCATGTCGGGTCCACCTAGCTATTTGACGAACCTCTTCGCGCCAAATGAATCAGAGGCCATGCAAATACGCCCACGTGTGACTCTTACATTTGCGCAGTCGTTGGATGCCAAGATCGCTGGTGCACTCGGCGCACAGCTCATCCTGAGCGGTAAGGAGAGTATGGTTATGACGCATTGGTCTGTCTGCATCGCCGTCGCTACTTCGGATTCTGAACCCGAACAGGCTTCGAACCATGCACGATGGCATCCTCGTTGGTATTGGCACCGCCCTCAACGACGATCCCCAACTGAACAGTGCGCCTCTCCGCATTTGTCTTGCGTGGTTCACGCTGAAACTCCCAGCCCTCGCACTGTAGCGCGGCATCTTCCTCCTGCTGCTGCACCCTATCATCTCCCGCGTCCGATCATACTGGATTCGAATCTGCGGCTCAAGCCGATGTGTAAGTTGCTGCGTAATTTCGCGGCGGGAAGTGGACGCCGTCCGTGGATCATCGCCGTGGAAGCGGCAGGGGACCCCGAATGGAATGAAAGACGAGATGCATTAGAAACCACCGGGGCGAGGGTTCTCGTGCTGCCTGGTTCGCTCTCTGCTCGCCCTTCCATCGTGTCTCTCAGCGAACGCTTACAGCGGGAACGACACAATCTGCGCGAGTGCCCGCGTTGCTACATCTCCTGGGAACGGAGGGCATTCAGACACTCATGGTCGAAGGCGGGGCAACAGTGATTGGCGCGTTTTTGGCCGCAGAGCAGTGCGTCGACACTTTGTTGATTACGACGGCTCCTGTGCTTGTGGGCCCAGCTGGTGTAAGCTATAACTCTCCTGCTGGTGTGATGGTAACATGTTCACTTCTCATGTATCTTGTGTACTGATCTCTAGTCCCAGGACGGGTTTCGTATGGTAGAGACGCGGATGGTGGGATTAGATAGCGTTGTCGTTATGAGTAGATCAACTCGCCGCCCTTGAGATAGTGCAAGCATGATTTTTACGTCTCCTCAAGAGTAAAAGCATGTTGGCGCCGCTTGCTGGGAGAGCGCATGCTTTCGGGCGACTGCGGACGAAGCATGGAGTGATCATGTGATCGCGTTGTCCTCGTTTCTTGAATTTTGTTCCCTCACAGCGACTCGTGTATTGAACGTATGAATTCTTCTCTATTACCCTCTCTATATAAAATCGTCCGGCGAGGCACAGTGCTGACCACGGCATCTACGCTCCAGATGCGGCCGGAGGGCGACGGATCAAACATGGCAACAGCCGGTTTCACATAGTTCTCTCCTCACGTCGGTGACGAAGGCTTCACGAATTGCTTCGCTGTCTCGAGGAGCGACAAGCATCAATTTCCACGACCTCATCTTATCACGTCAGGCACTTTACTGCTTCATCGCACCGCCTTGGCTGTGCCTATCTCACCATTTTGGCTCGTGCATTCAAGGAAGGACGCTCAGTGAGCGCCTAGACTGCTTAAGAGCGACTACAAGCTCCGATTAACGGAGGCAATCGCCATCCTCACCCTCGGTATACCGCAGGACGCGTTTATCACGACTGGACGATGCCAGCAAAGTACTCGCACGTTAAAAAGGCCGCCGCAGCCGGAGCACTCAAAAAGTCATCCCACGCGAAATCGGGACAGACCCGCAGCGGCGTGCCGCCGAACCCGCACGCGGACCGGAGCATCTCGAAGGCTATGACGGCGGTGTCCAAGCTCGAGCGCGCCATCGCGCGGATACTGCTGATCCGGTACGAGCAGGACATCGCGCGGCTGTTCTCGACGCGGCTGTACAGCATCGCCCTCGTGCACCTTCCGACGTTCGTGATGCGGTGCGTGGCGCTCGGTGGGCCGGGATGGGTAGCATACAATGCGGACGCGGACGAAGTGAAGGATTTCTTCCGGTCGGTGATCAGCATGGATATGCGCCAAGCGGGGGAACGCGTCGCGACGAAGAGTGTGTTGTGGTCGTACACGGCGTTGAGGCATTTTGTGCGTCGCTGTTGTCGCTGTCGCTCCCATGCCTCTTGCTCATCCGGTGCACAGGCCCTTTCTAATAATATTCCGATATGTAAACGACGGGGGCTGCATTCTATGCATCTGCTGCCGCATTACGATGGGCTGAAGACACATCTTGATGCCCTGGAAGCTTTTCCTCCACCCTCGTTCTGCAAGCCACCTCATCTGGGCTCGCTGAAAGAAGGACAGGACGCATTGGAGGAGGCCTGCGAACTCAAATACACGTCCGGGAGCGCGCGGCCCCCGAGTGGGCCGGCGACTGGCGCATGAAAATTCGGGTCGGCTATGAAAAATTAAGTCAGACGTTATGGAGGGTCGCACGCGAATTCGATGTGCATGGCTACGGCGTGGTTTTGCGTGAAAAGTTGACCCATAAGTGGTGCGACTGCGGATGCTCGACGGATCATCTGGGGGAGGTCTGTGAGCGAACGGTGCGAGAGGATGAAGAGGAGAGTGGCGTCCGTCCCGGCAAACAAAGGGAATGGGACGGTCGCGGGAGCGGTGTCTTTGGATGGGAAACCGAAGAGGAGGAAGATGTCTGGGAGTTGGGGTTGGACTTTGGGGGCGTTGAGCCAGAGGACTGTTTCGACGGTCCCGAAAGCGACATGTCGGTCGGTGAGCTGATGGAATGGAGGTATATCAAGGCCGAACGACAGAAGGAGGAGGTGCGTTGGAACTTGAGGAATCGATATTCGATCTTTGACCAACTAGGCGTCCAGGGCAACACAGCTTTCCGGAAGGGTGATTATGTTGCTGCAGTGAAGCATTATGAAGCCGCCTACGAAATAGAGCCGGAGCTTCCTCACTATCAACTCAATCTAGCGGCCGCGCATTTGAAGCTAAGCAAGTGAGTTAAGGACTGTTACTGCGTTTTCAAAGCACGACGAGACTGATCTGTTGCAAGTTGGATGGCCGCTGAGGCTGCTTGCTCTAAAGCATTGTCCCAACATCATAGCTGTAAAGGATATTTCCGTCGAGCCCGTGCAAGGAAGATGCTTGGCCGCCACGATGAAGCTATTCGAGGTAGCAGTCTTTCTTCCCACTCAGTATGCGACTCGCTCACGATACTCTTGCAAGATTTGCGCGCAATCATCAAACTGCAGCCTAATAATAGCGAGGCTATCCAAGAGCTAATATCCCTGCTCCCTCCACCGTCCAGAGCTCAGAGATCCTCCGCGAAATCACCCGAATCGTCACAAAGCTCAGCAGCAGCAGCAGAGCTGTACGACAGACTGGGTGTGGGCAAGCACAAGCCCGCGAAACCACTCCCCTTTCCTCGCACGCTGTTGGACGATCGCAAACTCAAGGTCGTGACCGTGCCGATGCCGGCGACCGACACCCCCTTGGGATTCTGTCATCATCAGCACAGTCATACGTGCAGCGGTCACCATCATCATTCTGCGAGGGACAAGGGAAAGGGGAAGAGCACGAGCATCAATCCAGCCGCGGCGGGGATGGGCACTGCCACGCGACGGGAAAAGGAGCAGGCACTCGAGACAGAAATGCTCAAGGTCCTCGAGGCTATGAAGGTGGATGGGATGACCACCGTCTTGGTTCCAAGCTGGGACCGCTATGTCATCCGTCGGGCGGAATTCTAGTATTTGCATATCACGTTATGTATCTTACATCAAGGTTATTCAAGTGAGCGTCGTCCGTGGAAATCGAGTCCGATCGTAGTCCTGTAGAGATCTACTGATATACTAGGATATGGGATAGGATAGCTTATGCATACATGATCATTCATCATCAGAGCAGATAGACAACGACACCAAAAACCATCAGCAACAGCGACAGCGATCGTGATTGAACAGTGTGCATTCCCGTATTGGACGTCGCTGCAGAAGATTTAGCGGCAACTCGGCACAATGCGACTGGACAACTCACATCCTGAGGAGGAACTGCCTGTACCGGCTGGACCTGCTCCCGGAGTTCCTGTCGTGGACCATCAGTTTTGTTACATGAATACCATGGGAAGACCGACCCGATCCGCCACCAGCTGCCGCAGAAAGCTGGGCAAAACCAACAGCAGCAGGGCTCGATCGGAACACAGTGTAGACGTTCTTCTGCAAGGAGCAGGAGCGGTCAATACTCACAAATGCGATCTTACAGGAAATTGAACCAACCAAGAACGTATCACCCACGACCCAGGTAGGCGTCCCGGGTCCAGGTGAGATAGCACTTCCCGCGGTGAGATCGAAGATGGACCCGACACACATCCCCTTCTTCGATCCGGGGCCAAGGTTCATGTCAGCAGGGTCGATGGGCCACAATTGTCCACCGAATGCCATGCTGATGCTTACCGAGGTGCTGCACGCTGTTGTCTGATGAGAATGACGCAGGACAGGAAAAGGTTTCTGCTTACGGTATTCATAGTACCCCAGGTTCTGCACGCTCTTCACAGCTCCCGGAACAGCCGCCCAGACGGCTGCAACATCAGTCGTAGGCCCCCCAATCAGGGTTGTTCCTGTGGTAACATCCATGAACAAGAGTCAAATGCAATGCTCCCGTGCTTACCGGTGTCGATCGCGGAAAGAGCATTGGCGCCAGTAGCCACCTTTACCGCTTGGCCTTGAACAGTGATCCCTGTCATTGTCATGATCAGCGGCGCCGCAGCAGTCAAGACAATTCCAAACGGCTTGCCTGACAAGCCAAGCAGCCAAAAGCTCGCTGGGCCTGGGATGTTACTGATAAGCGATTGAAACTCGAGAGTGCCGGAGTACAAAGAAGTGTTGGTGCCTCCGAGGATGAACGATCCTCCCGGCTGTTCCTCCTTGGTTGTGCCAAGGAAACGGCTGAGCCAGAACGACATTTCGGGAGCCTCCAGTTGATTGCTGGAGATGAGGTTCTGCCAGAAAGGGCGTGTCTTCGTAGAGGCAATCGCTGCAAACGCCAGACCCATCAATCCAGAGACAGAGCCCTGGAGCAGCCCTCTCGACGTCACCTCGGCAGTCACTATAACGCCTCAGATTCAGCGCGCTGATCGTGCGGAAGGCGGATGAGATGTGCGTACGGAAGCCCTGAGCAGACATCGTGAAGTTCCCCATGGTGACATCGTCTTGGGCGACAAAGCCCTGGACTTGACCAGAACCGTAGCTGATGGTGGTCGCAGTGCTGTCGAGGACCTGGAACGACGACGAGTTCTGGGAGTTGAATGCGGGCGACGTAGGGTCGCAAGTGACGCAGTTCGTGTCTACGACCCAGAGGTCGGAAGACCCGGTGTCAAGGATAACATGGAAAGCCTGGGGTCTAGGCAGGCCGTCATCAACATCAGCGCGTGGAGACGAGCCGCAACTCGCGCGACGGATCACTCACGGCGTTCCTATGCTAACCGATCCAAAGTAGCTCGAGTCCCCGTTCTACCAACACAACATGAGTGGGGTGATTCTCTGGAGACGTGTCCAGAACCGCGCACTTGATTAACGATATTCAGGCTTTGTGCGGAAGCTCGACGATCGAGACGTTTAGAGGTCGATGATGTGTTTGTTAATGATGATGCGGGGCTGCCAGAGCTATATCCATAACGCATGCGGACGAATTCGGCGTTGCGCAAGTGGTCGGCGGTCGTCTTGGCCCTGCCTCCATGGCGTCGGATGAGCGGAATATGGACTGGCTCCGAAGCGCAGAGTGCCGGGAGAGCGACTAGTAAAGCTAAGGGAAGAGAAAGCATGGGAGAAGAAGGGAGAAGGAACGGAGCAGAGGAAGAAAGTTAGAAAGCAGCCAAGCCTGTGCCTGCGTATGGGGGACCGTCACGGAGATGCTGTATGGGAGAACCGCCTTTTGTTCATCAGATGAAATGGCAACATGACACAGGTGGTTGCCAATCGGTTGTTTGCTCATGATATGGGGCGCTTGGATTCCAAGCAGCTTCAGTCGCGCTCCTCCACCACGACGTCTCTCGCTGCGCGCCGCACTCGATAATGAATTCCAGCTCCACCGTGCGCCGACATCGGATAATTGGCCGGGACAGCCTCATGGGTCACAAATCATGATGGCGCCTATCACACGGCACCTATGACTGCGGCCGAGTGTGGGATGGGACCTGACGGCAACATTTGTACTTGGCACGATTCAAAACTACTGCTTCAGCCGAGCAGGCATAAACATGTGTATTACTGAACACATCGCTCTCCGCCATGGGAATATTGACTAGTAGACATCCACGGCTTGACAATGCTTCAGGGAATGGTGTCCTCTATCTCCAATGGGAGAATTCTAACCTAATGGCGCAAGAGGGAAAAGTGTGAATGGTGGGCGGGTGCGGTGGGGAGGAGCAATGCTCAGGATGGATGAGGACTGGGGGTTCTATGAGCGGAAGCGTCAAAGGCTACAAGCTGCCATTGACATACGCGAGGAGCATGGTTCACCAGCCTTCGCAGAGCGCTGGGTTCAAGGAGGGATCACTCGACTGCTTCGGAGCTTGGCTAGCCGGCGCGACCTTCGGTGCACCCCGCTTCGGTTTGGGGAGTAGCTCGCTTGACCCCAGAGATGGGGTCGTCATTGACAGAGATGAAGGAGGGGGCGGTTTAGGCAGACTCGGTTTAGGCAGGCTGAAACGCATGCTGCTGCTCGAGCTGCTGGTAGCGGTAGACATGGTCGGAATGTCAGAAAGGCCGGAGTAGATGGCAGTGTGAGGAATAATCTGCCAGGAGGGCGGCGGCTAGCAAGAGCGTCACACTGATGAGCCTTTTTTAACGAACGATCAGAACTGAGGGGTGGAAGGAGTTTAAGGGGCACATGGTGCAAGGAGTTCCGCAAGTGCCCGAGTCGCGTTCGTCTTCTGTTATCAACGTCGTATGTAGTCGTTCAGCGTCAAGCCATTCTGAGGTCAAGACCGTCAATTAAACGCGTCGCATCATAGTCCGCCGCAAGCGACCAACCAAAGATGGTGTCATTAGGGGCACAATTTGGTTGGAATGATTCCCTCCTTAGGCATGTGTCGATGACAAAATGTATATTGAAGAGCTTGTCGAGTGCCATTGAGAGTCCGTGATTACGCGTGGGAGGCTAAGAGCTCTCAAACAGTGTTGGACTCAGGGACAAACAAACATGATCTCTCGGGCACACGCTCATGTCTGGTACATCCAAGCCAGACGAAGAACGCGAAGCAATTGAGATTGATCCTATATGGACAACCAGTCGTACTGCCCGTCAAATCTACGCCCTGGGCGAGGTTGAAAAGGTAACTTCCATCGCAGAAGCCTACAACTATCATCAACGACGCCAACAGGACATCACGCGTCTTATGGCCCTCGCCGCGTCTTCGATCTCTCTTTTGACGCTTCCCCAGACAGACGCGCCGGAAGATAATCTCCCGCAGGGCGACGAACGATCAGAACAGTTCGTTCTCGAAGTCAACGAATACTTTGAGCGTTTGGATGTAAGTTATACGCCCTTTCGCGACGGTATACTCATTGCCAAATAGGCAATCCAAATCGCTATTCGCTCCTCCCTTGCCCACATTCGCCACTCGCGTATAGCACCGTCCGCGATCAACGCGCCACCTCCCAATTTCGTGCCTCCCTCGCTCGGCGTTGGGCTCCCTGCTGGTGGGGAGCTGCCCGGGTCATTTACCGCCGACGACACGCGTCGTGGACTGCAGGAGGAGCGTGTTGAAAGGGACGCTTGGACGGGTATCCTGAACGCGTTGCAGCGTCTGAAGGCGGAGCAAGAGCAAAATGAGCCACCAACTCAAAACGGTGTCACTGAAGATGTGAATATGGCCTGAGAGGACTGGATGTGTACCCTGTAAAGGCTCTTCTCTGGTGCGCTCAGAATGCGTGTTAATCATATCATTTCAGGGGATTATGTTTCATTTGTGGTGACACCACTCTAGACGTCCTAGTGCACGCGACAAGTGTCTAAATGATCGAAGCCTCTTCTACCGCTGCTAACTCGATATGTTTTCGTATGAATGAATAAAAAGGCTCTGGCCCCCGTAAGCAATGTTAAACAGTCACGATCTGGATCGTGACCCTCGCTGTCTGAAGATGTGCAGCCGATACACCTCTAGAAAGTGCACGACCCCCCTGCGGGTCGGAAACTGGGATTATTCACTGCTGCCCAACGTGCGGGGAACTGACGATTGCTTGCCTGTCCCTGAGCGTAGAGTCCCGGCATGAGCTGTGACCCAGCGGGAACATTGCTGCAGAAAATGTTCTGTACCGGGCGACTAGTTGAAGCCGCGAGTCGGCTGCCGACTGTCTGATGACAGCGTAATGACGGAGGCTGGGTGTCAACTTCGGGTCTGCCGCTGCATCAGTGAGATATTCGCTGACATAACGGAGCGATTCTTACGGCCACTGAATAGAGCAGTGATCATGTCGTGTTGGAAGAGCGCGGCAGCAGTCGGCGCGGATGGATTGCGTGTGTCAGCCACCTGGACTGGATTGGCATTGAAGTGCTGGAATGCATGCAAGCCCGTGGTATCCGCAGAGAAGTCGGCCACTCGCGCACTGGATCCGGACCATCTGTACTCTGAAACCAAGATCGAAATCCCAAATCAAGAAATACTTGAAAGACCCTCACCGAGAACGTCGGTCGTGCTTGGCCGCGTTGCTTTGCCGAAGCACTCGAATCGGGCCGCAGACATCAGACTGCCCGTGAGGTAGAAACCAACGGCAACCTCTGAGCACAAATCGTCCAGTTATAGTTCATTCAGGGAGAGGGAGGGACCCCACCAGGCGAATGGTCAAGATCACCCAAGTCAAATTCATCCGAGTCGTCGATGAACGGCCGGCGGGATCGAACAAGTTGAGCCGCCCTTCGGGTGTTGGCCACGCGGAAAAGATTGACATCACTCCTCCCAGACGGGTGACCAAGCCCCGCCCGAGTGACGAGATGCTCGTATTCCTGTTCCTCGAGGGGGAGGAACTCACGCGCCTCGATCTGCGCCGGAGTTCAAGCCGGAAGTCTCGAGGGCCTAGCAGACGTAGTGACGTTCTTGGCCGGTGTAGATTTGGTTGACATCGCGGCCTTGAGAGCTGGTACTTTGGTAGGCACGATGTGCTTTTTCGCTGCTGCGGTAGGCTTCTTGACGGCAATAGGTTTCGCGACGGGTTTCATGACTTGTTTTACAATGGGTCTTGCGACGGGCTTTGGTTTGACAAGCGTTTCCGACACTGCTTTAGGCTTGGTAACGGGCTTCTTCACGGTCCGCGTCTTGAGGCCCCAGAGGATTTCAAACGGTGCACACAAGAATCGTAGAGTACCCAAATTTCCGTCGTGATCATTGGTAACCGCCGCAGTAATAGCCTGAAGCGATAGAACGAGGATGATAGAAGGAGTGTGAATGAGATCTGCATTGTGCACAAGATAGATCAATCGAGCGCGAACAGAAGAAAAATAAGGTTCAAGAAGGGAAGATGAAAGGCCGACCGAGCGGAAAAGAAACGAATGGAGCGTTAGATGGACCCTAGCACTCTTTAATGTACCCAACTAAAGATACCGTCGCCAGGAGTGCGCGCAGTCCGGACTTGCATCGTTTGTCGAGTCGCGAAGCGGGCTGCCTCGGCATTCCCAGTTTGGGTCGTTTTTCAAAACCAGTCCCCAGACAAACAAGGAGAAGCGACGGTCGAGAGAAATATCAGAGGGTGCTCAGACCTGGGTCTTGCGCCAGACAGCAGCCTGGTGGTCACATAGATCAAGCTGGCACTATCTGTGCCGTCTACAGTAAGACCAGAAGTCATAACCCATCTAAATCAACAGAAACGGTCGCGTTCATTCGTTTGGCTTCAGTTCTCGATGACCCTTGTCGCAGCAGAGAGCGAGGACCACGACACGCGTCACAAGCATAGTAGCATGTATTGTTGATTGCTGTGCACGGCAAATCGGGGCCGAAGGTTAAATAGTTACGCTGAACGATCTTGAATGACGGAGCAATCGATTCTTGAGAGGAGTCTGCAGTCGAGCAGGAACTCCAGGTTGAGCACGGCAATAAGTCACGCGACAAGCACATCACGAGACACAGAGCTCTTTGGGCGCGGATCGGGCGCGGGCCGGTCTGAAGGATATGGATCTCGGCAGGAAGACTGATGTAGGGGAGAAAAAGCGGCTTTACTGTAAAAGGCCCTCGGACACTTGGGGGTAGCAAGGTCCAAAATAGAGTAAATTTGAGCGCAAAATTTGTTTTTTCCCCTCCATAATATAGCGTAAAAGTCGGCCAAAATGTCCGTTCATGGTCTGAAAATAGGCCTATATCCTATCTCCGGGCGAAAGAGGAAGGAATCAAGATTTATCAAGATAGAAAAGAAGAGGGAGAAGGGAGAGATTAGCATATTTATAGAGTCTCTACGACCATGTTACATACCAAATTTCAGTGCTCCGAGTGTTTCCCCCCCGCAGTTTAAATCTTGGAAGGTCGATCACGTGTAGCTAATAGGATTTCAAGTCCTGAACCAAATCGGGGAGGGTTCCCGATCTGGTTTAGGACCCAGCCATTCAGAATCAAGATGGACACGTGGTCCAAGTCTCGACCGCGGCTCTCGACCACGGCCTATGTGACCTGGTGTGACATCTTACGCAGAGCGCTCTCTGCGCGTCGCAATGCTTTACTCATGCCGGACGCGCTCGAAGGTTCGTCCTTCTGCGCTTTGGAATATCTTTCATCTCAATCGCATCCTGTCGACCCGCATTGGTACCAGCTCCCTCGACATCGCGTCAACCGGTGCTAACTTCGTGCATCCATCGCAGCCGCACTCAGGCGTTGCACGCTCTCACATCCGCACGGCATGGTTGCTTGTCACCTGCAATACGCCCATCACTTCTGAGCTTAACCTCGCCACCGCAAGGGGAAGAGGCGAGAGAGAGAAGAGGTTTTGTGGGAAGGTCACTGGGAGGAAGTCGAGCAACCTTCTGAGCTCCATGGTGCGTAATTCGATTGGCTCCATGTCCTTCGTATCCCCTGACACTTCCGAAACCACAGCGCTGATGTGCTTTGCCCACTCCCACTATTCCCCACCCTCCCGACTCACCAGCAACTGTCTCGTCGCGTTCGTCATCACGGCACTCGTTGGCTCGACACCTCCACTTCGTCCTCACCAATCCTTGAACTACCAATATATATACTCGAGTACAAGTCTATGATCTCTGCAATAAACATCTAGTCGACGGAATAATCACGAATACCGTTTGCGTGCAAGTGTTTCCGAATCGCCTCTTCGGACACACGGACGCGTTTGCTTCCCGGTACATCAGGGTGGGCACAGCTGCAGCGCTGACGATTTGCAACCCCGGCACAGATCGCACGTTTTGGGCACATTTGAGCTATGCATCGCGCGCAACGCTTCCTCGACCGGCCACTGCTTGAACCAGCAACCACGTTCCCCGTCACCAGCTCGAAAGCACCTTCTCTAAACGACATTTGCTGTTGGACGACATGTACGGGCTGCGCCGGCGGGGGCGGGGGCGCCGGGGGCTGCGCTGGCGGGGGCGGAGGCTGTTCAAATGCGATGGTAGCTGGGTCAGGACCTGTTGGCTCGTCGACATCCATGGGATCGTCCTGTGAGTCTGTGCCGTTTGGGTCTGGATGAGAGGGGTCCTGATTGGCGGATGCGGACTGCTCGTCAGTGACCACACTTGATCCCGAAGCATACTTATCGGCAGCAGAGTTTTGCGCACTGGCATGCTCTGTCTCGAGAGCGAGCTGCTCAACTGTGGGATTAATCGTCAGTTTATCAAGCAGATTCTGAATTCACCGGCCATACCTGTCTTTTCGGTATCATCGACGGTGCTCGAGAGCGGAAGAGCAGTGAGGGTTGAGACCGTATTCGCGTCTGAATTGAGAATGTCGCTAAACGCTTTCAGGGCCAGAGCATTGTCACCCATGAAGAGGGTTGTCCGCTCCAACTTCCAGAGTATCACCTTCTTGTGATGCGCCTCCAGTTGGCTGGGATGCTTGTAATACATCCGACGTTCTGGTTCGATGATCGCCTGATCTTGAGCTCCAACAGCACCGTTGAATGACCACGCGACGGAGTTATAATCAATTGCTTTATAGGCCTCATGAGGAGGATACTGCTGGCGAGTCTTCTTCTTGTGCTTCGGATTCTTGATCTCCTCGTTGAAATAGATGAACTCTGCATGAGTTATGACGGGGGTAACAGGATACAATGTCTGCAGCCGGGTTTGGAGATGCAGATACACATTTGTGCGGCGCGTGAATAGGCGCATGAGTGCATGGACGGGAAGATCATGGTATTCGGGGACACCTTCGACACGAACATTGGGCAGCGTCACAATTCCCAGGTCTGCAGCCAGTGATTTGTCGAAAGGCACAATGCCAGATGTCTCCGAGGTAGCGATTCGAGTGGAAAGGATGGCGGGAGGCTTGAATGAGGGGTCGACATTGAGATGCGAGGCAATCTCAACGGTTTCGTCTGTGACCCACAGATCATAATGCGAGCGGAACTTGGTACCGGTGCGGTTATGGTGTCCAACCTAGAGGGATCAAAAATCAAATTCTTGATATGGAGACTCGAATAATTGAGACATACCGACTGATTGCGTCTGAATATCCAATAGCAGTAGATGGACTCTGCCAACTCTGGCGATGCTCGAAGGGAGCCAAAAATACGTCGAACAGCCATATGAACACCGCCCTCAACGGAGTTGGTGCCGCGGACAGTGCGATAGACGGTCAACCCATCGCGATCGGTTCCCATGATATAGTAGAGCGGAATGTTGGGCGGGTCGGACAGGAATCCCAGGCGCGCGGTTTCGAGAAGACGGTCAGCCATTTCTTTTGCCACCGGCGGGAAGAAAACGTTCTGTGAACCTGCTTTCTGTGTCGAGCAGATGATGTCTTGATAACTCCGGAATAGAATCAAGAGTCGTTTGTACAGGGTGTCTCGATCTGGGATGAACCGTCGGATACGGCGATTCAGTGCATCCGACATGGCACGAAGAGCATATTCCCAGTTTATTCCTCGCTTCTCGAGCGCTGCACGGACTTTTGCAAGATCCTCGCGGTCGCGGATGAAGATGGCAGCACTAAAATCCCAGCAGAAGTGTTTGAAAGCGGAATGCTTCTTGGAAAGCAGTCGAATCAAACGGTCCATGAAATGGAAGGCGTCATCGAGAACACGGCTTGAGAATGTGGTTCGATTCTCAGAGGATTGGCCAGGATTGCCATCGTTGTCCTAGATACAAGAATGAGTTCTTTGCCATCAAATTCAGGTTGGAAACATACCGGTAACTCATTTTCATCTTCATCATTCTCGTCGTCCTCATCTTCAAACATAAAAGTATCCTCTTGGGATGGAGACCAGAAATCGAACTGAATTTCTGAGCCCGGCTCATATGAGATCTCAAAATTGGAATGGTCGCCTTCCAGTGCAGAACTCGGTGGTCCAGGCTGGGAAAATCCGAATGTCGTTTGGCCGGGTAGGGGAACAGTTACAGTGCGCGAACGTAGCTGGCTCCGGGCGACAACAGCAAGCCCGCCGTTCTGATGAATGAATTCAATCGTCGACCGATGAAGTCGATGAATGGCGCCAGGAATCAGAACTTCTGTGATCCGGATCAAGCACCGACTGGCAGTGATAGCAATGCGAAGAGTATTATTTGTTCCATCGGCTGCTGGCACATTGAGATGGGCGTCAGAGGATACAGCAATGAAGCCACGGGCAACATGTTTTTTGCCCTGAACGAGACTGACTGCGGTCCCTGGCACGCACTGATCCGGCTCGAGCTGCAAGCCAACGGGTTCTCGGGAGGAGATAAAACTCCAAAGCTGCCAGAGACCATCTATGTCAAGGTGGAGAGCCTCAATATCGTCGGAAGAACAGGGGGATTCCCATTTCTCTGCTGTGATCTCCAAGGGCTCATATGACCTGCGCAAAGCTGTGCCGATGAGAACATCCAGCGGACTGTTTGGGTCCTCGACAACACCGGTGAGTCTCGCAAACTCGCCGAGATCAATCATGCGCGATGGTGGTGCTTGAGTTGGCACCAGTAGCATCGCAAGCAAGGTAGAAAGGATGTGCTGGATCTGATAGCCGACTTTGATGATTGAGTCGGACGTCAGAAGAGAGCGAAGGGCAGGAAGTAAGTTCGGGCGCAACTTGAATGCGGAGATCTAAAAACTGGATCAATCTCTGATCAATTGCGTGTCGGAGAATATTCTACCTTGAATGTATGAGCTCTTGTCGAGCTTCGAATTTGCACAATCTCAATTTGGGGTGGAGGACCCGGAGAACTCTTTATCGAGATTGTGACAACACCACAGGCTGTGATGTCCGAGTCCAGACTCGGGGCTTGAAGCATGATATCAGAAATCAAGTCATCAATATATGCTGCGTCCTCCGAGTAGATTGCATTTGGAAGCTCTCCAGGGGTGAACTCAAGAGGACGAAAATCAGACATGGGGTTCACATGAACAACATCAACCGCTAGTGATGGTGTGATGAGTTCATGAAAGGATTGTTCCACTAGTAAATACTCAAATTAGTAGACTGATTTGTTCACCTCAGTTACCACCGCCATCACCCGGTTGCACCCCCGCGGGGGTCCTCCTGGGTACCCTCAGACGTAGCTCTGAGGGTACCTAACAGGTACCCCCCTGCGGGGCCCGCGGGGGGGATTTGGTCCATTTGGGGGCGGGGGCATATGCGGGGGTCAGCAGGGGGGGGTCTGTACATGTCATGTGATTTATCATTGGGAGCGGGCAGGTGGGCGCGAAAAAAAAAATGAATCACATGACACATCCAATGGGCGGGATGGCGGCTGATGGCGGGGTAAAAAAATCACGTGATGCACCGCATGAAAATTATCAAAAATGGCTAGCAGGGGTTGGCGGGGGTTGGCGGGGGCGCTACTGGCCCCCCGCACACCATGGCGGGCAGTGGGCGCATTATCACGTGACTTTTGGGGCACCTTTTGTGCACCATTCGGCATGATTTCGGAGGTGTTGCTTGATCCATTGCATGCTGTGGCAGACAATGGGCGCATAATCACGTGATTTTCCGCCCAAAAAAATGGAAGCCTTCCCCAAATCATCCTGGTATCATTTCTATCGGTAAATACACTAGTTAAGCATGAATTTGAGCTTAGAAAGCCCAAAATGCACCCTGCACAATGGGACTGGTGATGCACTTGATCCCATCATTTGGCGGGGTCTGCTGCGGGGGGTGCCACGGGGGGTGCTGCGGGGGGTGCTGCGGGGGGTGCCGCAGGGGGTGCCACAAGGGGTGCCGCAGGGGGTGCCGCAGGGCCCGCTGTGGGGTCAACCACAGGAGCAGGGGTAGGGGTGCATTGCATCATATTTTGATCTATCTATTCTCGCTGTGGTCATAGCATGCAGCATAATTATCCTTCATTTTGCCAGGAGTTTGGAGGCTGTGTCTGGGGTTGGTCTGCAGCTACAGCCATGTGACTCCCTGATGCTTCGGCAGGGGCTGGGATATCAAAACTGTGCAATATTGTCTGCATAATCCAGGCATGTAGGGTTAAAAAGAAAGTGTGATTTGTTCATTTTTTGGCTGGCAGGGTAGGTGGGCTGACATCATGGGCTGCATCGGGTCCACTGTCAACTCATTGATTGTTTCGTCTGCTCATTCTATACACATGCCCATTGGTAAGCTGATCATGCTGTAGGCACAGTCTAATCTTACCCAGTGGATAATACCACACGTTAATTATGCACCTAATGTCACACTTCCTGTCTGGGACTCATTGAAGTTCATCTGTTCTGTGTTACTTTACAAGCAGTTTGCTTTAGTTGCAACATGAACAGATGTAATAGAGTGGATTTGACATGCCCTGAATTGATTCCTAGGTGGAATATGAGACAATGGATTCACCAGCAAGTTGCCTCACAATAGTCAGAGATTGGTAATATTTGAATTTCAAATTTCATATACAACACTCTGTGCACTCAGAGCTCGTATATTTGCAAGATAGACTGTAGAGACATAGATGGTTACTTTTACTACCTCTGGGGCTGCACACATCCTTGCCATGACCCACTGCCTGCACCCCTGCTGGTACCCCCATTGGCACCCCCGCCGGCACCCCTGTTGGCACCCCCGCCGGCACCCCCGCTGGCACCCCCGCCAGTCTAGCACCCCCCGCTGCACCGGTGCCTTGTCCCCGTGATTTTCTTATATGTAAGATTATGTAAACTGACAGCTCGGAACACGTCAAGTCACTAGCCAATCAGAACCTGTATAAACGTCGTACCTAAGTGTTTACTGCTCTTCTAACACTGTTCCTACAGTTATGCAGCTGAAAACCATCGGAATAAGGTCTCCTTCTGCTATTCTTATTGAATATGTAGATACTTCATATCATTTGTCCACCTAAAATTCAAAACATGAAAAGAGTTCACCATTGCTCAAGGTTCCTATGTAGACAATGGTTCAACATGGTTCACTTTGGGTATGGCAAAAAATATTTTTTCTACACACAAGCAATTCAATACAGCTGAATGATATACTCTTTGGCAGTGTCTGAAACAAATTCTGAGAGCCCTGGACCCTGGAACTATTCAAAAACTTGAAATGAGTCCGAAAAATAGGGTCTTGATAAACATGAGATATGGGCTGGTTTGAAGAGACATGGGCCACCGGTCATGTTGAATATAGTATTTTACAATGTTTCGGTGCCCTACCTCTCATCACATGGCCTCATTTCCCACTCAAAAGGGCGCATACACACTCAAGCTCATAAAATCAATTGTCACCCAGAAACAAGAGCAGTGAAGTTGTTTCACTGGGATTGGGTAAAGGTTACCTAGAAGTCACTTGGGTTGCAGTACAGAAGCTTTGGAAAGTGATTTTGTAGTTGATCCACATTTGGTAGGCTGGCATATGCTTGTGCACCCCCACGGCACCCCCCGCGGCACCCCCCGCGGCACCCCCTGCGGTTGACCCCCCCCAACCCTTACAAGGATTTAATTGACAAATGTCCTGCTCAATCCATTGTAAGAGTCTACAGTATTATTGGATTCAGTAAAGGGCCCAAATGGTGTGTAGACAAGAAGTATGAAATCCGGAAATCAACAATTATGACACCTCCACGGAATATGCTGCAAATGGAGAGAAAAATTTGAGTGCAGACAGACTACCTGAAGCAAACAGACAGAGAAAAGAAACATTAGCCATTTCTTGTTGATGATGTTGGCTGTCCCTGGAGCATGTACTTGGGAGATTTACCTAACAAATCAAGTTGCACATTTTTCAAATTTTTAGTTTGACCTGACAGCTTGAGCAGACCATGCTAAAATGAACCAAGTCATATATATCAGTGCCCCAAGCCAAGCCAAAAGATTTAGGTAAATTTGCACAGTTTTGATATCCCAGCCCCTGCCGAAGCATCAGGGAGTCACATGGCTGTAGCTGCAGACCAACCCCAGACACAGCCTCCAAACTCCTGGCAAAATGAAGGATAATTATGCTGCATGCTATGACCACAGCGAGAATAGATAGATCAAAATATGATGCAATGCACCCCTACCCCTGCTCCTGTGGTTGACCCCACAGCGGGCCCTGCGGCACCCCCTGCGGCACCCCTTGTGGCACCCCCTGCGGCACCCCCCGCAGCACCCCCCGCAGCACCCCCCGTGGCACCCCCCACAGCAGACCCCGCCAAATGATGGGATCAAGTGCATCACCAGTCCCATTGTGCAGGGTGCATTTTGGGCTTTCTAAGCTCAAATTCATGCTTAACTAGTGTATTTACCGATAGAAATGATACCAGGATGATTTGGGGAAGGCTTCCATTTTTTTGGGCGGAAAATCACGTGATTATGCGCCCATTGTCTGCCACAGCATGCAATGGATCAAGCAACACCTCCGAAATCATGCCGAATGGTGCACAAAAGGTGCCCCAAAAGTCACGTGATAATGCGCCCACTGCCCGCCATGGTGTGCGGGGGGCCAGTAGCGCCCCCGCCAACCCCCGCCAACCCCTGCTAGCCATTTTTGATAATTTTCATGCGGTGCATCACGTGATTTTTTTACCCCGCCATCAGCCGCCATCCCGCCCATTGGATGTGTCATGTGATTCATTTTTTTTTTCGCGCCCACCTGCCCGCTCCCAATGATAAATCACATGACATGTACAGACCCCCCCCTGCTGACCCCCGCATATGCCCCCGCCCCCAAATGGACCAAATCCCCCCCGCGGGCCCCGCAGGGGGGTACCTGTTAGGTACCCTCAGAGCTACGTCTGAGGGTACCCAGGAGGACCCCCGCGGGGGTGCAACCGGGTGATGGCGGTGGTAACTGAGGTGGATTTGTTGACCGGTAGTAGCACGTACTTTGGGGTGAATCGGTATACAAAATGCTGGTTGGAGGATGTCCAACCTTCTCAAGGCTAGCTTGAATCAAACGCATCATGTCGCGAACATTTGACAGCGACTTTGTCAGAGCGAAACAATGTCCGCGGACCTCCTCCCATTGATTGACGATACTGTATAGCGCCTTCCAAATTGGTTCTCCCTTGAGACCTCCCATGTACTTCAGAACCTGTAGAGACGCCGTGAGAATGGCTGGACTGTGAGAATACGGAGGTAAGTCTTACATCAAAAGTGTGATCAGCTTTCGCAATCCCTAGCGGTAAAGCTGCCTGAGCCCGATCCATGAAGATACGGTGAGCAGTAATGTAGCTGGTGTACATGTCTCGTAGGTACGATACAGATGGAGGCAGTCCCGCATACCCGAGCGGATCAGAGAATGATGAGAAAGAGGGAATCTGTTCTTTACCGTAGTACTGGTAGTGTTCTGCGGCTGCATAATACATCAGCTCTTTGCGAGCATGATGCCCATGCTGAATTTCGGAAGCAAGTTCCGAAAAGGGGGATGGTCCAAGTCGCTTGACGACACACGAGTTGAAAGTCTGCATCAGAGTTTTGTCGATGCCCGCTCCATCGGACAGATAGGCTTGAATGCATGGATTAACAAGACACATCCGCCAAAAACTTGGATCACGAACCTGGAAATGCTTCCTGAACAAAACGAGGAAGCTGGGTGACAATATGCGGATCGGTTCCCTGGTAATTCTTGCCGCAACCAGGATTGGTCTGCCGATCCTTATCGCAGAGATAACGGCTGGTCAAGAGATAATAATCCTCCGGAAGGTGTCGAACGCGGCGCGCGATGGGATTATCACTGAAACCTGAGATGTAAATTTGTCAAGCGTTTCAATCTGGGATGCAGATCGAAGGAAACTCACCTTTTCGTATCAAATACACACCACACTTGCATCGCAAATTATCGGTACATCCGGGGAGCAGATGGGGAAGCCAGATGAATACATCCTTTGCATACAACGATGACGGCTTGAATTCGTGGGATGCGGCATGCTGGAGGGCAAATACAGGATGTCGAGGACGATAGAAAAAGTCTCCCCGCTGGTAACACTTCGGTAGTCCGTGTTTCCTGGTCTCCTTTGCAATACAATTCCTCACGGAGAGGAACCATTTTGAAAGCTCTGACTGAGGTCGCACATCGTCTAGTTTCTCCTCTGATGCGTCCAAATCCGCACCCCCCAGGTCTCGATCTCGAAGTTCGTCTGCGCCCAATGTGTCATCAATCACCGTCGTTGCGCTGGCAGCGATATCGCTGAATTCGCTGTTGTTGCGAACGTAATCGAGACGTGCGGAGATATCGTCCGCTTTCGATGGCTCTATTCGACCGGGGTTGACTACGACCCGAACTAACGGGGATATAAGGATTGAGCTGATTTAATCCAAGGTTAGACTTGCCTGGCACCGGGTTTGAAGGCCGGGGAACGCGGGATGAACTTCCCTCCGCACGGTTGTTGTTGGTCCTCGGTACTGCAAAAGCAGCGCGAGAATGGAAAATGGCAGCGATTGGACGACCTTCAAGTTCGGGCGCGGATGCGTGATGTGGATTCGAGCGAATGGGACTGGGTGATCGACGATTGCGAGCAGGGTTGGACCGGTTTACTACTACTCTCCTTGTGACGACCTCCATTGACTTCTTCGGCCTTCCCGATCCCGCCCTCTTTCCGCCCCAAGACTTCTTCACAACTCTACCGGTCTTTGACAACTTGTATCCCTCCGGGGTAGGGGGTGGCTCGGGGTCCTCCACATCCATGCGTGCAAGATCTCGTTGGCGTTAATGCGAGGATTTGCGGCCGGGGTTCTATCAGCGCACACAAAGTGACGAGGAATCGTCACACGTGGAAAACACGTGTACATCAAAGTGTAGTCATGAAGATTAGATTAGGCTTAGATTAGGATCTGATGAACCGCATCAACCCGTTCCGACAAAGCCCGAAATCCTATGCCATATCGGGAATGGGACGTGCCCGGACGTCAATCAAGGGCCTGAAAATAGCGTAAGAGTTGGAAAGAACCGACTGGTATGGGGGCAATTTTGACGGTCATCTTAGCTCATCTAGACTCATCTTGGGCCATCAAGAAAAGCAAAGGAGCCTGAGGCTTCCGAAGAGGACGACACGGAGCCAGATGAACCCATGAGTGGGACGAAGAAGCGTAAGGTATCAGTGTCCTCACGGTCTCGAAAACGCGCCGCCGCGAAGCCTAGTGAGCGTTCTAAGACATCTCGAGGTCGGGGGAAAGTGTCCAAGCCATAGCCATAGCCACCAGTAGCATAGGAAAAAAATTGGATTTACGCTCAGAAAATAGAGTAAAAGTCACCCAAAATCGAAAAAATTATAGCGTAAAAGTGGCTTGGCGGACGGAGCTAGCTTACCGCAAGTGTCCGAGGGCCTACTGTAAAGCTACTGTCCAGGTGCCGCACACTGCAGAATCTAGACGGGATCATCGCGAAGAGCTTCCTCAATCACCTCCAAGACGCCAAGCTACAGCCACACGCAGAATATAGTCATGAGCTGGTAATCCGTTTGTTTTCGTCCAGACTATAGCGCCGCCTCTTCGAGTGCTTCTTCAGCCTTGAGAAATTCATCCTCCTCCACAAGTTCAGGTTCCTTCTTCGCGAGCATCTGCAACGACAAGCGCGTCAGTCACAGTAGTCGTAAACGACGGCGGAGACGCATACCACAAGATCCCGAAGCTCGCCGAATGATCTTGCGAGTCGCTCCTTAGAATCTGTGATCATCTTCGCTGTTTCCTCCTGCATCTTGCCCTGCAAAACAGCAGGTGTCAGACCGCCGAATCACTCGTTGTAGCGATATACTTGCCGCGTTCTTGATCTCCCACTCGTCACCGTTCTCAGCGACCATCTTGTCCTTCTTGACCTGGAGATCCACGGCCTCCTTCTGATACAGCTCATTCTCCTTCTTCAGGCTGCCATGTACGATTAGCTTAGCGAGTGATGGGGCGATGCGGAGAGATCGGACAGAGTGGGAAGACCAGGCTGCACGAGACAAGTCGAATAGAACGGCAAACGATGTGAAGCCCAGTTCTCGACAGGTAATGGACGGAGTAGATGATTTACCGAAGAATTACGCCTGTCTTGATCTTCAATTGCCGGCGGAGCGTTGCGGTATCGCCCATGATTCGTTGAAGGCTGAGGGAGCTAGTGGGTTAAACTCGGTAATTGCTGGTCAATCAGTTCCGCGGTCGATGCGAGTGTTCTTCCGTCCTTATTTCACGAGATGATTACACGGCAGAGGCGAGGCGTCTCAGGTCCACACGGTCGCTGTCCAGACGCGTTATCGAAAGGGCGATGCATGAGAAAAATACCGACCTTGGGTGTGCAAGAACAACGCGTGTTTGATGGCGTTTCTGCGTAGCGTCATCGACGCGTCGCGCAGTCACAAGTGCTTCCTTCCACTTGTCATCACCACCACCATCGATCTTTCTCATGTTCTGTAATACATAAGTGCCAGCCTTCGACACGCGTGCGGGGGCACCGTACGCGATATCGCACTACCATCTGGTGCGAACAAGAAACGCGTTGAATGCCAGGCTTTGATGATGAGCGCAGCGGCGAGTTCTTGAGGGTGGGAGTTGCGCAGAAGGGTACACGCTGCACAACTGTCCTGTTGCTCTCCCCCCTGCTTGGTAAAGATGCGGTGTCAGAGGGGATGGCGCACCCGAAAATGTGACATTTAAACGATGCACGGTGTCTTGGCTAGGAAAGCCGGAGCATCTGAGCAGCAACTCGGCATTGCTCCCTTATGCGACGACTAGCGTTTACTTGATCCTCCTGGACCCTTGTCTGAACCCCCGACCTTGATTGTTGTATGTATGTAACCTTGTAGTTTTGGATCTGAAGGTCTCCGTCTCCGTCCACTGCGGGCCCAAAGCTTGTCTACGCGGATCCCACTTGTGAGCCCCGCCGGCCAAATGAGAGGCTTTCACCAAAAAAGACCAACACATTTCTAGAACTTGCTAGGGTCAACGAGTAAGCCAAACCGGCGGAATGAGAGTGTGACATCGATGAGCCACAATTCTGAACCTCGCAGAAGTGGCATGCTCGGAATTGTTTGGCACAATTCGGCCTTCGATCTTCCAACTAACTCAAAGAGATAAGCAGACACAAAAGGCGTGGTATCACATTGCATCGTAAAAGATCAGGACAACTTCATCACTATGTACAGCAGAACGCAGTCGTGATCTCGGCAAGGATGGCACACGATGGGTAGAAGATAAAGACAGAAATATGGTGGGTGGATGGAGGAATCACATGTAGCGTTGGGAAGAGCATGGTGGAGCATAGAAGGAGCAGCCGCTTGCGTGAGCCCGGCACTGCGCAAGCACAGATGGCGGACAAAGCAAAGCGGTACCCGGATGGACGTAGGAGTAGCCAGCCACAAAGGAAACCCTCGCAAGAGCCGTCGCAGCGAGCGGGCAAGCCCACTCAAGCCACGACGACAAGAACAGCGAGGCCGGGCGACAATCCAACCGACGAACAGACGAACCTGTCTGGACTAGCAGACAGGAAGCCAGGGACGAGACGACTACGAGGACAGCGGAAGGAGGCAGCAGCAACCAGGCTTTCGCACACCAGCCAGCCAACCAACCACACAGTCGACACCACTCGTCAAGCAACCCAGTCGGAGGCAAGCCGTCACGAAAGGGGCGAGAGGGATGAAGACGGCGAGGGCAGCGGAGCCATCAGCGCGTCGTCGGGTCCAAAGCTGTGTGTCGGATGACCTGGGAAAAGTCGCGAAAGGTTGTGGTGCCAACGGTCGTGGGTCGCAATCGTCCATCGCCCGATCCAGCTTCCATGCAAAGCGCGGACATGTGTGGGAGGGAGGGAAATGGACGAGTCGAGGGGGAGAGTGAAACGAGTCATAAGTAGGCGTGTAGTGGAACAACATTGGGGACATAAAGACAATAAGTCAATTGCGAGTCGTGAGACGACGGAAGTCGTCGAGATCCGGAGATGAACAGCGGCCTGTGAATTGGGAACGCAGCCAGGGTGCGATATCCGAATCGAAGCGAGAGAGATGGCGAAGAGGGGACAGAACGATGCCAGTGTATCGGCACAAGCGAAGCACGGAACCACAATAAAGTGGTCGTCGCCTCAAGCAAGTTGATGGGGGGTCGGGAACGGGACACAGAGCAGGACAAGCGACGGTAAAGAAAGTACAAGAAAGCTCACAAGGAGGCGAAGCACTCACGCGCCGTAAACGGCGCGATATTGCATCTCAAGCGCTCCCCGTGTCTTGTGTCGGTGTCGTGTCAACTGCGGTGCATCAACCGGAATCCGTGGTCCATCATCGGAGTCCGCGTCTTCAGGCGATCTCGACGCCAGTGTGCAGCACAGCAGCAACTAGCGCGCAAGAGATGTCGGATAGGCAGCAAGGCGGCGCCGGGCCGAAAGGATGTCGAGCAAAAAAACGTCGCGGGGAATGAGATGGCGTGATATATAGAATAAATGCAGTCGGGGTCCAGAGGGGGAAGTTTTTTTTGAATTTTTTCAGGCACCGGGACGAGAGGCGCTCAGAAAGTGGCGATGCTGCGGGGCTGCGTCACAGCCCGCACGCTCAAGACCTCGTTGAGATGGCGGAGGTGCTTGACTGATGCCTCGAGGTCCTCCAGACGCTTCTCCAGCTGTGCCTTAGCGATCTCGAGATTGCGAACGTGGTTCGTAGCTTAAACAGCCGGTCAACGTCGGCACTAGCCCAAAAGAAAATGTAACGCACCTCGATCAAGCAGAGACACTTTGCTGGATTTCTGGTTGGTGCTGGGAAGGGTCTCCTTCAGACGTGCGTATCCGTCCCTCAACTCGTCACGGCGGCGCTGCTCGGACTCGATGCGCTGGCGGCGGATGGTCTCGCGCCGGGAATCTGAGCTGTGCGACGCCGGCTGGAAGTCGTCCTCGTCCTCGTCGTCGCTATCGTCGCTGCGGCGCGTCTTGCGGCGCTGGGGACGCGCCATGGGGTTGAAGCGGCGGTTGGGTGCGAGGGATCGGGGCACAGCGGCAGAGGGCGAGTATGATCCGATCGGCGGCGAAAGAGATCCGCTACCGCGACGACCAGACGAGCTCTCAGCAGGGTTGGTGAGCGTGTACGAGGGACCGAGCAAAGACGGCGGAGAAATGCCGGTCTCGAGAGTGGCATAGGAGTTCAGGCTCTGAGCCGGGGGCGATGGGGGAGCATAGTAAACCTCGTTCAAGTTGTGTGCGAGGCCCATCGGGAAGGTAGGGCTCGGAGGGACTACAAAGCTGTTAAAAGGTGTACTGATCGTCAAGGAGCGCGGACTCACGATCCATGGCCTGGTCAAAGGAAGCAGGGGAGGAGTCCGGGTAGCGGAGGTATTCACTGTCCATGTAGGTGGTGAAGCTGGTGTCCACAGTGGCGTGGTCGAATTCCATTGCTAGATGAGGCGACGATGTAAATGGGGAGGGGGCAAAGAAATTCGGGGATGAACAGAGCAGCACAGGAATATAACAAGAAGAGGGAGGAGGGGGAAGGTGCGTTGGACGGACGCTGAGGAGGACAGAAGAGTTGTTGGGGGAATAAAGAAGAGAAAGGTTCCGCGGCAGTATTTATGTGACAAGTGAGGCTAGGTGTGAAATCGAGGGTTAGATTCTCATCCGAGCGATCAGAGATTTCCAAAGGCCCGAAGCAGATCCTGGGCATTCTTTGGGACAGTAAATCGGACACTTTGGGTCTGCTCGAGATCTCGGGCAGAACCGCAGAACCGCCAGAATGAGTCAGGCCGGCAAGGCCACCGCTGATTACATCTATCTAGATCCACCAAAACCTCTTCACCCTCCGTGTTCCGGAGCACAAGACCACGCAAGGCCGGGATCCGAGGGAATCCCGAAGAATCTCGCTGCACATGCCTTTCATTTACGAACACCGCCCTGAGGGGATTCGTGTGCTTATCAGCCCGAAGATAATCAACCAGACGCACTGGATGCATACAACTAGATACACGAATCGTAAGGGAATAAGTCATGATAAAAGAGGCCATTCATTAGTATGTCGTAAGAGTCGTCACAGTGGGTCGTGAAGGGTCGAGAAATAAAGTGGACTATCAGAGCAGAAAATGTCCGAGAAGATAGCGATAACGGATCCAGCCTATGCGTAGTATCCTGCGCGAGCTCGTCAGCCCCGCACTTGTGCTCGGTTGAGTGAAATTCACCGTTGCCAAATGGACCTTTCATCCCAGAGTAGGTCAGCAAACGTGTAGAGTACCGCCAGACCAAGAAGAACATGTAAATCTAAGCGCGCTGTTGAGCATATATGCTGCCATGCAGAAAAGATCGTCCTCACCTGAAAGATCAGATCCACAGCCAACGACACGATGAACGATGCGTTGATGGTGGGGTACCCCACGATGCAGAACTCAGCCGGCCAAACCGGCGTTGCACTGATATTCTTAGCGACCGACTCGTAGTAGAGCGCACCCCCGTTGTCACATTCCCATTCGATGGCTGCCTTTCTGTTTGACAAACAAATCAGGCCGTAGCACATGATGAAGATGGGAAATGAACTGACCCTCGCTGCAACTCCACAATCATGACGATGGCTCTCAGCGCCGATATAACGATGGCAAAGGGCCAAACAAATTGCATGGCCCGCGTGAAGACATACGAACGCTGCCGAGTGGAGCTCCATCAGAAGGGAAGCTAGAAGAAAAAAAGGCCCCCAATACGCACATTGGATAGAGCGAGGATGGTGACGATCGCGAGGCCCATGATACCCATTCCAACACCACCATAGATTTGCCTAGAACATCGACATGAGGATGGAGTGCAGGTATGAACGGGGCGTGTTCTGACCATTCAGGGCGATTGAAAAAAAGGTATTGGCCATACTCGAGCAGGAAAATGCCCCCGGCAAGACTGTAGATCTGAGGAGACTTGAGAAAACAAACGAAGAGGGAGGAGACCAATGCGACGCACCGCGATACAGAGGGCCCAAGCAATGGCGCCGGATCTCTGGAAACGACGTTCCCACAGTCAGCTTCGCCCCACCGATAGGAGGGGAAACCGCACCAAGGGAAGAACAAGCAGACAGTTGTCACACCTATAGAACCATTTCAGCAAACTGTATGTTCTCGCATTGCTTGCCGCAGCGACGCACCACATCGTATGAGGTCAGTGATATGGTGATATGAAGCGAGTGAGCTTGTAAAGATCGTCAGAGAGCCAAAAATGGAGTTGGTCTCGGGTAAAAATGTGGTGTCGCTGAGAGGTCGTTAAGATTTTCGTAAACGGCGGTCGAGCCCTGTGAGCTGAGCTCGGCGTGGAGCGAAGAGGACGTGAAGACGACGGTCACAGATCACTCGCGTAGTGTGACATGACTGCTTCGACAGCTTGTTGACAGCGAACGTGCACAGCAAATTGAATCTTAGCACTAGTGATTTCACCCCCGACCTGAATCCCGTCCTTTGAGATTCTGATCCTCTCGGGCCCGGAATCGGATTCATTCCGGAGTAGCTCTCACCAAACAGCTTTCCGACTGGCCTAACCCAAAGTCGCCACTGCGCTATAAGTATGTGCTCAATTGTTAATATGGGTTATTCATGCTCCCGAGTCCCCTGTCAGAGGTCGCGATTTGACTTCTTTCCGCGATCGCGAGCGCGGATTGCGGGACTGGGCTGCATAAACTAGCCTTGTCTCCAGCATTGCTTGTGACAACTGCCTTGCGACTTGCACACATTCTGGCCGCAAGTTTCGTCTGCAAGACAGCCTTCCGCATCCGTTTTTGATTTTCTACGCTTCCACGTGGAAGGTGATTTAGCTTTGGCCCTGCTAGTTCCAATCCGGCGACTTCTCCTCCGTCCGTTCGTTAATTCCCCTCTATCTGACTGGGACTGCTTGATGATCTCCATCCGCATTATCGTGTGGACATTCCCACCAGTCTCCCCTTTATCTACGACTCAGGGCAGCACCCCATCACTGGAAAGTATCCTCGGAGATTTACCGTGTGAGTCTTTCCCAAAACAGCACAATCACCCAGAAACCGGGACGATTTCTGGCCGGCCCACCTCGCTGCTCAATCACGAAATATCAATACATGCCCACATCCATCGCACATCGCATATCCCCCTGGGGTAAGCCTCACGTTTCCTTGCATGTTCTCGAGAAGTGATCTGCGTGTCAGATTTAGCCACTGAGACTTTGTTCAGTCCAGGACACTCAAAGTTTCCTGGCGAAACAACGTGCCAGGCAATTGGGCCCGCTGGGGGGACAATGCTGGATGTATTTTCACCCGCTTCTGGAGCCAGGGACTGGTGCGAGCGAGGTGGCGAGTCGTGCGCACCTGAGCATCCGCATGCAAGTCTTGGCCCATCCGATGGCTCGTCTGTCCCTGTCGCTCGCACGTTCATACAGCGAGACCGATTCTCCGTGTAGTCAACCTCTCAGCGCTTGATAGCTTCACCGATGGGATGAAGAGCTGTAAGGATCTATTCGCAGTCAGATCCTTTTTTTGCTTCGTGTCTCTCACACATCCTGGGCTGTGATCGGCCGGAATCTTCTTCGTTCTGGTCGGATCCAGATTCGTGGCGTTCCTAATCAGTATCTGAAGCCCAAAACTGGGGAGACTCCCCACGAGTGCTTAAATCTTACTTGGCCCGACGTCAATGCAATGCGTCCGCCGCGTGAATGCGCAATTTGCACGACCAACCTCGAAACACCAGGACGATGCGATCCGACCTGGATCAGAGTTTTGAGGTCGAATCAAGTCGTTCTGTTCGTGCGCGCTGACCCTGGACTCGATCCTCCATGGACAATAATAATAAACAGACCCTGTGCCATTCGATGAACGCGTCGCCCGGCGCTGGATGCCCAGTGTGTCCGGAAACTGCCCTTGCGAAGACAGCACGAGTCTGATGACCACTGCCTTGTTCACTTGGCCCAAATAATATCAATGCATCACACCCCCAAGCGCCGGCTTCCGGCCCGGGTCCCCCACCATCCGAAAAGGATGTCAGGTACTCACGACCAATACCATAGATTTCGCCGTCCTGGGGATAGCACTCCCCGCTGCCCAGTACGCTTTAGACTGATCGGCGTAAATCACACGGCTATCGTCCCGGCAGACCAGACCTTTATCATATCATATCATGTTATTGTCATCATAAGTACTTATTCATCATCACAAGAACTTGCAGGGAGTGCTGTAAAGGCCATCAATCACTTGCCTAATTCTCAGTCGGATGAATGAAACAGTTGAGCCACTTCACACATCTTTCATTTCCACCGCGGCTGACACAGGCGGTGGTGCGAATTCAGATCGGGGGAACTCCACAACCGTCTCGGAGAGCGCGTTCGCCGCCGCCGAGCGCGAGTGCCAACAGCACTTCACGCGCCATTCACCCAAAGGAATTTGCAAAAAACTGTCTCTCATCTCTGACTTTAGCCGTTCGAACTACTTGTACTTGCTTTTGGAAGTGAACGGGTCTAATGTTACATGCGCAACCTTTCATGACCGGTTCCAGCGCTCGCTCGAAAGGCTGTCCGATGAATACCAACCACTTCCCCGCGAAACAGCTGCATGCACAGGAAGAATCCCGAGCCCGAATCTTGGTCCGGACAGTTATCCGAGCTATCCCAAATCGAAAAACCTCCGCTCACAAAGATAATCACAAAAAGAACAGTATCAAAATGGAATCGCGAATCAGAAGCTTGACGTGCACAGTACAGAAAGAATCACACCCACAACCACCCACAAAAGGAAATCCTTGAGCAGCGCAGCTTGCCGCTCGCGGGCTTCCCGGACCAAGTAAAGGAGTGAGCTACTTGCATGGCGGAGAGCCAGCTGGCATCGAAAACAGTCTGAGACTACGAATGAACGTCCCAAAGAGTGCCCGGAGCTTGTGAGCACATGGCACAGCTCTAACAACGCTTCCCAATGCAGAACTCTATCCGAGTGTGATTTCCCAAGATGAACGGCCCTTTTGGTTTCACACGCCATTGAAACCGGTAGACACCAGGAGTCAGACGGGCCTAGTTCTGTCTGTCTCATCTCCACATTGCAGCCACGGCGTATCGTTGCGTTCAAGAGCCAAGTCTGGCTCAGCAGAGGCTGATCGGGCCCGTTACCCAACCCAGTGTATAGGATCATCGGCCAACGTACTGCGCGGTTTACGTGCGCACTCGTCACAACTAAGCTCGATTGGCAAGAGTTCTTCTGTGCATCCCAGAGTCACTTTCCGGACCCGACCGTCTCCTCGGAACCTTGACAGCTCCCAGAAGCTCGGGTTCTCTATAGGCGCTGCGCGTTTAGGACATCGCGAGAAAGAATCTCGTCCTCGTGCGCCGGTCCCCGGAACCTAGATAGCGGGAATCTTGCACAGCAGAGCACTGTGCGGGCCTCGGAACGTGCAGTGTCGAGAGTGCAGAAGCTGAGCCCTCCGTCCTTGTCGCAACCCCCTCCCCCCTCGTCGTTAAAGCAAGGACCAGGCATTGCTGATCCCGAGCATATCGTTGGGCAACGAGTTGTAGTATATCAAGTGATGCGGGGAGCCGACTAGTACCGCATCTTGCCGTTTTCCATCTGCGATAAGACCGATATTGAAGAAGGCCTGGACGGACAGACAAACCATGCCCACCTGGATCCCAATATCGTCTTCTCCGCTCTCACCAACACCATATCCTCGACGCACGACTCCCAGTGGCATCAACACAGACACAGAGAACCTTCCCAGGGCTTCCCGCACCAACGCTCGCGTAGATATCCTCCGCTTGCCGGCTTCGAAGGCGTAGGGTATGTTCACGACCGCGAGAAAGTTAACTGCGGACAGGCCGACGTGGAACAGGACCATGGACCATTCTCCGACAAGTCCCCAATCAGAAGCGGAGGAATCAGCGGGGATAGCGGGGTGGACAGGTGACCCTGGAATCGGTATCGTAACTTTGGGGGCAGGTGGTGTGGCCGTCCGAGGAAGACTGGGCTGAATTGCCACTAGTCCGATCAAAAGACCTGTTGCGAGTTCGCACCGCAGAGTTGATTGCTTCAACTTTAAACCGGGCATCTAATAGCACTTGCGTACCAGTTAAGAGCGCACCTACGAGTCCTGCTGCGTACTTTCTCGCGTCATGGGGGACAGCGGCGGGACCGGACACGCCCAGCAGGACGATCTGGAATATTTGGACGACGAAGGTGAAGTGTGTAAGCGGAAGTGCCCAGAGCAGGTACGCGTAAGATAGCAGTAGGATTGTGCAGAGAAGGCAGCCAATAACGTAGTTGGTATTCAGACCAGCCTGAGCCATGGGTGCGGTAACAATCCAGAATCAACGCGTGCGTCGCTTCGGGATCACATGTCTGACAGTGGCAGTGCGGCGTAAGAATGTTCAAAAAGGCAACATCATCCCCAGCAGGAGGGCGTCGCCTTCCGGCAAGTGCCCTCATTAGATCGTAAAGATCTGCAGAAGGAGTCCGAATACAGAAGGTAGGAAATAGTGAAGAATCACAAATCAAGCCTGCCAACAACTGCCATAATCGTTTGACTACAATCGTTTACCATATGAGACAAGTTGCTCTGAAAAATAGCGCACTTGACCGCTGTAGCAAACTCACTGAGCAGCTGGAAGGGGAATGGACGTTCCCTGGAAATGGTAACCCAGAATACAGGTTGCCAATTGGGTTCGGGGAGAACTGGACCGTCATGAGAATAGTCACGAGAACTCCAGGTGAGGTGAGTCTATCTCGGTGCTATGCCCACCGAGAAAGTTGCGGAGATCTGAAAGAGGTCTGGATGAGACTGCTGCCGAGTAGCAGCTGTTAGCCAGCGCCAGATTTCCCTCGTCAGCTGCCCTGGACTCTCGAGGTCACGCTCTCATAAGTAGACCCCGATAGTGAGTCAGAAGAGCTCCGAGAGGCAAGTAGTGGGATCAGCAGCTCATCGGTAGTCTCAAGCTCCGTGAAGGACCGTTCATGATTATTCGAGCTGCAGTCGGGTTGCTGCTCCTGATCTGAAACACTTTCTCAGTACGGCGGCCAGGCTCTGTATAGGATCGACTGCGCAAGAGGAAACAGATTCGTATACTTGCGCTCCCTGAGAGTCGGGTAATTGTTTGAGAGAGCGTAAGGGCCAATAGCCAGATCCGGAAATGCGAGTGTCGCTGTCCAGGCGTCCAGGGCTCATCATGGTTGTATGCGTCAGCAGTCAAGGCCGTTTCTGCCCTGAGAGAAGTCTAAAGAGTCTAGAGTGTAGAAGGATCACTACACTGGAAAATGCATTGAGGCTGGTTGAAAGAACCGTGCAAGTAATGGCCGCGGCGGAATGATCGAAACTGCCAAATCCTACAAATCGGGCAAGTTGTTTGCCTAACTTGACTCCCCGTGATCGCCCTCTCTTCCTCCCCACACTGCCCTCGCCGGATGCAGCTGCTGCTCCCGCTATTGGCCGTCCTGAGTTGCGTCATCAAGTCGCGGGGTAACACGGAAATTGTCAACTTCCACACGGATTCGCGGTCGGACGTACCAGCGCTTCCGCCCTCTCCACTTCTCCCAGCACCTTCCACCGCGAACTGGGTGATACTACCCGCACAACTCGGAACTCCACGCTCCCAAATCTGTGTAACTCAATCTACGGAACCATGCCCGCATGAGCTGTGGTACACGCTCGATCTCGACTCTTCCCATTCGAGATACACATTGCGAATTTCATACGCCGCGTCTTTCCCCACAGACTTTTTCATCGACATTCTGTCTCCAGAAGAAGCCGCGGCAGTCCGAGGTCTATGGTCCAGCACAAACAACACCTCTCCTTCGGCCGAAACGCGTAGAAGATATGCACGGATTCGGGCTGTGGACACAGGCGTTCGGACACCCCAACTGGTTCCCTTCTGGCCATATTCTGTTTGGACAGGCCATGTGGCGCTGTCGGCGGCGGGAACAACATCAGTCCCGTTTACTCTTACGCTAGAACCTTTGCTTTTGGGCGCTCTACCTGCTGGCCTCGTTCCGTTCCTGTTCGTCGCAGCCGTTGTCTTGGGTGTTCTCATTTGGGGTGTGCTGCCACCTGTCCTTAAGGCCATACAGAGTGCTGCGGATGATGTGAACCGAGACGTGAGGGCCGATAAGAAGTCTAAATAGGAGGATAATGCAGTGGGTACGGGTTTCTTTTTACACTCCATGTGGATCCTTATACAGTCTCCCCAGACCCATATATCGAATTCAGGCGCCACCGAATCATTTCAAAGACTTCTACAAGAGTCATATCCCTGGGTTTTCCCGTGCACCGGAGCGTTTGTTCGATTTGCATCGGGAGCAGACCATCGCAGGCGCTAATTCATATCCGACGTTGTGGGCACTCCACTGGAAATAAGCATTCAGTCGGCCGCGATGCACGCATCAAGCTTCGTGCCAAATTCAAGCTGGTGCTCGTAAACCGCAAGTTGCTCCCGAACTCCAGAGGTGGATTACAATACTGCATACATTGATTGACATGGTTAAATATGGGTAGGTGGCCTACAAGGCTGGTAAATCCTCCGCGGTCAGCCTTCTTGCATGGGGACTGTAGACAAGTCTCTTGTGACTGCATCCATAGCCGCGCTTGCTAGCGATAATATCTCCACATTCTCGACATCAGGCAGCAGCTCGTCGGCGGCATCCTCCTTAGCTTTGGCAAGAAGCTGTGTGGTCGCCCACTTCAAATATCCTGTCTTGCCCATTTCCCACTGTCTTGTGCCCGCGTCAGTGCTCCTGAATTGTGAGAGGGCGGAGATGGTCGCAGGCTGGAGTTCAGGGAGGTTCGATACTGATTTATGCATTTCAATCAGCGCGGAAGGAAGTGATGCCGCTCCGCCCATTGCTTCGTACGGTGCGAGCTCATCGTAAAGCTTTCTGAGCCGCGCCACCTCGTTCGTTTTCCTTCGTTTAGCCTGCATGAGTTCCCTCCGTAATCGCCGTTGCTGGAGAAATGCAAACGATATCAGTGAGATGCCATGCTATTGAAGGGCGAACCGCACTCCATCAAGCTCGTTCCTTAACCGGTTCAGCTCTTCGAACAATTCCTGCTCCTCCTCCATGGTATGCGTGAGGTTGATGTTCTCGTTGTGGGGAAGAACAACCGGCAAGTCTGACGGAATCGCAAAGATGTTTCTTTTCGCCCACAGTTCGAAGTAGTCGAAAGCGAGATCGGTGTGGAATTCCAGTAGAGTCTGGAACGAGACAAGGCCCTGCTCAAGGCTGTCTGCCTGGCTGGGTATCTCCTGCAAGTAGTCTTCGACACCGTTCACGCCATCTTCCACAGCATGATTGGCGGTATTGACGATACCGTCGAGCAGTATTTGAGGAGAGAATCCGAGGGTTTCGGTCACGAGCTGGAGAGAGGCTTGTCCTGGAGCCGCGTCTGTGGACGCCATTCGCGTCTGAGTTGGAGATGGCAGGTGACTGGCATCAAACGCGTCTGTCACTGATGGCGTCACATAGCAGTTAGTACATAAACACATACAACTCCGTACCATGACGTTTGTCTTCTTTCCTTCCTTCCTTCACATTCCTCGTTCAGATGCCGTTCGTTGAGGGGTTGCATTATCCATGATAGTTCTAATGGTGAGTCCCTTTTCTGTGGTCCAGGATCTTTCACTCGACATGATGTTATATCTTTATATTTGCTACTTCAGAGGGCTCGACCCTATGAGACTACATTTTCCACCAAGATCTCTGACATATCTCACCGAATTTTCTACCGTTTCTAACCAATCCCTAGGTATACGTGCCATTATCACACGGACGTATTAGTTCGTCGAAAGCACTGATAGTTCCACATTGTCTCAGTACATTAGTTACTATATACATGATGAAAATTTCTCTATCGTCGTCAGCTCGTCAATTGTTACATAGAGGCAGTAACAGTGTGCTGTACGGCACATCGGTCGTGGAACGACTACAAGCTCTTGAGCTTTTGCTCCTTACTTCCTATCGTCTTTTTCTGTGTTTTCAACTCCGATCCAAACATCTCTTTGGTCGCCTTCTTCTCAACTCGCCTGGCCTGTCTCTCCTCCTTGACCGCAGCCTTGCGCGCCTTCTTGTCCTCCTTAGACTCGTTTTTGTCGCGTTTGACCGTGACACCCTTCGGTCGGTCCTCCTCCTCCGAGTCGGAATCTGAAGCAAACGTAACGGTCCTGGATTTGAGTGTCTTTTCCGAGACTGCTACGGATGGAAGGCCAGTACGAGGGTCCAGAAGAATCTTTGGCACCGAGGCAATCTTGCGTGCACTGGTGTCTCGTGCACGAATGAGACGCGGATGGTTTTCGAGATTGGAATACGTTGCTGCAAATGAATGAGCTAAGCACACAACTAAGTAAGACGAGGCCCACTGAGGATCGTCTCGCAGTCCCATCGGTCGTTTCGGTCGTCGATGTCGAGCGGCATCAAGATGTCCTCTTCCTCAGAATCGCCCTCCTGCTCGATTCTCACGCGCTCATCTTGCCCCATTGCGCGACGGAGAGTCTCTAGTTTGTCAGCTCCGCTTTCTCCATCGAGCTTCGGCTTCATTTTTCGACCCAGGATCTCATATTCGCCCAGGAACTCGTCCATCATCGATTCAAAATCGTCCCTGGACGTTATGAGTTGAGGAGCGTCGTCGTCGTCGTCATCCTCGAGATCATCCTCCTCGGAAGGCTCTGTCTCGTCATCCGAATTGTACTGCTTGAGTATCATCTTCACGAAGCGATCAGCTCAGGGAATAGAATGATAGACTCTACTGCGTACCTGATCAAATCGTTCATCGAGCGTTTGAAGAGCTTCATTTCGGAACATTGAAGAACTGCTCATGCTGTAGCCCGAAGCATCACTGGTCCCTTTTCTTCTTCTCTTGCCCTTTCCTCCAATCACGGACATCTCGGGAAGTTGACCAACAGTGTCTGCCCCTTCAGAACCATCGGCTCCATCATCGCTGCCGGTTGCTGCTCCCTGTCGCTTCTTGAATTGCGAGAATCTGGCCTCCCAATCTGCAGATTCATCTAGATCCTCCTCCTCGTAGTCCTCTTGATCTTCCGCCCCTTCTTCAGCAAATTCGAATTCAAGTTCTTCATCGCTTCCTCTCTCCCCATCGCCCACTAAGTCCCCAAAGAAATCATCATCGAGACCGTCATCGACAAAAGCGTCGTCCTCGAGGGCCTCAAGAGTTTGACGCAGATGTGGATCCATGTCAGGCTGGAAACCAGCGATGCTCGCCGGAACGGCTTGTTGGGATTCATACGTTCGCGGCAGCTCAGACGTGGATGCTAGAACCCCTTCCGGCAGGTCATCCTTCAGAGCCACCCCCTTGCCCTTCACTTTTGATTTCCTAGGGACAGCTTCCAGGAGCGTGCTCTCGACCCCGTCCTCCTGTACGCCGACTTGACGCAGATGTTGCATATAGTCATAGTCCGAATCATCGTAGTAGATCCCATACGCAGCAGCTTCGCCCAAATTTCTTGCTCGCTCGGTACTGGGTAGCTCCGCCTCGAGATCTGCACGAGTTTTTCCTTTCCGTGCATTATCGCGTTCGAACGGTTTGAGGACGTGTTTGCTAGCGTCCGGATCGTGGATAAGAGGATCACGCTGGGACCGATGTACAAGTTGAAAGTGTTTCGCTCCTGGTTGCCGGAATATGGATTTGGAAGGCATCCCAGCAGCGGTTCGTGGTACAGAGAGAAAAAATCTCAGTTCCCAATTCGGAAGGCGATCAAAATGCCGCTGGTTCTTTGCGAGATGCCTGAGAATGCCGACGTTATCTACAGAAACACAATTACAACTGTGCACATCATGTATATTACATTTACAGCTCTGGCTCGTCGTCTTCGTCCCCAGAAACCTCTGCATTTTCTTGCCCAACCTTGGCCATGAGTTGAGCCAGATCGGCTTCGTCCGATTCGGAAACAGCTTTGGGCTTGGAAGACATGAATCTCTACCAGTCCTCAACATAGGGAACCCCCGCACCTTCATTTTGACAACACAGTTCCCTCCGTCATCTTCGATGGTGGATTGTATGCCTTCGATGGCGCGTTCCAAACGTTCCACTGCAGCGAACTTGTCGGTGGCGTTTGTGCTTTGTTTCCAAGTTTGAACAAGAGCGCGATCGGGACATCTGAACAACATACCTCAAGACATATAACGGCGGGGCGACCAATTTTGCTTTGATTGGGACCGCATCCGTGCTTGCCTTTTCCCCTGCTCTCAGAGCCCGCTTGATGGCATCGATCCCAGCAGGAGTGTAGCACGTCAACTCGATATCTGCACGCAACTTGATGGGCTGGGGGGTCAGACGGCGAGCGATGGTAGTAGTGAGGAGAGTGAGGGTGGCTTCGGGGATCGGAGCTGCAAGAGAACCGAACACAGTCTCTGGCTCGCTGACGAAAAGATGTAAGAAAAAGCTTGAACGATTGATTATCATGAGCACGCACGTCAAGGCCAGCTTGAAAGCATCGTAGGGGTGGCCGTAAGTACGCCCCAAGGGCCAGGCGATCGTTTCGTAAAGCATCTCCAAGCGTTCAGCCTCTCCACCAACAGCCGGTGCATCCTCAACGACAGGTGCTGGTGCTTCCTCCTCGACCCCCTTTTTACGCGCACGCTTCTCCCTTTCTCCAGGGAGATCGCCACCAAGCTTGCTAGCAACATGTCGAAGGATGCTCGCAACGCTCTTGCTCTTCATATAGCGTTCCTCACAGCGGGTGATATCTTCAGGAGAAACTCGTCGCTTCGATAGATCGATGTAGCCTTTCTCGTTATCGACACGCAGGACGACGACTACTTCGTTGCGGCCGACACGGATAAGCTTTTGGACTGAGCGGATACGACGACGAGAAAGCTCCGAAAGTAGGATCATGCCCTCTGTATTATCGTACTCGAGCAACCGAACGTAGGCACCCATTTCAGCGATGTGCTGCACCTGTACCATGACAAGTTCATCGACCTCGGGATATTTTTGTTCGTAGTACCGCATCGCGAATGGGAGGCAGAGATGAGTGTTGTTGTGACCTTTTTGGTGGAGTCACGATCAAGATTAGCAGAAATTTGAACGATGCGGTGAATGATTGCAGCCCGCGACCAGGGACACAACCGAATACATGACGACGCAAATTGAAAGCCAGCTGAACGCTCAAAAGAAAGATTCTGCGGTGTAAGCGATTCTATCATCTGTGCGACGCCCCACTTTATGGGTACGTTGCTGAAGAGTTTCATTGCGAATTTTCATCTGATATAACCTGTATACATTGAAAGTACTGAGAGTTTTTACGACTACAGATTGAACTCCTTGGGAGCATTCTATTGCGATGTTCGGTGTCAGATGTAGAGAAATATCCAGAGAGTCTTTCGGGCATGTTGGGGGCTCATGATCAAGAACGGGTTAGGAAGCAAGTTGGGACATTGAATAAACGTGGGCCATCCACTCCAAAATCCGAATTTCCGATCATGCGTGCCCCACTGTGTCGTGATAAATAGCAGGTGTGGAGGTGAGACATGCGTCTCGCAAGCTCCTCAAGAGGCAGCCAAGGAAAGACACGACCAGAGGTCAAACTGGTAGTTCTTTAGTGGCGGGGCTGTGCTTATTTGAAGGATGTTTGGAACATTCGAGAACGCAATGGTAAGGAAGCCTTGCAGACAACAGAGCAAGCGTGCGCGCAAAAGCTAGAGAGTAAAAGTTTTCGTCGTTCGTCACGGAGATTGATCATTCCCTTATTTCTTGCTTGGGGAGCTTCGACCACCGAGTATGAATCGAGTCAAAGCTTTGTTGATCATGGGTGTTTGGGTGAGAGTTACAAACGTGACAGTGACAGTGACAAGCGTCCATGCTCACGCCAACTCCATTGGCGGACCCAGCATAGGCCTTACACTTCTGCTCATCCTCTCGAAACTCCTCCATTCGCGCGATAGACCCTTGAATTGATACTACCTGCATCAAGTGCGACTGAAATGGACGGTCGGAGTCATTCTCAGAGGGAGCAAACACGTCGCGGCTTCTCCATATACGTGCCTTCACTGCCTCTAACACGCCCCTACTGACATCTCTTCGGTATCTACTAGTCATCAAAAGGTCGTTTTGGAGATAGACTTTACGGGATGCCTATGGGTGCGTGAAGCCGTTGGCCAGGGCGCTTGTGGCGGAAGTCTGACCAGTTGCGACAGGGATATACGGAGATCACCATTGTGCCTACGAGCAAGGACCTGAAGACTATCAACCTTCACTCGAGACAGTGCAGTATGCCGATTCCTACCGCCGTATAAGGATGATTTGAACCGTTCGTCCACTTAGCTATCCAAGACGTCACAGTCGCGAACTTGAAGGCCGATTTCATCCACCATGATCCTCTCGCCAATCTATCAGTCGGAAACCCAGGCGAACCGCTGGACTGTCACAGACACCCGGAATTGAAGCGAAAACTTTACTCCGCTCTCCAAGAAAGTGAAGAGGGAGAACTTTCCATTGCCGTTCCATTGGAGGTAGCCTTGAAGTATTCGGGCTCTTCGTTAGTCCAGGTCCATAACGACTGTATGTCTGGCTATCTGCCTATTCTTGACACACTCTGAAGCTTGGACAGTGGCTACCCCGGAGCCGTCGACGTCCGGACCATCCCAGACAGTACAAGAATTCGCTCCTATATCCATCAAGATTTGGTATAGTCTCCGGAACCCGGTCGATGGGTTCGAGTTTGTGGTTCCTACCGAATCGTATCCCTATGTATGTGTTGGAAATTCTCTGGCGCACCACCCATTCAACGAACTTTTCAGCGTGTCCCTCACGCTTATACGACTCCGTCATCTCCCGATGCAGCCCGTTGCTGGGTTCCATGCATCGACAGTCCGTGGGAGAAATGTACATGGGAGTTTGAATTCGTGGTGCCCCGATATCTGGAAGATGTGTCTCTTGAAGACGGAGAGTCCACGGATGCCAATCCGACATTGGTTGTTTGCAGTGGGGAGTTGGTCGAGCAGGTGCGCCCCGCAACCTCCTTTCGCTTACTCCATGCTGAACTACGGGTCAGGTCGCCCATCCGTACAACTCCCACAAGACTATCTTCTTGTTCTCGCAAGCCGCTCTAACATCTGTGCAACATATCGCATTCGCTGCCGGTCCCTTCCACATGTATTCCATTCCCGTGAATCAAATCGCCGAGGATGGAACATCTACTCAACCGCCTATACATGCATTTTGCCTTCCGGGACACGAGAGCATGTTGACCACGTCGACATCCACATTGCGCACCGCCATGAGCTTCTACACGACTGAATTTGGATCTTACCCCTTCGGCTCGTACAAGCTCGTGTTCGTGGACGAACTTCCGACGCAGAGATTTGACAGCTCGACGTTCACATTGCTGACCGTGGACCTGTTGCACGGAGAAGATGCCATCGAACAATGCCTGGAAACTCGTCATGCGCTGGCTCATGCACTTGCATGTCAGTGGATGGGCGTTAACATTCAACCGAAGGTGTTCTCCGACACATGGTTGGTGAACGGGTTATCGTTATACATCACCGGCCTCTTCATGAAGAAGCTACTGGGCAACAACGAATACCGATTCCGGCTGAAGAAAGATATGCAACGGGTTGTGGAGCGTGATACTGGCCGGGAAGCACCACTCTGCCAGCCGACACGTCTGGAGCCGCCTGACGGGTCGGAAATCGCATTTGTGAATCTCAAGGCGCCGTTGGTACTGCACATCCTCGATCGAAAGCTGGGCAAAAGTGGCACCTCGCTCGGTCTTTCGCGTGTGCTGCCGAAAATCTTCCTCTCTGCTCTCGGCGCCGAAATTAACACGATATCGACGCACATGTTCCTCCGGACGTGCCGGAAAGTGAGCGGGGTGGATCTGCGGATGTTCGCTGAGCAGTGGATCTATGGCAGCGGATGCCCGATGTTCTGGTTCAATGCGAGCTTCAACAGGAAGAAGATGGCTGTTGAAATAACGATGCGGCAAGAATGTGCTGCTTTCAAGGCACTCGAGGGCAACGATCATGCCAATGTGATGCTCAAGCCCGTAGCCTGCTTCGAGGGGCAAATGACCGTTCGGATTCACGAGGCTGATGGAACACCTTACGAACATGTGCTGGATATCCAGTCCCCGTTCAAGCGCTACGAAGTGCCATTCAACACAAAATACAAGCGTGTCCGTCGGAACACCAAGCGGTATCTCGCTCGCCAGGCTGCAGCACAGGCTGCAGCCGAAGGTGACACGGAAGCCGCTGAGGCAATGGGCATGGTGGACATGGGTTTCGGGCTGGAAGTCTGGGAAAAGGAGAGCGAGCGCAACAATTGGAAGGTCGAAGATTGGACTGAAGAGGAAGAGAATGCCATGAGCGGCGCCACTTACGAGTGGATCCGGATGGACGCGGACTTTGAGTGGATTGCGGATATCAAGTTCGAACAGCCGGATTTCATGTGGGTGTCACAGTTGCAGCGCGATAGAGATGTTGTTGCCCAGCTGGAGGTGCGTGTTGTCATCTTTTTTCAGTCATCGAACTCAATGAATGAATTCTATACACTAGGCACTCCACGCATTGGCGCAACAGCCTACGGCCATCGTGTCGAGTACTTTGACAAAGACGGTTCTCGTGTCCAATTACTACTTCAGGATACGATGTGAGGCTGCCTTAGCTCTGGTCAACGTGCGGTATTCAGTCTTTTCACTCTCAACCCGCTCACCTTCCCCTCCAGTGCTCGACACATAAGCTCAAGTACCTTGGCTTATTCCATCTATTCAAGCTTTTCCTCAGACATTGTTATGAACCCGAAGATCCGAACCAAGACCTTTTCGCCCATACTTATGTTCCCAAGCCCAATGATTTCTCTGACCTTCCGGAGTATTTTGTTCGCAAGGTAGATTGTCTGCTCCATAACGGCATATTTCGGTATGTTGACGCAGTGTCACAGAGTCTCATCCTCGCTATATCCCGTATTCGCTTTGAAAATGGCAAATCGCCATCTGTTGTCCGCAAATTTCTCATTGATCAACTCAAATATAACGACAATACCTCCAATATTGTGCGTTCTAATTTTTATCTGCTCTGCCGCGCGCGCTCATTCCACACAATTGCTAGTACTCTGACGGATTCTACATCTGCATGATAATATCTGCCGCCGCTTATTCTGCGGTGTCCACGGCTTCTCCTGAACGAGGAGAGCTGCTTCCCTCGGAAGTACGCACCGAGTACAATGAAGAAGATGCCGACCTGTTGCAGCAGAGTATTGGAGAGGTGGATCGGTATAGGTCGATGGATCGTTTGATTCCGTCCACACACAACGTTGTCACCGTCGCAGCACTCGAGGTCTGTTTCATCTGCATCCTTGTCTTGTGTAGCTGACAGGCTCTCGCAGTTTTACCTCGTGCTGATGGTGGCAAATTTGATCCCAAGCTCCCCACTCCACTTCCTGCCCTTGACTCGAGAAGGCAACCAAACGCAAGTGCGAATCGCTGCATTTGACGGATTTTTCATGACCAAATGGTTTTCGCCACCGATCATGAACTACGTGATGGCTGTCATGGCCGGCGATCCCTGCCGTGTTATTCGACGGCACGTGGCTCGTGCTGCCTGCCAGAGCTTAACGTTGCTCTTCCAGATGGGAGAGATGAAGGTGAACGGCAAGGATAACGAAAGCCTGTTGATCGAGGAGGATGGATCAGTGCAGGAGAAGAGCAAAGAGACGAGGAAGAGTGAGATGGACGCCATGATCAAGGCCTTGAGAAAGGATAAGGAGGTCGGCAAAAACGAAGTGCTGCGAGACTTGTTGATGCCGCTGGCTCTGTATGTCGCCAATGTGCATCACCGTTCTCCAAGCATTTACTCACGGTTTCATTCGCAGTGCGCCCGAGGTCGATCATGACGTCCGATTGTGTCTATTAAAGCTGGCGGATCTCCTTATCAAGCCAGTTGAGGAGACTGCTCCGTCTGTCAAGATTCATATCTCTGCCAGTACCCCAGTGGCCGAGAAAGCACCCGAGCTTCCTGTCCCAGCTAAAGCTCGACCATTGAAGATCAACGGACCCGCCACTGCCGCAAGCCCAGGTCCGGTCATGGCTTCAACGCCTGTTCCTCCCAGGCTGAAACTCCGTCCTGCGACACCACGGGAGTCGACCCCCAGCACCTCCACAGGGAGCGTCGAGCCTGCAGCTCGTGTGACACCACCGGTGAGGCCGCCATTGGTCAGGGCACCCGTTCCAGCTCGGCCAGCACCGGCAGCTCGATCAGCGAACGCAACCAGGCCAGCAACTGCGACCCGGCCAACTCCAGCGGCCAGGACTGCACCACCGGCGAGAGGCCCGTCGCAATCTCGGCCAGTTCCACCTCCAACGACAGCCTCATCTCGGGCAGTTTCATTTGCGGTACCAGCTGTGCCACTGAAGTCGAAGGCAACCGCAGCAGTCCCCCTCGCCAAGGCCAAGGTCAAACCGTCACATCCTGCTCCTCAGCCCGTTCAAGATGTGAAACCGGCAAAACTTCTCAAGGCCCAGGCTGCGGGGATGTCACTGATGGATCTCCGGGCATCCCGGAATGTGTTGAAGAAGTTGCAGAACAACAAGCATGCTAAGATTTTCTTGCATCCTGTGGATCCAATACGGGATAACGCGCCCAAGTGGGTCTGATCCGATTTGACTTTTTCCACGACTCATGATTGGAACACAGCTACTTCAACGTCATCAAGAATCCTATCGACCTTGGCACGATGTCGCACAAGCTCGACTCGGGGATGTACCGAGATCGCTTTGCGTTCCAGGCTGATTTCCGGCTGATGATGGCCAACGCGAAAAAGTACAATCCGGTGGGAACGTTCGCGCACAATGAGATGCTGGCGCTCGAGACCTTCTTCGAAAAGCGTGCGTGTACTGACTTGTTCTTCTAACCCCTTGCTGAAATTGGAGGTGCAGAATGGAGTATGATGACGAAGACGCTCGAGAACAAGGTCGCTGCTGATGCGGAACGAGCGATCGCTCAACCTCCCCCTCCTCTTTCGACAGCCCCGGTCCCAGTCCGCCCCAAACCAGCAGCTGCCTCAGCCGCACGGTCAGCTCGGGAAGCAACGTCTTCGTCGTCGTCGTCCTCTCAGCCGACAATCAAGCTAAAGCCTCCACAAGCCGAGTCCAAGCCTAATGTTAAGCCGCCTCGGAAGAAGTCTCGAACGGAAGTGTCGCCAGCCGTGGAGCAGCCTCCGCCGCCGTACGTCGACGACGGATCGCACGACATCTTGCAAGAGGTTCTTGCTCTCGAACGCGAGCAGGAGGACAAGGACAAGAAGCATCGGGTCAACGGGAAACGGAAACAGCCGATTACACCAGCAGAAGACCCGGATGGCGATCTGTTGGCGTTGGTGACCAAGCCGAAGCCAGGGCCCACTCGGCCAGCACGTGCGGCGGAACCTTCGTCGTCATCCTCATCTTCAGCAGCACCACCAGCACCACCAGCACCGATACCCAAGATCGTACTCAAGACGGCTGCGGCGGCACCGTCGCGTTCATCATCGGTGGATGTGCCTCGGGCATCTGTCAAAGGCAAGGAGAAGGAGGTGGTGCGGATTAAGAAAGAGCGGCCTGCTGAGTCGGGCATTCCCGTCGATGAGAAGAAGATCAAGCAGTTGTTGAACATGCTCATGAAGCTGCCAGAGGCTGGTATCTTCTTACGTCCAGTGAATCCAGAGCTGGACGGGTGTCCGACGTATGTGGCGTGGTCACTATCCTCCGCATACTTACTGACCATCAACTGACAGATACTATCAAGAGATCCGACATCCGATGGACCTAGGCACAATATCGAGCAAGCTCTCCGCGCACCAATACGCGACGATGGAGCAGGTGAAAGACGACCTCGACCTGATGGTGCGCAACTGCCGCAAGTTCAACCCGCCGGCGACGTTCCCCGTGAACTGCGCGGATGTGATCGAGAAGGCCTACAAGAAAGAGTGGCCGAAGCTCACTGAGCGGAAGCTCTCGCTGACGGAGAAACGTGGGATGCAAGGACTGTTGAACACTTTGGTCAAGGAGGACATGTGCGTGATGCTGCTGCCTCTTTTCTTCTTTATATTGCAGACTGACTGACTGTCGTGGCTAGCTCCTGGCTGTTCCGCGAACCCGTCGACCCAGTCCTGCTGCAGATTCCGACCTACTTCGATGTCGTCAAGAACCCACGCGATCTACGAACTATCCGAGCGAACCTGAACGCGGACAAATACGACTCGCTGGATGCGTTCGATGCGGACATGCAGCTGATGGTCAACAACTCGACTCTGTTCAACGGGCTGGAGTCGGAGGTCGGGCTCATGGCCATCAGCTTGCGGAACCGGTATCTCGAGTTGGTGGCTGCGTGGCGAGCGAGTCTTGGTGCCGCTACGAATGGCAGCAGCGGCGGCAAGAAGCGTAAGGACGAGGAGCGGGGCAGTGCCCAGCCGTCGAAGAAGATGCGCACAGCCTGAATTGGATAGGACTTAGTGTATCATGTGTAGTAATAGCTGTATCATACGCGTCCCAACAGGTGTACCAGTTTTATCATGTTGCATCCAATGGCAAGCGCGCGTAGTATGCGTAGATATCTAGATGTAGATGAAATGAGGACACGGTCAGGGCAAAAGTAAGGAGAAAAACGACACGAGCAGGACTTGAACCTGCGCTCGGAGACCGAAACAGATAAGAGGAAATTCGAATCTGTCGCCTTAACCACTCGGCCATCGTGCCTTATATGGTAAGGATGAATAACATGTAATCATATGCATCATAAGAATTCAGGCATCTATCTCACTCTCTCTCAAGACCCTCTAAGCCATAGTGCATTGCATGCATGTATGAATGAGAAAGAGCTCTGTAAATATATACACGCGAGAAATATCGTCAAGGCTACTCAACGCGACATCATTACACCGCCACGAGTCATTTGACATGTCCGTCGATGACTTGAGCTGATTCGCTGCCGAATGATCATCAAGCTCCTGTATAAAGTCTGACCAGCCCTCTATCTCAATCATCTGACATCCATCCATGGCGCGTACCCTGAAACTATCTGCTCGCGTCAATTGCAAGTGTCTACTATGATGTTGTCTACCCTCGGCTTCCTAACGTCTACATAGCTATCAAGTCCGTGACTGTTTATAAACGCGGTTCTGTCCAGGGCCTTTTCGGAGCGGGATCGGCGGGGAAGACTAGCAGTGCAGAGATCGTGCGCGTCTTCCCCCTCAACCTCCAGGTGAGCTCATTTCCTGCTCCTCAGTCGTGTACATCTCTGTACATGCTATCGCATACTCCGAAATCCAACGTGACTCAATCCACCATTGCAAGCCGGGAAACACGAAAATCGAGATCACTGAGCTGCCTAGTTGCATCGACACGCAATCTGTGCGCGTCTCGGGGCTCGGCGAAGCGCGACTATTCGATGTGGTGTGCACGGCCCTCGCTCCGGGATCCAAGCCAACCGCAGCGGAGGGTGAGGCCGTGCGTCTGCTGCTGAAGGAGAAGCAGCTGCTCGAGAGCCAGCGAAGCGTGCACGACCACGAGTCGGACGTGCTCGTCAACTACGCCAAGACGCTCAAGGGTGAACATGTCCCCCCTGCGGAGATGGTTGAGTTCCTGCAGAGTTTCGTGCAACAGGGACGTAAGAATCTCGAGGCTGTGGCCGAGATCGATGAGAAGCTCGTCGCGGTGGAGCGTAAGATCGAGGCTGAGCGCGAGAAGTCGGCAGCGAGGAAAGGCGCAACCGAGGGACAGGTCGTCATCGTCGTCGGGGCCGATAGTGCGACCAGCGTTGAGCTCAAGTTGACTTACAGTGCGTTTCTGCTTTTAAGCTCTTGGTCGATTAACTCATCTTTCCTAGTCGTTGCGAATGCCGCATGGGACAGTGCGTATGAGCTGCATTCGACCACAACGAACGGCAAACCAGAGTCCGCTGTATCTCTCCATTACCGTGCTCGCATCGTCCAAAGCACCGGGGAAGACTGGACCGATACGGCACTCACACTGAGCACCGTCGCTGCTTCCACCGTGGTCAAGGACATCCCTCTGCTCCGACCGATCAAGATTCAGGCGCAAGCTCGGGGCGGAGGGCTGTTTTCCAACAACAATCATACGGGCTTCAAAAACCAACTCCCCCAGGCCTCTTCGAATAACATGGGCCCGCAAGCCTTATTTGGTCAGAGACCACCGCAGCAGGCTCCTTCCGGCACCTCCATCTTTGGCTCGGCCGGTGGGGGACTTTTCGGGTCTTCGCAGGCGCCTGCGCAACAACAGCAACAACACCCAGCGACGGGCGCAGCTTTCGGTGCCTTCGGCGGAGGCGGGACCACGACCTTAGCGAGTGCTGCTGCTCCGGCAGACGGCGACATCGAAGTCGGGCCGTCGGAAGACTTCGAGGAGATTGCGATCCCGGATGTGCAATCTGGGCCGACGACGATCGTGAGCGAGACGCCGCTGGCGATGACCTATGCTGTCGACGGTAACACGACGGTCCCCAGTGACGGGACGGCGCACCAGGTGTCGATCGCTATTCTGCCTTTTGAGGCCAAGATCTCGCATATCTGCACCCCGCGCATCGATCCCCGGGTGTACTTGCGGTGCCACGTGAAGAATGTCAGCGAATATAGGCTGTTGCCGGGACCGGTCACTGTCGTGCTCAATGACAGTTTCGTATCCAAGACGTCCATCGGGGTCAGTGAAGCTAACTGTTTGTCTCTCGTCGTTCTGAAGGAATTCCCCAGGAAATCAATACAGGCGACACGTTCACGTGCACACTCGGCCACGACGTTTCGACCAAGGTCACCTACGCGCGGAGCTCCAAGACCGTCACAGCGTCGGCCGGCTCCTTCCAAGAGACGATGAACACAACGACCTACACCACCAAAATCACGATCACGAACAAACACGCATTCAAGCTCGCCGAACTGCTCGTGCGCGACGTCATCCCCACCTGCGACGACAAGCGCGCCAAGGTCATCCTGCGCAAGCCGGATGGCCTGGCGGATTCGAAAGACGGCGAGCTGGTCAAGCTCCAGCAGGCAGGCCTCCAGGTCCGGTGGGGCAAGGGCTCGGGCGAGAAAGATGGGCGGTTCGAGTGGATGTGGAGCGTCGAGTCTGGAGCATCGGTGGCGCTCGAGGCTGAGTGGGAACTAAGGGCGCCGGCGGATGTGAGCTGGGTCGAGCATGTGCCCCTCTTCGCCTGAGGGATTAATACAAAATATGTTATAGTTTCTGCTGTACTAGTACAATCACTGCTCGGATCGAGATGAGTGCGAATGTCGTGATCGGAGAGCGGTCCTGGAACCACCGCCTACTTGCTCCAGGCTAGGCCGAAAAGAAGTCAGCATCAAAGCACACCGCAGCGCATATAGCAGCGCACAAGCAATCGATTTGATCCTCGTTCTCTAGTCCCAAACTACACCGATGAAACGCGGTCAGACGCGGTGCAGCAGATATGTTACAGCACGCACTCCGCGGGTGTCTCGTCTTTGCTGATCCGCTTGTCCTCATGGACGAATTTGAACGTTCCTGGATACATCGCGTCATTCGGGCGCGAACACACACGCGTCTTCGCTCAGGACGCACCGGGTTCCTTGCCGAACCGTTGCTTGACAAGAGACACTAAATCAGCCGCTGTGCGTAGAGAACTTGAGAAGTGGAGCGTCACCTCAGCAGCTGCGAATATCTTTGCGAATTTGGTGTTAGATTTGACTTTCACGGTGATCGCTACGAAGACGCGTCAGCGGCAGACTCGTCTGGACCTGAAGGCAGGCGGTGGGAGGTGAGGGAATGGGTGTGGGACACTGACGCTTGTCATTGAAGACGAGGGTGAGCTCCAGTTTGGGTTTCACGTCTTCGTGTTCTTGTGACATGTTAGACTGAGGTGAGGCTACGCAGTGGCGTCGATGTGAGGAGGATGGATGGGAAAACTTAGAGAACGGTAAGTCACATGCACGTGCTCTGGTCACAGACAAATAAGTACTTGATCCGATATCGTGTTGCGGTGGATTTTTGACCCCGTCTCATGACTGGTGGTTGCTCGGGGACTTGAAGACCTATCCTAAGCTTTATGAAGTCCAGAGAAATATGTAGGTAACTGAACCACGACACCATGACTACTGGTCTTGTCGTCTAGTTATTCCCATTATGATTCACTCATTCTCGAGAATGTTTACGATCATTGCTGGCTTCACGTGAAGCAGTGAGGCGATGAAGATGATGCGGCGCTCCATTATCGGATTGCTTCTTCCAGTGCATGCGTGTGTGTGTGTGACGGGGATCAATATCAGCTCGGAACAACTTACTGTTCAATCATACACGGGAGTAGAACTCGTTTCAACAGTCGAAATCCTGTAACTACCTGGCCAGAGATCCTCTCCAAAATGCAGCACGACGCAACCACGATGCTGGTGATGCTGATGACACGCCAGCAGGTGTGTGGCGGACATCGTGGTCTTGCCTGAACCCCCAAAGCTGGTAGAGAGGATCTGAATCTGCGTGTATCGGAATGCCTCGGAAGGGACTGTTCCCCTCGCCTTGGTTAGCGAGTGATCACCATCTGCCTTGACACAAACTCGTTCTCACGGTTCAATTGCCAGTCTGCTCTACATGCAAGGCACTCCACTCAACTGTACTGGCATACATGGATGTCAGTCCCACTGATTGATTCCCGCAGTTGTCTGCACGACTCCCGCCGTTCGCGGAAAATTCAGTCGGTTCCTAAATTATGTCATAAGTTGCAAAGGAGGTGGGCGGCGTTTGCCACGGGACTGACATGTCAATAGCCATTCTGGCGTATCTGGTTAGCAGGTAGGCCCTAGTCCATGAGATCTTGGTCAATTTCATTTGAAAATTGTTCCGTTTACAGCTCATGAATGGATGAGTTCTGGCTATCGGGTGCGCGACTCAATACGGCATATGTCAGCTGTAGATACAGTATCTGTAAGACAATGTGACAACGAAATAACGCAATGTAACATGATCATGCTGCAGTTCGACTGCGCACCTCGCTTTCGCACAACCGTGTCTGACTCAACGCTGCATTCCCAAACAGGAAAATACGACCGACCGATTCGGCTGATCGGTGGCACGGGTGTCGGCTTGGCGACCGTCGGACGGCTCCGGGATGAGATCCGGGGGTCCTGTCCGATGGCTTGAAGTCGCGGCTCTCGGTCCGTCGGCAACATATCGGCAAAGTTAGAAAGTGGAAGAAGCAGTGAACATCTGAACATGGGAATCGCACAACAGAAAGACCGGAGGTCTAGATTCTGGAAGGAGTTTTGATCCTGGGCACCACGATCCTCGCAGGAGTGAGGTCTTTCGCTGAGCGCACACGCGCGCATACAGGCACCGGACAAAAGAGGGCCATTCGATCATCAATCTGGAAAGTTGCGGACACGTCCATCTCATCAGAGGTTTGCGGCGCTGCACATTGAGGTTGTGTTCAATCAGGCCATCCTAGTCAACTATACCCACACTCAGGCAAAGTAGACAGGCGCGGTTTGACCGGGCCTCGGATGGTAGCGGGCTTCTGTGAGATCGACGCCTTGCCTAGTACATACAACCTGGCAAGACACAAGCACGCCCCCGTTGACACCTTTCATCCTTTCTCCCACCTCCTTCGCACTTGCGCACCCATACGCACCCCGAGCACGCGATGGACATCCAGATGCGCCAGAGCACGGTTCCGAGGGCCGAGGCTCGCGGGCCTTCTGAAAAGAAAGCGCAGCTGCACTCGCTCGTCATCTCGCCAAACCTGGACGCACTCCTCGAGCACGACGAGCGCATGCGGCGCACCCACCATCCCATGCACCACGCGCACACCAGTTCGCTGTCCACGCTGTACGACTCGTCGGCGACGGGTCACACCAGCTTGCCGCCACCGCCGCGTCGCACGCGCACAGGTGGTTCAGCATCTCCCGTCTCGCCCTTCATGGGGCAGATGAGCCCTATCCCGATGAGTCCGTCGACACCCATGAGCAGCAATGGAGCGCATAGACCAGAGAATAATCCGTATATCAATCCAGCACCCCAGTTCGTGTTGGCAAAGTCGTCGGTGATGGCGTCCCCGATTTCGCCTCCGCCGAGATCGTCGTCACTATCCATCGGCGGTATGCCAATGTCTCCCTCCACGAGGCCTCGCGGACAGGATGCGAAGATGGAAGGAACGCCGCAGGCAGATGGTGGTTTTGGTGGCGAGGAAGCCACTGATAGCCGAGCCTGGGCCCCCATTACGGCAGCACAGACCGTTGAGCGACGACGGTCATCATCCCAAGCTCGCAGAGAGTCTGCTCCCCATTCGAAGGGGTCTGTGTCGAGTCGAGAGGAGATAGTGGACAAGGATAAAGCGAAGCTGAGGTCCAAGCTGAAGATACCCCGACGGCCTCGCACAGCAGACGCAGTTGTTTACCCTCGCAAACTCGTCAAGGCGTCCTCCCGCACGTCTTCGTCCTCCAACGAAGGGTCCATGCCCTCTCAGGCGACGTCTTTATCGGTTTCTGTTGGTCCCCCAATGCCCGCGTCGCCCGGTCGTGAGTCGTTCATGGACATGTTTTCTCCTGTGGCGGATGGAATGAAGAAGACACGATCCTCTATTTACGACGATGATGATCAATTCACGAAGGGCAGTTTAAGCCCCTTAGCGGCCGCACCGCCGTCCCCTCTTCCTGTGCCGAGAAAACGAGGTCCGGTCCTGGACTTAGCGAAACCTCCGATCCCGACCACGCCTAAACCTGATTTCCGTTCTTTACGCCGGCCCACATCGCAGACTGTCCCCTCGTCACCCATTGCCCCTCCACCTGTGGTGCCGCTTCCCTCGCAGCACCCAGCGACGATGCCTCCGACGACTAATTTCCTGAACCCCTCCGAGCGGGCTCAGCTGATCAAGAAGAGCCGGAAACTTGCTCAGATGTTCGGCCAGACCCCCGGCCCAGCGGATATTCTGTTGGACGGTGCAAGCAAGGACACGAGTTTCCTTGCTTTGGACGTGGCGGAGCCGAGGACGACAGCGAAAGGAAAGAACAAAGCCCCAGGCCACCGGCCGGCCGCTTCGATGAACATGCTTGGCCAGGTGCCCATGACCGTGCGGCCAGTCCCACCGTGGCCAGTACCGAAGAGGTCGGCCGAATCGCCAGCAGACTCGCAGGGCACCTGGCCTGCGCTGGAGCATGGGAAAACGATTTATATGGACGCGAATGGGAGACGGAGGAGCGAACCGAACACGCCTGTGACTGCCTCTGACTCTGCATCGTTCATGGACTTCAACTCTGAGTCCGAGTCCGAGTCCAACGAGCTATCCAGCCCACCTCTGGTGCCTGCAGTCGATGATGAAGCAGCGTCGATCATGACCCTCAGCCCCGACGACTCCATCTCTGTCATGGGACCGTCACGCCTCGTCCACGTCCCTTCTGTCGCCTCACTCGCTCCGACCATCTCGAACGCGTCGATTCTGACCGTCGAACGCGAGGAGGAGAGCGACGCCGAGTCTGAACGGCGGCGGGCTCGCGCCAAACTCGCCAAGCTACACCGCTACCTTGGCTCGCGGGTCCCCGCGAATCTCGTTCTGGGGCCCGCATTCGCAGGCAAGCCTCTGCCAGCAGAGCAGCCCGAGTCGCCGATGCATTCTGACTTTGAGGGCTCGCCCTCGGGGGTGCTCCGCGGCCGACACGCGATCCACCCCAGCACCTGGACGCGCCGGAGACGCAGCTCTTCGGCCGTTCTGACCTCGACGCCCTCGTCATCGGACTGGTCAGATGACGTCGATCGCGTCAGGGAAGAGCTCGGGGACAGGGAAAAGGCCATGATCGTCAAACGCGCCAAGAAAGTCGGCAAGGTGCGTCTTGTGTTCCGTGTTGATTTCGATCTCTTAGGGGACTAGGTCTTCGGCGTCGCGCCTCCCCCGAGCTTGTATTCGGGCGCCTCCCCGACGCCTTCCATCAACGGTTCTGGGTCCGGGTCTGGACATTCCACCAAGTCGACAAATCAGAACCAGTCGTCGTATACCGGAAAGAGCCGGCACTCTTTCGTTGCCTCGCCCCGAACCCATCAGTATCCTGGTTCAGCGACCGGACGGAAGAAAAAGGCTGGTCGGCCAGGGACGAGTGACTCGGCTCAACACTTGCTGACGCCTACTGAGTCGTTGACCAACCTGTGCGACGAATCGATCGTGTATTCACATTATCAGCACTCGTTGAACTCGCTTGTCGATATCATTGACCGGGTCCGTTTCTCTAGTCTTATGATTCCAGGCTCTGACTGATTTGATCTCAGGACGACCGAGAGTCTCTGGTGGAGCTCCACCAATATCTTAACGCGGACGACGAAGACGAGAACATCAGCCCGACGGAAAACTATCTGGGCCGACACGAGTACCACTTGGACCCTGATGCCACGCCACTTTCTTCTCCAGTCGAGTTCGCACCGATCGGAGCTACTTCGTTCGCCAGTATCGGCGGAATTCTAGGTGCCGTGAACACCGTATATGACTCACCGCAAAGCCCACGGCCGAAATCCGAACGGCGGCGATCCATGCCAGCCCGGACGTCGACTGTCTCGCTGTCTTCCATTGTCACCGCCAACGAGTCACCCGCCAACTCCCCGACGGGCGAGGAGTTCCAGACGCGGCGGCGCCGTGCTGCGAAGCTCACCCAGTTCTTCGGCGTCGACTACCGCGAGCTCATCGATGACGTCGTCGAAAGTATCGAGGCGGGGCTGGAGGTAGAACGGAATCGAGGAACGCTCAAGCCGGCCGAGGCTGAGGTACGTGCTGTCACTGTCACCAGCTGTGATCGACGACGACTGAGCGCTGATCATCTTGCAGGCGCTGTTGCTTCGGCTTCGGACCTTGCGGTCGAAGCGATGAGACTCGGACAGGCGCCACCGCCACTGCAGACAGATCGATCGCATTGCTGCCTGGCCTCGACGACCGCCGACGCATGAACGATATCATTCATCTACATAACGACAATCTCACTGCCCATCTACATCGCAATGCTCCGCAACTATCCGTGCATCATCTATCCTTGTACTCTACCTGCCAACTCGCTGTCGTTAATACTTTGTTATGTTACTTACTAACCACGTCCGGTACTTATTCACTTAACCTTCGTGCAATCGCGGCATCTAGTTCTATTTATCGGGTGGGTACTTCTATATGTTGTCAATGGGAAAGAGCTGCCTATTCTCAGGATACCGGTATCCAGGACCATAGTGCCCAAAGTTCAAGCGGGCGAAGTCCCGTGATCGCGTTATCTATGTCACATGATTCATTTACGTCCACCGGAATGCACCAGTCTTGGTCCGTGGCAATACCGGAGTAGTGAGGTTGAGCAAGAAAATAAGAGCCAACTCCACCTGCAGCGGTCTAGTGGATTGTTCCCTACGAAAGGCTCTCGCGTGCAGAGAGGGAGCTATTGATTGGAGTAAACCTACGAAAGATGCAAGCGCGACGTTGTACTCGTTATTTATTACACTTTCAAATGGAAGGGAAGGAAGGGAATGCTTGGACGGCATTTCACCTCGCTTTTATTCACACTTTATTCACATGAGATATCGAAGATGCTAAGAAGAAGTGTATATCCCCCTGAGGCTACTAATGGGACGGGAGTTGAAACCGACTCTGACCAGCTCTCTGACCCCTTCCAGTGCCGTGAGAGATACTTCAATGTGAGACTGTCACACGGACGTGCAACAACAACGCGCGGGAGGCAGACGGCGCGCAAAGGACGGCCACTCTCCACTAGTTATTGGTGTGGTACTCAAGTGTCATGGTAGTGTCCAGTGACGAACCCGTCCCAACTTTTCAGCACTTTCGGTATTGCGGGTCGGCTTGATCCGGAAGTGTTGCGTTGTGCATCAATGTCAGGCTCGATGCAGATATCGGAGCAGACAAAGAGCTCATCACCTACCATCGGAGGCAGAAATTTGAGTCGTCGGCCAGAACAGATGAACAAGGGACAAGCTCAGGCATGAGAGTGCTCAAGAAGGGCTCAGGCTTCTCGAATGAGGGAAAAGAAAGATTCGTCATAGAACCCGCTCCATTTTTCAGGAGATGGACAGTAGTGAGCAAGGGTGCTTTCGAGCCAAGATTCAGCTCTTCTGAGAGGATTTGGGGACAGAGGCAGAGATCAAGTCGTTGATCGGAATGAACCACTGGCACACACACCGTCACGCCATCAAAGGTGCCCTTGTTCACCTTTGTTCACGATGGCTCATCCTTCGGACACGGAATACTACTGGAGATGCTCTTATGATTTCCTCGCGTCGTCAGGCTACAGATTGCGGCCCAAATTTGCCCCTGACTACGTCAAGCCGTCTATTCCAGTGAGGCCACTCGATGACCCATCGAGGCCAAGGCATGATGTACGACCCTTGGATTCTGCATGCTCCCAGCCGATTATATGCAGAGAGCAGAAATAATGGACGCAGAACGAATTCGCGACGGAAAACAAGTCATTCTCAAATGCGTCTCGAGATCTGTGCATTGCACCGAGGTGCAGATAGGCACGTTGTTCTCGACTGCTCCGTTGGCAAACGATCCTCGCAACCACTGTATCCCCATCCTCGAAGTCATACGTGACCCAGAGGACAGTGACAAGGACATCATCGTCATGCCTCGGATGGTGTCTGCGTTCGAGATCGTCACGCTCGGCTTTGAGACGGTCGGGGAGGTCGTAGACTGCTTCAGGCAGATCATGGAGGTGAAATCGCTCTTTTACACGCGTCTCTGGCTCATCTGATAATAGGGAGTGAAATTCATGCACGAGAACCTTGTCGCTCACCGGTGGGTCTCAGTTTTGTCCTATTGGATTGCGGGCTAAGCCATCCTCTGATCAGTGACTGCGTCTTTCTCAACTTCGTGGTTGATCCCACAGAGCTGTTCCCGAATGGGACCCACCCAGTGCGCACAGTCATGAATCCAGAATTCACGAAATTATCCACTGTCGTGTCCCGCACGAGCTGCTGGCCGCGTTATTACATCATCGATTTTGGATGGTCGGAGCGGTACGATCCAAAGTGCGGCCTCTTGTTCGAGTCTGTGGTTCGGGGTGGAGACAGGAGTCCGCCAGAGCACCGGACCTCCGAAAAACCATGTAATCCTTTCCCTACTGACGTGTACACCATCGGAAACATACTACGGACGCGGTTCCTCATGTCGCATTGGGGCGAGGTGAGTAATCTCCCTTCGATTTCAGGGACTCGTGTCCTCACCTGCGGCCCGGCAGCAATCCCATGCCCCTCTGCGGTTCCTGCAGCCGCTCGTCGATGAGATGACGCGTGAGGAGCCGTCGGCCAGACCCACGATCGGCGAAGCCCTGGCCCAATTTGATTTCGTGTGTGCGCAACTGACGAAATCTCAGCTCCGTGCACCGGGTGTTGCAAACGACGAGCTGTTCGCCGGCTGCATGCACTCCATTTTCCAGTTCCACAACTGGATCACATTTGTTAAGCCGCTTTCTCCACACCTGACTGCGCTCTATGCGAAGATTCGCAAAACGACTCGCCATCCTCCTACGGACCCATGGCCGGTGAATGCTGAGCTGCGGGCGCTCTACACTCAGACCCGTTCGGCTTAGGTATCGTTTGCTTTGTATTTGCTCTCCGATCTGCTCTCTACTTGTTGCTATATGCACCATGTAACATGTTGACACTTATATTTCATCGCCTCGCTTATTCCGTGTTTCGGAAGAAAGGCAAAGTATGTTCCACGGCTTGTGGCGCACCGGGAAATTTCCGAAGCAGAATCTGACTCGGTTCAATGGTGACAGACAAAGGACCCGTTCTATCAAACCACCGGCCTGCTTGAAGTGCGTAGCTCAATGAGATCCTCATGTCGAGACAGGCGGCCAAGCGAGTTCTACTCAGCTATCAGTGATGAATTGCATTTGGATGGTACAGGCGAATTGAAACTTGAATTCTAGCGGTTCCAGCGGAGGATCGGGTGCCACATGCAACGCAGCCGCGACATTCAACCACTGCATCGTATGACCTCCGCATAGCTCTTTCGAGTTTGTGGGACGTCATGTTGCCCAGATCTGTTCTTCACCGTAAACAGCACTCCACCTCCGGTTGATGAAGTTGTGAGCCGTCTTGCTACCAGTCTGCTTGTCGCAACTTTTAGTCTGGAACGCATCAGAGGAGACGCCGAGCTGAAGCCGCTGGCGCCGTCATCAATAACGGATCGATGAAATTCGACTGCGGATGGGAAGGATGTACAGTAATACGACAGACCCGTAAGTAGTCTTCCATCATCCAAGCTCTCAGAGGTGACGGGATCATCCGCTTCCCCACACATACACCACCTGAGCTTGCTACACAGTTGACACAGAGAATGGCCTATCACGCAGACAGAGAGCACTACTGGAAATGCCACTACTCCTTCTTACTCTCGTGTGGCTACGCACTGCGTCCACGGCTTGCGCCCGACTATGTCAAGCCTACGCAGATCCCGGAGCGGGACGACTCCGATGAGAGGCACCCGGTACAGACGTTCGATGCACATGTGCCCCACTGATCACGCCCCAGAGACCAGAGATTATGGACGCAGAACGAATTAGGGACGGGAAACAGGTTATCCTCAAGTCCGTCCTGAGATCTGTGCATTACACAGAAGTCGAAATCGGAACTCTGTTTTCGAGCAGTCCACTGGCTGGGGATCCTCGTAACCACTGCATTCCTATTCTCGAAGTTCTGCACGACCCAGAAGACAGCAACATTGATATCATTGTCATGCCGCGAATGGTCCCCGCCTTCAGATATGTAGAGTTCGAGACAGTAGGAGAGGTTGTGGACTGCCTGAGGCAGATACTCGAAGTACCCGTCGCTTTCTTCTTTCATACCTCTGTATTCAACGATACATAGGGCGTAAAGTTCATGCACGAGAACTTCGTGGCTCATCGGTGTGTTCTGGTCAGTTTCACATACTAAATGTTTCGATTGACACTCGTGCGAGCAGCGACTGCGTGCACCTGAACTTTGTCGTTGACCCTGCAAAGCTGTTTCCCAAGGGAAACCATCCGGTACGACCGCTCTGGGACCTTAAGTATGAGCATCTAGCCACATATGTTTCCCGAGCAAGCTGCTGGCCGCGGTATTACATTATCGACTTTGGATGGTCTGAACGATACAATCCGAAGAGCGGCCTCTTATTCGAACCCGTCGTCTTTGGCGGAGACAGATCTCCGCCCGAGCACAACACGACTCTCCCGCCGACACCATGCAATCCGTTCCCAACAGACGTATATACCATCGGAAACTTGATGCAGCGACGTTTCCTCCTGTCGGATTTGGGCGGGGTGAGATATCTGCATCTCGGTCTCAGCCGTGAATTCTGCTTCCTCATCTGCTGTCTCATAGGGATCGCATCCTCCTCTCCGGTTCCTGCAGCCACTTGTCGACGAGATGATGCGCGACGAGCCATCCGCTCGACCCACCATTGGCGAAGCTCTCGCTCAATTCAACTTTCTCTGTGCTCGACTGACCAGCTCCCAGCTTCGCGCACCAGGCGCTCTGTTCAGGTATCCGCTTTCTACTTGCATGCATCCGATCAGAAAGTTCGTGAACACCATCGCCTTCGTTCGTCCACTTCCTCGTGATCTGCATGCTTTGTATGCAAAGATTCGGAGATCGGGATTGGGGCCTCCGACGGATCCTTGGCCGGTGAAGGGCAAACTGAGAGACTTCTACACCAAGTCCCGTTGGTCTTGAGTAGTTTCGTGGCCCAAGTCAATCACGAATCACGAGTACACACAGAGTACTTTTTGTTCCAGTTTTCGTCTCTTAAGAATATTATCTAGCCGGAGCAGTTTGAGATCCTCCGGAATCTCACATTATTGACGACTATCTGCGTTGCAAAGAATTGTCAAGACGAATATTTTGGCAGAAAGTCTGTTCATTTTTTATTGCAAAAAACTATTTCAAAGTAAAATGAAGATAATCCCTCCTCTTACGCCAAATAATCCAGAGTCCGATTTTGCATTAGCATGAATCTGCACTTCAGGACTGACTGTTCATACTCTCTAGACCCACCCGTTTCGATACCAGACATCGAAAGTTTTCTGGACCAGTGTTCATCTGCTTGGCTGGTGTCACTACACCGTGTATTGGACACCATTTACGAAAACAAGAACGACATACACAGCATACTCTACAATTTACAACAGCGGAGAGTCGGCAAGAAAAAGGTACAGCGCAATCGCGCGATGTCCCCACAGACAAAAACTACCAGTCTCGACGGTACCAGGCAAGTTCAGACGATGAAAGGCAGAGTGAGAGAGGGGACGGTGCATAGGAAAGTAGTCCAGCGCAATCGCACGAGTGTCCTAGAGGCGGGAAGCATACATACATAGATAATCGTACAACGGAGGTCTGCTCGCTAGGAGCAGGACAGTGGGTGGTCGAAAGTGAGCGCGCAAGAAAATGGGTCTCGGGGTCGACACGGCTGATCAGACTTGCGAGGGTCTGTGCTTGCGAGACTTGTTCGGGGCTGTCGTCCTGTATATACTGTATATGAGCTCTGCCTCCAGCCCATTGATGCAGGCCTTACGCGTAAGGATCGTACTGGGACGAAGAAGCTATCGGCTGCTCGGAATAGCTCGCAGCCCGATGTGCAGAGGGCCTGCATAGCCATGAGTGAATGAAAGGCCGCGGCACAGTGCATGCACTCACCCAGCAGCCGGTGGAGGCTGAATATACTGAGATGGGTCCCCAGAAGCCGCGATGGCTCTCCGCTCCGGAATTCTTCTTTGCGTTCGCCTACGAAAGAGTCAGCAATGAGCCTACTTTAGAGGGACAGGGCTATATCACCGCAGAGCTAGAGCCTCGTTGCGAGAAGAATGCAACGGCTGAGATGGGATCAGAGCGGCCGGAGCTTGAGCCCTGAGCAGACTATGAATCCCAATGTGCGATACGTCAACAGAAACCGACCTCGGGATACCGTGACTGTCAGACCGACTTCGATGCTGTACTGGGGGAGCGGATTGCTCGGCCTGTCGAGTCCGAGATGGAGCCCGGTGTCTAGCTTCCGCGGGGGCTTGGCCAGAAGGCTGTCCGGCTCTGTTGCTCGAACTGAAAACCAATTCAGATATCGTTCGGGAATGACAAACAAGACGACGCACGAGTGGTGTTCAACAGCACTGCTTTGCCAGGCCGAAACTGAGTGTTGCACAGGCATCGCAGAAACTGGATAACTATGCGCCATTCAGTGTCTTGGAGCAATCGAACGCAATGGGAGCGGCTACATACGTGATAAAAGTCGGAGTCACCGACCTCGAGCGTGACAGCCGCTGCGGAGGCTCTGTTGGGCCGGATTGTCTCGAACGGTGACGGGAGCGTTGTTGATCGAGCGCGGGGCGATCGTACATCCGACTCTGCGAATGCGCCCGCGAGGCCGATCGGGGAATTGGGGTAGGTGGTCGTGCGACTGGACGGCCAGAACGGTCTTGCGGCCCTGGCGGGGGAGTGGTCCGCGAGCGTGAGTGCGATCGAGAGCGGGATTCCTGGTGTCGGCCTTGCTGGTCACGTCGATGTTGTTCTTGCTGACCCCCTCGATGGCGGTCACCTCGATGTTCGTACTGCTGATCGCGTTGGTGTCGATCGCCTCGATGACGGTCCTGCTCAACAACTTGATGTCCGCTCTGCTGGCGACCTTGATGTTGAGCTATCACCGGTGGTTCGGTCTGACGTCGGCTCGACATGCTAGAGGGTGGAGCGTAATAAGCCGGCTGAACGACATGGCCAGCGTGATCCATCTGGACCTGGGCGTTGCTTTGCGATGAGATGTTACCGCGACTGGGATGAGATCGCCCATGAGAGTGGTAGGATGCTTCACCCTGGAAAGTCGGATTGCGACTGTGCGAGGGGTGCCCCGTTGGAGCGGGTGATGGAGCGATAGTACTGACAAACGTTCAGTTCAAGATTTTCCATGGAGATCAAAATTAGTACTTGATAGCATTTGTTTGAACTGCTTGAGCGGGGCCACCAGCTAATGTGGGCTGAACTACAGGTGCACTGATCGCTTGGATGCGTCCAACAGGTCCAGGAACCATGTTGGATGCGATGGCTTGCGCGGAGGGACCAGCGACCGGAGCTGCTCTACATACAACGTCAGACGAATCGAGTAGATGCGTCAACGACGCACGTAGCTGGAATAGTCGAGGGACCGGCAAAATTGGCGCCCGAGGACGGTGGAACGAAAGTAGGCTCCGGCCACTGTAGAATTACATTCAGGGAGAAACAAAAACTTGATATTGAGCTATACATACCGGACTCGTGTCCCCTGACGATGAGCTGGGAACGTTCAGCCCATTCGTAGTAAAATATCTGTGTGGTACCTGTTCCAGCTCAGTGATGCATTTGCAAGACTGAGATCGAGAACACGAACCGTATTGTCGGCGACAGATAGATCTGAATTGTTCGATGGATCGATGTCAAAAGTACCGGGGCTGACGAACTTGTAGGTAGGAGCCTGCGTCGGGCGTTGAGAAAAAGGACGACCGACAAACAAAAACTCACTTTGTTTGGGGTGCGCGCAGCGATTGTCCTCAGCGATGCATGCTCGCGAGCAGAGATAGAGCTGTTCAACTCTCTGGGTGGACCTGTCAGCGCATATGCTTTGATCGATGCCCTGAAAACGCACGGAAGGTCGGAGCCCAAGATGTCTCTAATCGTCTGTTTGATGCTGCAGCTGTTAAGTATGCGAGAAACGATGCGAGCTCAGAACATACCCATTTTTATCACGTCCAGAAGAGAGAGAAGGCAGTTTTTGGATGGGACGCCACGGCTCGCCTATCGAGTCAGCCGAGTAAGCCTACAAGAATTGTTGGTAAGTGCTTGAAGATGAAAAGACGAAATTGATACTGACGACGGCATAATTGAGCGCATCCCGAGATTCGTCACTCTGCGCCGTAATGCGCTCGTGCAACACACTCCCATTGAAGGCAACCACTGGTAGTGGACACCCAGCCGCCATTATACTTTCGCGTGATGCTTTGCTCGCATGATAACCCTCAGCGGCGATCTCGATTTGTTTGGGCTCCCACTTGCGGTGGTATTGGTCGGCCTTGTCGAGAGTCTCGTGTTGTGCCTTGATGCTTTTCGCAAGCTCGACATTTGGGAGGACGTAAAGATTTTTCATGCCGGACAGAAAACAGGGTCGTGAAGCTGAGCAGACGAACGGAGGTGAAGGCGCAGGATGGGCGTTCTTAAGTAGTGTCGAAGGCTCGAACTTGATGACAGATTCATCCGAGAGATTCAGCAAGGACAGTATACCTAGGAGGGGGTCTCTTTCCGGTTACACTTCTGCACAATCTGAACACGAGGCCCTCTCTCATGGGTATGTCATGGGCAGTCGTGGAGACATTCAGTTCGAATGCAGCGAGGCACGATCGGGAACTTTTTCCCGTGAGCAGACAGAGGGCAAGTCAGGATAAGGTCAAGGAACAGATTCACTTCTCTTCCATCGCAGATCGAGAATTGTGGATCTTTGGTGTGAAAGAATGTGACCACTGGCAACTCGCACCCCATCAGAAATTTCAAACAAGGAGTAAATAAGAGAAGGGTGGAATTCATCCAAGTGTGACTGTCACCGGGCGGGTTTTCCAAGCTTTTCCGACGTTGGTGTCATGTGACACCAACACCTCTCTGAAGCTCTCTTTGACTGCTTCGACGATGAGCCATATCAGAGATTTTGAATACTACTGGAAAGACCTCTACGACACACTCGCGTCATCCGGCTACAAATTGCGTCCCAAATTTGGACCCGATTATGTCCAGCGTCTCCCTGCTCCAGAGACGATATTCGGGGACGAAGACAAGCGATTGCATCATGTGCCATCCCTCAATTTCGGAAGTTTTGACCACTCATTTGGTTCTAGCGAAGAGAAATCATGGATGCAGAACGAATACGCGATGGGAAACAAGTCATTCTCAAGTCTGTATCAAGATCGGTGCATAAAACAGAGGTGGATATCGGGACCCTCTTCTCTAGCAGCCCGTTGGCTGAGGATCCTCGCAACCACTGCATCCCCATCCTCGATGTCCTTCGTGACCCATGGGACAGCGACAAAGAGATTATCGTCATGCCCCGGATGGTGTCTGCGTTTGAGTTTGTGACCTTCGAAACCGTAGGAGAGGTTGTTGACTGCTTCAGGCAGATACTCGAAGTACATTCGTTGTTTGCTTCAGTCCCCTGTACTTATCCCTGGATAGGGTGTGAAATTTATGCACGAGAACTTTGTCGCTCACCGGTGCGTCCAGTTCTGCCCGGCCGGCTACTACTGTCCGGGCTGAGATACCATCTACCCAGGGATTGTGTTTTTCTGAATTTCGTCGTGGATCCCACAAGGCTTTTCCCTCGAGGGACACATCCAGTGCGCACAATCATGAATCCAGAGTATACCAGATTGTCCACTGCCGTGTCCCGAACGAGCTGCTGGCCTCGATATTACATCATCGACTTCGGATGGTCTGTGCGATACAATCCAAAGGACGGTCTCGTGTCTGAAACTATCGTCTTTGGCGGAGATCGAAGTCCGCCAGAGCACCAGATATACGGACGGCCGTGCAATCCATTCCCCACTGACGTGTACACCATCGGAAACATCCTGAGGACCCGGTTTCTAATGTCCGAGTGGGGCGAGGTGAGTGCTCTGCTTGCTCAAACAGGAACTTGGCTCTTCATCTGTTCCCTGGCAGTACTCTCATGCTCCTCTGCGGTTCTTGCAGCCACTTCTCGAGCAGATGACGCAAGACGAGCCGTCGGCCAGACCTACGATCGGCGAAGCCCTTGCTCAGTTCGATTTCCTGTGTGCACGACTGACCAAATCTCAGCTTCGTGCACCAGGTGCTCCGCCCGAGGATCCGCTTTCCAACTGCGTACATTCCATCTTTCAGTTCAAGAACTGGATCACGTTTGTCAAGCCACTTTCTCCCCGTTTGACCGCCTTTTATGCGAAGCTTCGCAAAACAAATCGGCATCCTCCTACCGACCCGTGGCCAGCAAATGCTGCGCTGAGGGCTTTTTACACGCAGACTCGTCCTACTTAGGTATCGCTTGCTTTGTATTTACTCTCCATCTGCTCTTTCCTTGTTGCTGTATCACCTATGTATCCTGATATAACACAATCAATTGTCACAGATTGCCGTCTCCTGATTGGGATGGAAGCCCAAAATTTGTTTTTTATGATCGTGTTCTGCTCCTTGTCACACTAGGACACTTTTCCGACGCAGAGTTTTGAACGCTGCTGGCTAATTTCGGAGGGCACCCCTTGTTGAGTCGTGTGTGAAGCTCGACATCCACGATCCGAGGAGATCCTCATCTCACGCTGTCCTAAAGCATGCGGCAGAGCGATTTCTACTCGCCTGCTGTATGTTGATCACACGAGGCTCCCAACTATCATTCTATCAAGCGCTCATGCACGAAGTTCTCGATCTCAACAGCTCTCCGACGGGAACGCGTGGGTTACCAGCACTCTTCCAGGGACCTCTCCACAGCTGGCGCCAAGCCTCGGTTTTACATTTCTGGCTGTGACCGGCCCGGGAATGTGGGTCCGTGTAGGTTTCGATGGCGCGTAGACAGGTCACGAAGGACCTTGCGTTCAAGCATTCTGACTCGGACACCGATATCCTCTTGCTTTCAAAGCACATCTTAAGGAGAGCGCGCCGTGATTAATGTAGAATACCGCGTGCATAATCTTCTAGCGCTGTCAGTACATTTGTTCGAGGTGTAAGCGTTGTTGAGACGAAATTAACCTGACGCCTGTAATCCAAGTCGCTGTCTCTGCGAACACTTTCAAAAAGAAGTTTGCTTACAACGTCTTCGCCTGAATCACCCGGTCTGACTCAATTACTGGATGCGGCTTGACGAGCTGACACATAGTACGCGTCTCAATGTGCGGGACTTTGGCTCCTGATATCCTCGTGTCTTTGGAGCATATTTGAGTGATGAGCCACTCGAAATGCTGTAGAAAGGATCACCGTTTACGAAACTCTTCCATTTGACACGAGGAGCTTCGTTGAGATACAGATGTCCTTCTCATGGAAACGCTGCGGAAAGAGCCGGACTCGCGGGTAGTTATCATTGTGCGAAGACACGATGTTATACTGGGAATGGACGCCCGATTGCTTCCCATGCAAACCATTCACACGAGACCCTCAATCCCTCTATCGAGCGTATAACGGTGACATTTCGATATTTACAGCGCAGGGAACAAGGGCGGTGTGCTCTTGTTGTTTCTACGGTATATTCACCGACAATTCACTTCGCGACTGGCCGCAAGCCCCTGAACACAATCGCTAGCTAGGGCCGGGCCGGAATTGTGGGTCCAGATTGATGACCATGGCACGTGAGTCAGGGACAGGAACCCTGCATGCTTTCTGACGGCAAGAAATGTAATCCTCATGTACCCGCAGCATAACTGACACGAAGCACATGAAAAGAGCGCGGGATCCAGCCCCGTGCATGTCGTTTGATTCGTGCAGAAGCTTCGTGAATTTGGCGCTAGGCGTCCGAGTCAGTGATCTGTGTGCACTTCTATCTACGAGAACGTCCACCTCACGTCCGCAGCACGCTATGACTCGAATTTCCCATGTCGCGGTCAAGATGGGAGTGGACCAGGGCAGACCTGTGCTGATCTTTGAATTTGGGGTGCTGCTCGTGATTCAGGCTTGATTCAGCATCTCACGCGCAGGGCGATCGATACGACACGCAATCTGCTTCCTGCCATGCCTATCAATAATTCATTGGCGTGTTCCCCTGCCGGTCTCGTGACCGCGAACGAGCCGATCACTGACTAATGCTTCCAGTTAGTTTAGGATTCACTATAGTTAGTTGGTTCGAAGCCAATGCTCCAACTTTCACTCGTTGGCCATGGCTCATCCCGCAGAATTTGAAATTTACTGGAAACGTCTCTATCAAGTTCTTGCGTCGTCTGGCTACAGATTGCGTCCTAAATTTTCACCCGACTACGTTCAGCCCCTCTCTGTTCCAGAGACGATATTCGGGGATGAAGCGAAGCCGGTCCACGATGTGCCACATGCCGAGTCTACATATACTTCAAACTTATTGTTCTCTAGAGGAAAGAAATCATGGATGCAGAACGAATACGCGACGGGAAGCAAGTCATTCTCAAGTCTGTGTCGAGATCGGTACACAAGACAGAGGTGGAGATCGGGACCCGCTTCTCGAGTAGCCCGCTGGCTGAGGATCCTCGTAACCACTGCATCCCCATTCTCGATGTCCTGCATGATCCATGGGACAGCGACAAGGAGATCATCGTCATGCCTCGCATGGTTTCTGCGTTTGAGTTTGTGACCTTTCGTACGGTGGGAGAGGTCGTCGACTGTTTCAGGCAGATACTCGAAGTACAATCGTTGCTTGTTCCATTCCTCTGTGCTTATCCTTGGATAGGGTGTGAAGTTCATGCATGAAAACTTTGTCGCTCACCGGTGTGTCCCAGTTTTGTCCGTCCGACTACTCTCCGGGCTGAGATATCATCTACCCAGGGAATGTGTTTTTCTGAACTTCGTCGTAGATCCCACGAGGCTGTTCCCTGGAGGAACGCATCCAGTGTACACAATTATGAATCCGGAATTCACGAAACTATCCACTGCCGTTTCCCGAACAAGGTGCTGGCCTCGTTATTACATCATTGACTTCGGATGGTCTGTGCGATACAATCCCAAGGACGGCCTCGTGTCCGAAACCATCGTCTTTGGGGGAGATCGAAGTCCCCCAGAGCACCAGATATACGGACGGCCTTACAATCCTTTCCCCACTGACGTGTACACCATCGGAAACATTATGCGGACCCGGTTCCTTATGACTGATTGGGGCGAGGTGAGTGAATCCGCGTGCTCAATCAGGAACTTGTCTCTTCATCTGTTCCCTGGCAGTACTCCCATGCCCCCCTGCGCTTCTTACAGCCACTTCTTGAACAGATGACGCAAGACGGACCGTCGGCCAGACCCACCATCGGCGAAGCCCTCGCTCAGTTTGATTTCCTGTGTGGGCGACTGACCAAATCTCAGCTTCGCGCACCAGGTGCTCCACCCGAGGATCCGCTTTCCAACTGCGTACATTCCATCTTCCAGTTCAAGAACTGGATCACGTTTATCAAGCCACTTTCTCCGAATTTGACTGCCTTGTATGCCAAGCTTCGCAAAACGACCCGACAGCCTCCTACTGACCCGTGGCCGGCGAATGCCGAGCTGAGGGCTTTTTACACGCAGACTCGTCCTCCGTAGATTCAGGATCCGCGTTTGATCCATCCATTTACTTTGTATTTGCTTTCTGTATGTCGTGTCTATCAAGACCCAGACTACGGCTGACGATACCAGGCCGAGAGCCAGTTCACTCATACGCAGTCCTACTCCAAATATTATCATATATGCAAAATAATGTACAAGTGACTTCCAGCGCGCAGGTAGTACTACAAAAAATATGAGAACTAGCTTCTCACTGCGGTCGGCGGGGAGGCAACGGCGGGCCCGGATTCGCGACCCCCACCGGCTGGTCGTCCGCGGACGACAAGGTCGACCGGCGAGACGACGGGGAGGTCGACGGCGGGGGAAAGCCGTTCCCAACCAACTCTCTTGACGCGCGCTTGTCCTTGTCCTTGTCCGCGATTGACTGCAACGCTTCTGATGCCGACGGCTGGGCAGTCTCCGCATTAGACAGTTGCGGAGCGTCCGCTTCAGGACGGAGTACATTCGACACGGAAGTCGTCCGTCGTGAGCGAGGGGGTAAGGGCGGCGGTGTCGGTCGAGGAGCCAAAGCCGCCGCCGCTTCTTCAGATGCAGAGGGCGGATCCGAAGCGGGGTTCTTCCACAGCCGATAAACGCTTGAGATGGCTGGGGTCCGCACACGCGTGTCGGGCGTCGGAGGCGTAGGATCGGGTGCGACGTACCCCATGGACATGACTTGACCCCGGTGACTGGCGTGAATGCCCGGTATGGTCATCATCATGGCCTGCGGCTGGACGAATATGGGCGACGGAGAGCCCGTCTCTGCCGGTGGAAGCTCCAGAGTCGAAAGCCGTGACGGGGAAGGCGAAGGCTTTTTCGCAGTGCCTTCGTCTGTTGCAGCCCTCGCTATGGAGTTGGTCGACACAGTCTCGGTGCCGTTAGGTTGGAGAGTAGCTGCGCGATCCCGTGGTTCCGGTATTGAAGGCACGGGACTTGGATCTCTCCCTCTACCACGGCGCTCAGCCACAGCAGCCCTGACCTCGGCATAGCTCTGTCGTGCCTTGTGAGAAACCATATTGCTCATATCTGTCATTGACCGCGAGCCAAACAAGCCATGGTCAGGCATCTCTTCATGCTCAGGGCGATTGTCCTTGTCCTTCATCAATCCACTCCAGTTGGCACTCCACTTGCGGATGGTTTCCTTGGCCGTATTGCTGATGGCCTGCTTGTCACGCGACTTGAGGGTCGAAAGCAACGATGAAGACATCGGACTTGAGCCACTGGCCACAGACGCAGAAGACGAATCAGTGAACTCGTCAACGGAATTCGACTTTGAATGGCCGCGGATGGGCTGTGATAGAGGTCGAAGGTGCGGCTCTTCCCCGGAGTCCACACTCGCAGTTGAGTCTGATGGAGCATTAGGCGTCGACCTGGATCGCTGCGTCTGGTTTTTGTCCACTTCCACCGAACGCCCTCGAGTGACATCATCAACCTCTTCCACGTTCGGCATTCCCTCGCTCCGTGTGGTGGAGAACCAGCTCTTCCGTTTAGTTGGCCGGGAGGAAGACACTTCAGTCAAGGAATGCGTCTCAGCCGTATCCGGTGGTGTAGCAATGGGTTCATGAGTAAGTTCCGCCGCCGACTGGGTCTCGCGCAGACCGACTTCAGGACCAGAAGTCGTAGAGCCGTCTTCGTCATCCGGTTGTTCGGACATGGATGACGCGGGTTTGTCCCGGCGCGCCGCATCTGCCCAAATGCCTCCTCTGTGGGAATAAGGCAAACTGTCGAAGAACGCGACATCATCCATGTTAGGCATCACGACCGATTCTTGGATCTACATGGGTGAGTGAATATATAGTAAATCAAACAGAAATGAGCTACGCACGACAGACTTGATACTGGATTCCAGCGTGCTTGTAATCATGCTCCAAGTGATCTGGCGGTCGCTGACAATGGGTTCCACCTCCAAAACCATCCGCGGCGTCTGCGTGAAAGCATACCAAATCCTATTGCTCGGCGGACGCTTGACTTTAACCAACAAATTGCCCTCAATTTCTTTGAGCACTACCGCCAGGACCAGTTTGACCGTGTAAGGCTTGAATCGGGAGCCGAGATTGATCGTCGCAGTGGCCTCGACGGTGATGCGAAATTCGCCTTTGTGTAGTACATGAACCTCGAGCGAAGCATCGCCCTCCTTGGTTAGCTCTTTAAGCATCGGCTTGCTGAACGTCGGGGCCTTGTTGCCGACCGACACCTCCGTCACCACGATATCAGTAAGAAATGTCGGTCGTTTGACCTTGGACAATTTCTTCATCAGCCGACTGAGAATAAAGTCCTCCAGATTCTGTGTCCTATAGTGACTGAAGAGCACCCGCCCGAGAAGCGCGTTGAACCATCGCATGGGAATGACATCAGGCTGTTCGTCGAGCGTATTCACTAGATGGTTCATATCCGTAACCTGGAACACTGGTTGCAGAGGTGCCAGCAAGGGCGTCTGAGGCGGATGATCGGATGCGTGGACGAGCGCCAGATACCAATCCTCCATGAGCACGTTGTCCCGAACGAAGATAAACCACGGAGTGGCCGCGTCCAAAGCCTCCTCCCGCGCCGCATCCTTGGCTTTATTCTCCTCCTCCAAAACATCACGTTCCTTCTCCGCCTTCCGAGGCCCAAGATCCGCCTCTGCGATCTTGCCCTCCACATCGATTCCCTCCAGCTGCATCTCCTTGGTAACACTGGGCATCCCGCTCTTCTCCGCGCCCTGCCCCTTGGGCCGCAAACAGATCGCATTCCGCTTCGCAAACAGCTCCCCATCCAAGAGCCCCTCCGGCGAGATAGTGACTTCATGGCTCCCCAACTCGATCGCGGCCTCGCACTCCGTCATCGCCTCGTCTTCATACAGGTACAGTATCTTGCCCTTGAGCACGACGTACCACATGTCCTTGGGGCGCGACTTCTTCGGGTCCTTCGAGCGCGCATCCAGGAGCGAGCGCACCAGCGTGACGTAGCTCCCGTCGAGCGAGGACTCCTCGAACGTGCGTCGCATGGTCAGCCAGCCCTTGCGTGTCTTGGGCATGTCATTGGTGTCGAGCGCAGCAGCGGCAGCGGCAGGGGCTGGATCCGGGTCCTCCTCCCGGACCCTCTGAGCGAGCTCTCCACGGAGCTTCTTGCGTGCATCAAGGTCGCCTACGGGGACGGCGGTGTAGATGGAGTAATAGACGACGCCAGCGATGACGAGGGGCAGAAATGTGAAGCCGCCGAGGATGTACGCGTAGAAGAGGGATTGGAGACTCATCCAATGAGTGCAAGAGTCTGTACTTTGTGGCCTCTGTTGTTGGTGCCAAGTGACGTCCACGTCCACGTCGAGCTTGGGTCGATCAAATCTCGACCACGTGTTCTGCACGCCACATGCGCGGCTCAGGATCATAGCAGCACGGTTGCCTGCGAACCTCTAGGCCTGCAGTGCATAATTAATTGCCTCTTGAAACTTTCGATTTCCGTCATTTCATGTAGAAATACAGAGTGGTAGGATGTATCAGTACTTTTGAGTGACAATGCCTGTAGTCCGTGATAATAATGTACACCTTTTCACGTGAAGGCTCGACTCGGTGGTAGACCATCTGTGGAATGCGGGACATCTCTGTCCCCCCCTCGGCGGGTCGGCGCCTCTAGATAGAGCAGCAATCTGAGGCCCTTCCAAGGAAATTGACAATCTCTGAAGATAGGATGACTACCGCTTGATAGCTGTCCGCAATTTTCTTGCCCGCCTGTTCTTCAATGTGCGCGGCCGCGGCTCCTTCAGCAGAGCCGCTTGCCAGTGGCCGTTTTTGTACACCCAGTGATTGACAACGCGCGAAGGAGTGAATCGTGTCGTAGCCATGGGCGGAAACGCGTGATTGAAGGATGGAGCCGAGGGCACAGTGAGCTGGTTGTGGAACGCGCTGTCTTGATAAGGAACTTGGCAGAGCGAGTCAGGGCGCGGGTCGGAGCATGTGGTGATAACAATTGTAGGGATGGAGGGGTCAGGATTTGTGATGACAATGGGCTGGGGGACCAGTCAGCTCCTACGGTAGTAGACGGGATGAAACGGCGTTGACCTTTGGGGAAGAGGAACGTGAGGGAGGCTGGAGAGGGCATGTCAGAAAGGACAGATCGGGAACTGCACGCACGACGCACCTCTTTGGCTTGCAACTCAAGATCCGCGAAGAGCTGCGCCACCTCCTCCATGTCATGCTCGAAAATCCCATACAACCCCTTGTACATTGGATTTACCGCTTGCTCAACAATGCGTGCGACGCGTCCCCAGGTCAAGTCTGGAACAGCAAACACTAGGCGGTAGGTTTCTGTGTCTAGAAACTGAGAGGAAGCGTTTAACCACAACGTCACAGAAACTTGGTGGGAAAGACTGACAATGCGTCGGTCGCCGAGGACATCCCGATCAGAGGGCTCGGCCGGCGAGGAGGTACTGGCGTATAGTCGGGAAAGCATGGGAGGTTGCCGAAGGAAGAGGTGAGGGAGAGGGAGTCACGGTGGCCTGAGACTAGAGGTGATGGGTAAATGACCCCAGACTTTTAAAGGGGCCGGCTGAAGTCAGACCGACACCCGGTGACGCTGATCACGACTAAGCAAGATTTGGTCAGATCGTTGCGATGTTGCCCCGCACCTTGGTGGTGGGGAACGTCGGGCAGCAGCGGGTAGGACTGTTTCAGTCTGAGGCGTGTCAATGAGCTACTGCGCGAAACATTCCCTTCTCATTTTTTTGACCAGCAGAACCCTGGCGGGGGCCGAGCATAGGATCATCCAGTCGTGCATGGAGTATCAGGAAGACCGGTGGCATTCTCCGTGTCTTCTGAATGGCAGAGAAGAGAGATTGACTGGATAGAAGCCAATCTCCACCCCTCGACCAAGCGGAAGCCAGATCAGGTCTCGTACACCAGCCCAGAACCTGAAAGTCAATCATATCACCATGATGCCAAATCAAATCTGAGTGGCATCAGCGACATAGCCACACCCATCCTGTCTGCTCTCGCTCTACGCCGCTTTCAGAGGCACGCGCTGCGAACGCGTCTCTCCGCCAATTTCGCGTGTATTTACTCTCAAAACATGAGCACGGCGTCTTGTACGCGTCTACCCTCGCGCGAAAAGCACCCTAGGCTTATGAGACACAGCATCCAAGAAACGTGCCGCCTCACAGTTGGACGGCGGGGAAGGCCCCACTTCGAACAAAGTTCCCAAAGGTCCGTCCCATCGATTAACCCCGGCCCGTTGCTGAAGCTCCGCGCAAGTGCACCCGTTCTTCTCCAAGACAAAGTCGCCGGCCGTTGCCGACTCGAGCGGCCCGCTGAAGTGGCTGACGCCCCTGGGAACCATCGGCTCTTGCCTACATGCGACGCATCTAGAACCTACACCCTCCGCACGGATAGCCGCGTTTGATCTCGACGGGACGGTCATCGCGTCGCTCCCGTTTTCAGCCCCACCGCTGCAATGGCACTGGTGGAATAAGTGCGTGCCGGCCAAGTTGGCCCAGGTCGCGGAGGAGGGGTGCGTCCGCTTTCGGAGAGAAGGCCACTGAACGCTTACTTCTACGCGCGAAGGTACTCGATAGTACTCATATCGAACCAAGGCGGCCTCAAATCCGCGTCAAAAGCCAACAAGTGGAAAGAGAAACTGGGGCTGATCGCGGCGGCGGTGCGTTTCGCTGTTCCTTTGCGGGTTCCCGAGGAAGTGTCTCATGCATTATCCAGATTCCGGACGTTCCATTCCGACTTTTCGCCGCTACGGCCAAAGATAGGTTTCGAAAACCCATGATCGGAATGTGGGAAGAACTGGAAAGGCTGTACACGGCCGACGGCGTCCAGATCGGTCCGTGTTCATTATAGGCTGTGAACAGCGCTATTGATAGTTGCAGACAAGGAGGGTTCATTCTTCGTTGGCGATGCGGCAGGCCGCGTTCATCCAAACGGCAAGAAGAAAGACTTTGCATCGACGGATCGAAAATGGGCCCTAAATGTTGAGATCCAGTTCTACACACCAGAGGTTGGTCTGCATGTATTTTTGTCGAACGCTTCTTGACCTGCTCCAGGAGTACTTTCTGAGCCAGACGCCCGATACTCAGTTTGCGCTGCACGGTTTTAGTGTCTCCAGCTTGCCTAGTGCTCGTAGGTGCACGTGCATTCTTGATTGTACTGTTACTGACAGCGGTAGTTCCTTTGTTCGCCCCATCCTCGACACCCCTGCTTCCCGACAACCCGACACAGGAGCTTGTCCTGTTCGTCGGATATCCATGTCTAGGCAAAACCACGCTGTTCCGGAAACACTTCGAACCAGCTGGATACATCCACATCAACCAGGACGTGCTCAAAACGCGGGAGAAGTGCGTCAAAGCAGTGGACACTGCGTTGGCTGAGGGGAAGAAGTGCGTCGTCGGTGCGTTTCTGCCCATACGATATGCTTCGTCTGCTGATGTGCCGAAAGACAACACCAACCGGGACGCCTCCACACGCAAATATTACATTGATGTCGCCAAGAAACGCGGCATCCCTGTGCGGTATGGGGACTCCTTTGTCCAACTTCCTCTGGTGCTCATTGTGATCCTGCAGCTGCATGGTATTTACAGGCTCTTATGACCTGGCATGGCACAACAATCTCTACCGCGCCTATGGGCTACCTGCCTCCGTCATATCGCGCGAGGTAGCGCCGTCTGCCTGTGCATGCAATCCCAATCTAACTCACATCGAACAGCCTGCCCGTGAACTACTGCCCATCGGAGCATTCACAACGTTCCGGGACAAGTTTGAAGAACCGGACCTGTCAGAGGGCTTCGCACATATCATATCGATCAACTGGACATTCGAAGGGACGGATGATGAAAAGAAGGCGTGGTCGAGATGGCTGCAGCTAGATGATCCCAAAAAGTGATAATGGGATTGATTTTCAAGTAATGTATTAATTCATTGGGCGTCTATCCGGGCCATACTGTATTGGTCGGATCACAGAGCAATTTGGGCCTGCTGTTTAGGTCCACATTGTGGACCTAAACAGCAGGGCAACGAGCCAAAACATTCCCGCTAGCCGATTTGAACGACTGACCTCGTCATTACTAGTGACGCGCTCTACCAACTGAGCTAAGAGGGACATGCACCTTGGGTTTTAGTACTCGAAATGATGTAAGGGAGAAACACCTCCTCGAGACATTGATGCAGTGGTAGTACAGATATGTATGATACAAATGCCGTGTGAATGATCCAGAAAAAAGGGTATGTATGCATAAAAGGGTATCCTCACCAGTCCGGCCAGAGCTCACTGAGCCCTGCATCCGGCTCGATCTCCGGCGCGTCCTTCTGCTTCATCCACCGGTCCGGGATGAGCGGCAGATACCGCTCCATCGCCCCCAGAAACCGCTGCCGGTACTGCTTCGGCGTGATGATCGTCGGCTCGCCGCGGTTCGCGCCGCCCCCGAGGAACGCCGAGTCCTTCACCCAGCTCTCGAGTTTCTTGTCCCACGTGTACGTCCGGATGTAGTCGACGATGCCCACCACGAGGGAGTCGTCGTGCTTGTCCACGCCGACCAGGAACGAGTAGTCCATCACGTTCACGTCGCTGAGGAACTTGGTGTCGTTGTAGAGCGCCCCGCGAAGGATCCGTTTCGAGTGCTCTCGCAGGTGGAACGGGTTGATATGTGCGGCTGCAGGGTCTCGTTGGTTAGATCATCGGAAACGCTACTGCTCGTACGCACTCTCGACCAGATTCTCATCCAACAGCACTTCGTTTTTCCGCCCAGTGGCCTGCACGTGACGGTTCCGCGTCGATCCCTTGAGATCGTAGATGGTCGAGAACTCGCGTGCGTAGAACAGGTTCTCCATCACCAGCAGGTTCATTTGCGTCGATTTGCTCTTGCCCGGTCCACGCCGATTCCCCGTCTTCTTGAACGTCAGCTTGTAACAGCCAAAGATCTTCGCCAGGAGTGTCGGACGCTGATCACCTCGTCAGTGAGATCTCGTCAAGAGCCAAACCAGCAAGGGCCACGTACGTCAGCAGAAACGGCAGATGCCATGTAGTCAAAATAAGCCGGCGCGAAGCTCTCCATCGACTGAAGCTCCGGCCGCGAGAGCTCTTTGGCGATATACCGGTCGTCCTTCGTCTTGAGGAACGCAGAACCTGACTTGCCTCCACTGGCATCCCACTTGATGCACCGCGCCAGCGACTCGATCATGCCCTTGTCGCAGTCGTAGGTCCTCCTCAGTGCATCGAATTGCTCCGGGTACAGCACAGTGCAGCTGATAGTCAACCCACTGCTCTCAAACGCTTCATGGCCTGGTCAGCAACGAACAGAACCACGAATCACACTGCACAACGCACTGATCGCCCAAGGCAGCTTCGACGACGCCACCTTCATATCCTCCGTCGGATCCGCTGACTCGGTTGGATCAACCTCGACTACACCCCACGTCGACGTCGACTCGGCCACAGATCGGTCGTCAGGCATGAACGCCTCGCCCTCCGACATCTTCGTCTCCCGTGCCGTCCTCTTTTCCGCCCGGGATTTGGACAGCATGTCGCGGTACTGCGGTGAGCTGGGCGCGGTGAGTCAAACTGTAGAAATTTTCACTCGAGGACAACTCACTTCAACGCAAGAGCAATGATGGACGTCGGCTCGTCCGTTCTGACGACCATCGAGGAGTCTCGGAAGATGTGCTCGGGGTCATCCAACGGGTCGTCTGCTTCCATCGGGCTCCGCGACTGGCCCCAGAATCCAGACAACGCTTTCAATAACGAGTGGCGCTCAGAGCCGCCGGTGAGATCCAAATCCGCAGGAGGAGGCGTCAAGACACTCTCCTTCAGAGATGTCAGGAAAGGCGACGGGGGCAGCGACAACGGGCCTGGTGGTGGATTTCGGTGCGGGGCCGGTGTTTCAGGAGCAGGAATCTCATCGACGATGACTTGCGGCACCGTTGTTGACGGTGGCAGCTCTTCCTCCTTCTGCTGCTGCTGCTGCTGCACGTGCATTTCATCCTCAGGCGACTCGACCGTCGACGGTTTCTTGCTGCTGCCGCTCTCCTCGACCTCGCCATCACCCTCATCGTCAGCCTCGCTGGATTCGCTCGCGCTCTCCTCGCTCTCATCCCGGATGGCGTCCTTGACACTCTCCAATACCTGCACCCTGGCACGGGCCGAGGCAACAGGCCGCGCCCGCTTCCCCCGGATGATAGCGTACCGGTTCTTCGACCGCTCGGCATCGCGTCCCATCCGCTCGAAATGCTTCGCAATGTTCGACACCTTCGTCCCAGATCGCATGCCCGGCGTCCCCCTGGCGGGCGTCTTGTCCCTCGGCCGGGCAGCCGGTGTCCGGATGCGCCCGGACTTGCTGCCCGGGAGATTTGGCGTGCTCACGAGTGAAGGTGGCTTTGCGCGCGGCGGCGACGTTTGTCTGCCCCGGCCTTTGCCACTGGCCGACCGCTTCTCGGGCGACGGCAGGCGCGACGATTCCTGTGACTGTACCGTCGGCGGGCGAGGGATCCGAGTCGGCCGAGAGAGGTATTTCGGCGCGACGTTGGCTGCGTAACCCTGCTCGAAATCGGAAACAGACGGCTGGCGGATCATCCGGTGTCGGCTCTTGCTGCGGATGTGGCGAATGGGTGTCGTGTACTCCTGCTCGCTTTCCGAAACGACATTTATCCGCGGCGCGAAGGCTGTCTTGGTCAGATCTCGCACGCCCTGGGGAGGCAAGAAGTCCTGGTACTTTTTCACCAGCTCAGCCACGTTCATCTGGTTTTCGGATCGTCGAGGAAGTTTGGAGGCTCGAACTCGCGACGGAGATGCCACCTGCCACAGTAAGATTTCCTTAATTCCTTACGACAAGGACAAAAAACGCCTCACCTGCTCAGATTCTTCGTCCTTACCAGCCCCGATCGTCGAATCACTCTCCGGATCTGATTTCGGCGCCGGCTCTGCATTCGATCCCTCGCTCTCTTTCTTGGGCGGCACGATTGGCTCCTCGGCGTTAGCATCTGATTCAGGCTCCGACGCAGAGGACGTGAACGAATCTCCAGTCACTCTCCGCAGACTCAGCGGCCCTTCCTCAGCTTCCGAAACACTCGAGGACGGCAGATGCTGACCGTCAAAGGCCAAATCCAACCGCCTCGGCCAGCGCACACTCCCAAACGCCGAAGTCCGCTTTCCTCGTTCGGTGGCGACGTAGGACCTCGGCTTCGGCAGCCGATCAAAGACCATCTCCCACGCAACGATCTTGTCCTGCTTGAACATGTGCACCTGGTTGAGCGCGAGCGTATCCGTCGGCGCCGACTCCCGGTAGATGCAATTGATCAGGCGACTGATCTCGTGCTTCTCGTCATGCGCTCGGACGATCAGCGTGTTGACATCAGCCAGCAGCGTTGCATCGCTCTCCTCGTCGCCAGTCGCGGCCTCGAAGCTGACAGACTTCAGCTCGTTTATGAGATCGTCAAACCAGACGTCGTTCTTCTCGTGCAGCCCGGTGAACATCTTGTTCTTGAGCTCGAGCTGCTGCTCCGGCTTCACCTTGATGCGTGTCGGCGGGTACACAATCTCGTGCAGCTTGATCGGCTCCGCCTCGAACCGGACGGTCATGCCCTTGATCGCAAAGTAGCGGATGTGGTGTTGGTAGATGTTGTGTTGGCACCCGGCGCCCTGCACGAGCTTGACGTCGGCCGGATAAAAATGCAGCTCGAGGAACTTGGCGAACGAGTACCGCTGCATCTCTTCCGAAACCGGAATGAACGGCGTCGCCGACATGCACACCCGACATGCACTCCAGGTCGTCACCAGCTCCGGCGTCGGCAGGTTGTTCATCCGCCCGATGATCTGCCCGTTCCACGACTCGACCGCCACGGAAAGCTTGGTCTCGTTGTGGACATACACCTGCTCGTGGCGCGCGAGGGGCAGCTGGCAGCTCTTCCCTGTGCACACAGCCTTCGGGTCCAGGAACTGCGCCAGTGTGTCATTCACGCATTTCTCGATGAACTGCCCCAGCGTGCAGTCGTTTTCGCCGTAGAACGTGATGTACTGCAGATTCGGTGCGAAGCAGGCTCGCGGCGTGCCCTCCTCGATCACGTTCTTGAACGGCATCACGTAGTGCCATAGAGTGATGCATTGGTACTTTTCGACAACGAAATCGTCCGAGTTTTTGCTGCATTTGTAAGCTTCGAGCAAGCAAAAAAAAAAAAGTGCAAGAGCCACACACCGAAGATACCACTCCCATATTCTCCGCTGCTCCTCATGCATCAGCTTCACCGATTTGTACCGACTCTCCAGCGCGATATCCTCATTCGTCTTGAGCGGTTCCTTCGGCTCCTCGGCAGGCGACGGCGCCATCGACGAGCCACCCGCCGACGACAAGACAGGCGACACCATCCCAGATGAAAAGTAGCTCGTCGTCTCCTCCATCGTCCGCGGTGAAAGCATCCGCGGTGTCACCGACATGTCGCCCGGGGACGGGGGGATGTTCAGAGTCGGCAGGGCCTCTATCTGCGCACTGATGTCATCAGAATCAGGTTCCTCGACTGTGATGACCGCAGGCGGGCAGACGGTGGTGGTGTTGGGGACGCTCAGTTGACTCTGTGGATGCGCCCGCTCCTCCTTGCGGATGACATCATCTTCCCATGCCCGTTTCGCCTCGAGCAGCTCGTTATCTAATTCTTTCATACGGACTAGCGGTTGAGGTGGTGGGAACCGCAGCGTCGCGGATACAGAGATGAACGTCGTCGCATACGGTTCCAATGCTGCATCGATCCGCCTCGTCAGCCTGATCTGATCAGCATCCGCCTCTGGCAGATCCTCGTCCTCTGGTATCAACTGCTGAGGTCGCATGCCCGGAGTCGGCGTGGTCAGTCTTGGCGTCGAAATAGAGGCCGGGAACGTCTGGAATGACACAGACGAGACAGAGAAGTTGCCGAATCCAAATCGGCCTCCGCCACCAGGAGACATGGGCACAGCGTCCAGCCCCAATTGCGGCAGAGTGATGACCGAGTCCTTCCAGAGATGCGTCTCCAGCTTCAAGTTCCGCACGATGAAAGTCAGGAACCGCGTGACCTTCTTGATCTTGCGCAGCGTCTCGAGATTCTCGCCCCGCAAGATGATCGTGCAGCCCATATCTCGCAAGCAGCCCTCGAAGCGCATGAATGTCTTCCGACGCCCGGGAATGAGCGGATGGTCGAACGTCTGGATCCGAAACCGGGCGCAATGGCCCAGCCGGGGCTCCAATGCAAGTTTGTCCATCGACGAAAAGACATCACTTTGTGTCATCCGCGCCACCGTGTGGATGGCCGACGGCTTGACGGTCCTCGCCACCGCGATGTTGTGCTTGGCCAAAGCGTCCAGCGCAAGCCTTGACACCGACTTCTCAACGAGCACAACGTGAGGCCGTAGCGCGGCGATCCGGGACGCCAAGTTCCCGAGGTACTCCTTTTCCTGACGCACAATCTGGCCGAAGTGCATATACTGACCCTCGACACGCGAAAATTCGAGCGGGAACGTCACAAGCATCACACGCGGGTGGCGTTGCAGGCGAGACATCTGCTTGTGCGCAACATTCTTCGTGATCACAGCGCCGTCGACGTATTCAGAATCAGACGGCAGCCCTCCTGGAATCTTCTTGATCTTCACGTACCGCCGCACATCCATATCCTCGCCCTGACGATGTGGCAGCGCAGTGAACGTCAACTCTCGCGCGATCTTCATTGCCAGTTTCAGCAGGGTCTCCTCCCAAGCCTTGATATTTGGGATATCCTCTTTCGTCAACATCTGCCGCAGCATTATCTTGAGATGGAACATCGACGTCAGATTGAGCTCTTGCGCATATGCTGTGCTCTCCCGCCGCGTGCGCCAGCCTGGTTCTCCCCCGCCACCACCACCAAGACTGTCCATGCGGCTGTGCACGCGACTCCGAATGAACGGCGTTCCAGACTCAAACTCAGAATTAAAGCGCGACCGCAACCGCAATGGGCCTGGGCTATCGAGATGATCAGGCGACCCGCGCGGAAACTGGATCGTGCTAAGGGCATCCGGATTGATGGGGACGGCGCCCGGGAACTCGAACGTTGCAGGCGTTTCTTCCGCGTGGTAGGGATCAGCCACGTTAGCATCGTCGTCCGACGCGCCTCGTCTGAATGGTGCTGGATTGTCGCTCAGAGTTTCTTCCCACGCAACGTGCGGGGGCGTAACGGGTCGAGACCCAAAACCGCTCTCGTCGGAGCCTGATATCCTTCGCTTCGTTTCTGCGATAGAGTAAAGGTTGAACGGTTCATCCGTACGGCTGAACAGCTGCGACGCAGAGAACGGGGATTGGGGGTGTTGAGAAAGTCCGATCGTGTCGATCCCAAGTTGGTGTGCAGGGAAGCTTGTGACTGACGACACAACCGACCTACGATCGTCGTCGTCGTCTTCATCGACTTTGGCCAGTTTCTCCATGCAGAGATTACACACGCGTATCATCCCGTCTTGCCCGAATCGATACCCCTTGATGATGTTGGACGCGCATCGGGAACAGAAAATTTGCCCTGCAGGGCAATGAGATAGGCCAAAGCGTCCACCTGCATAGAACATACCGCATATCCGGCAGTGATGTTTCCGTCTCCAAGTACTGAATACACTCGCGCAATCATAGCACTCTTTGCAATTCTCGTCGTCCATCCAGTAGTCGCGTGAAAGCCCTATGTATGCGAAGTTCAGCCATGGTCGGTAATACGGCAGCAGGATGCAACACACCTTCGCCTCGGAGGCGCCTCATAACCTTCGAGACCGAGCCAGACCGATGCAAGCTGGTCGATGTCTTGATACTCCGCGCATCATCCTGAATCGGGAACCCGGGCACCGACGTCCCAAAGATCCCCCCATCCTGCGACTCGTACGACGGGAACGCGACACCGTTGCGCGACGGCGATCGCTCGTACTCCACACTGTACGTCGGAACCTCGGACTGGGCCGGCGTAAGCGACATGAGGGGTGGAGCTGGCTGTGCCGTGCGCTTGACAGACAACGAGTTGGGGCGATCAGATGCCATGGAGCCTGTCCGCGTGGAGGAGAAGTTGGAGGAAGTCAGTGCTGTGTTGGTTTGAAGCACGCTGAAGGACGGGCGCCGCGGCTCGCTCGTGGCTGTCTGGGAGATGCTCGGTGCAGAGCTACTCGGTGCGCTGCTGGATGCGGAAGCGACGGAGGAGAGGGGGGCCGCGAGGGTGTTCTTCATCCGCGAGAAGATGGACGTCACGAACGACTGGTCGTGTTCGTCCTCCTCGGAGAATGGGTTAAATGAGGTGAGGCTGGTGACATCGTCAACAGCGAGTCGAGTCGTGCTGCTTCGTGAGCGAGAGGATGTGGCGCTGAATGTGCCTATGGTGGGCGACGACGACAACACCTGAGGAGTTTCCATGGCCTGCTATAGGAAAGAACGCGCTATCTTGGCTGGATGGAAGTCATAGGAAAGGCTAGCAGGCCGAGTCCTCATCAGTGTTCACATCACGCCGCACACGTGCCGACAAATTCGGTTTCCTTCTCGCCGCTTCGAGCTGTCGAACCCTTTTGTTCTTGAGCGACGGCGCAACTCAACATGGAAATGTTTCTTCCAAATTGGGCGGGTCTCAATGTAAGCGCCTGGGTCTGCATCAAAATTCTGCGTGCAAATGGTTTTCAACTGGCTTCGCAAAATGCGCAAATAACTTTCTGCGACAGATTGCGTCAACGAGACGAGGATGAATCGCTCTCGATTCCATCTGCGCTGCTTTCCTTTCAGAAGGGAACCTCCCCTGTCCAACCGCTTGCGCTGTTGATATTTCGGCCTCATCTTATTTGCTCTCAGGTGCCTATGGCCTATCCTGATGGGTACCGTATAAGGAATGCTCACGAACGTGAATAACAGCTCACCATTTAGCGTTTAGTTCCTTTTTCCGTCTTCTGTGTTTGTCTTCTCAATCAAACGGCTTGGATACCGAACCATGAAAATCGACGGTCCTGCGTCTCAGTGCTCCCCATTCCCCTGTCTTGAAACTTGCTCCCCATCTTTGCTCACTCGCCTATCCAGTCCTTCTTTCCTCCGCTTATCTGTCCTGATTGCTGTCCCTCCTGATACCTGCTCACCGATCTCGCCTCTCCAATGAACTGCCTGCTTTCCATATTCTTGCATGGCATCATATTCCTCAGGTTTCCGATGCTCGCTTCGTTCCATTTCTGGCACACGCTTAATCGATCGGCGCGGTGCGCGTTCACTGCTTGACGACAATCCATCAGAGCATGGTCACCCGACTGCGACTGTTCCACCGAGACCCAGATCACCAGTGCTATTGCCAAGACATACATAGATGCACACCAGGGGCCTCCATGCCGCTCTTTGCTCAGCTGTCTGTGTTGTGAGAAATGCAGCCAACCACGACCGGCGGATGGCTCACGACTTTTTCGCGTTGACATGGCAATTGTGCGCGCTCTCGCCGAAGAAGTCTCTCGCATTCGAGGCGGAATGGACTCCTGCGGGCAGAGTGTCCAACTTGCGTTCGATACTACCAGGAGACTCGAGGAGATTACTGTTTTGCCCGCCTGGACTCATCTGCGGTGGTGTTCTGGAACTGTAAACGGCAAGGCTCCTGCTGCACTTCATTGCCCGTGTTCGTTAGCGAGTCCCCTCAGAAGGAGGTTAATGATTGTCTTGCTCTGATAATTTGTCGTCGAGGGAACCATGCGTCGGCCGTCGAAGCGGTCTCCACTCACCGCGGCATTTCCGTGCCGCTGAAGGCTGCCCGTTCCGCAGAACAGCCCATGACGGATGAAGAAAAAGCAACTGGTTCAGGCCATTAGATCAAAGAAAGCCCGTCACGACGTGCAAGGTCAATCAGGCCGTCACTTTCTCAATATCATTGCGCCGCAGCTGCGATCCGGATACCTCGGCTTCCTTGTATTGCTCAACACCTCACCCTCGCATTCCTCTCCCGAGGAGACTTATGATCGACCACATGCTGAATTCAATCGGTTGCATCTCTGAGAGGGCGCACGACCTGTCTGTAGGGTCTCAACCGAAGTAAATGCACTCGTTCATGTATCACTCGCAACTCTTACCGTTCTCGCTGGCGTCAGGCAGAATAAGTCACCATCACGTGCTATTATTGGTTCCGTGACGGAGCGCGTTTGTGACCCTCAGATTCCCAGACATAATCAAATGAAAGTTGGGAACCGTACTGCACGGGGACTGGGAGCAAATTCGGAAATCAAGACAGGTGTGTAGAATTGTCGTTTTTATGTATCGACTGCTTACATATATGATCTACGGTTAACATCCGTCCTCCGACTCAGCGTCCGCTATGGTTTCATTCGCAGAGTCATGGGATAACCTCGATGAGACGCGAGAGGAGGCTTCATCAATCTTGGGTCTCTTGCGGGAGCCGTCCGAAGGTCCGCGCCGTCGTTTGGGAGACGACGTAGTCGGCAACAACGCGGACTGCGTGGGCGGTGCCGGATCTGGAGGCAACGCAACTTCGACTGAGGCTGAGGGACGCCTGCATTCAAGCTCCTCCAGCTCGCGGATAGCAGCCTCCAGAGGCTCCAGGAACGCATCGTAATCCTTGTTGACAACGGCTGGGTCAAATTCGTGTAAGAGCTTCGTCCGCGGAACCTTGCCCTGCTCCATCTGGAAGACGGTGAGATCGACCATCCGCAATCGTTTGCTGAACACATCGTCGTAAAGCATCGTTGTCAGCCCGAGGAGAATCTCCTGCGTCGCTGAGTCCGTGAACCGAGTGATGAGTTGCCCGTAAGGAATACTGATGAGCGCACGTTTCACGTCACCCAGTGCGAAGGGCGAAGTAAATGGATTCATCATCTCGTTCAAGCGCTGCGGTAGCTGGACCAGCTGACGGCCTTGCGAATCATGCCCACAGAGGACCCAAATCAAAACATAGAGCATGGATTCGAGATCGTCCAAGTGATCGTGATAACCAACGTTCGGATGACACAACACCCGAATAGATTGGAAGGCCCGGGTGCCCTGCAAGGGGCATCAGGCAAGAACGGACGGAATCAGCAACAGAAAAACGCACTGTTCTTACATCCCCGCTGGTCTTGGCGCTCAACAGCAGGTCGACGATCCTCTTGGCCATGTCAAGATCGATGAGGGCGCCTTCGCCATGCTCGCTGATGGACGAAAGCAGCAAGTTGTTGCCACTGATATCACGGTGCAGAATTTTCTTCATAAGCAGCAGATCACGATGACCTGAGACGCCGACTCAGCAGGAACCAAAGATATGAGACGATAGAAACACACCGTGCACAATGTCCCGAATAGCACGTAGGAGCACCAGCGCCGTCATGGCCTTGTTGAGCGATGGTCCGTACATATGCAACACAAGGGAGATCGCGACGCGGTCTAGAATGTCTAGGGCAGCCAGGGCGGCTCTCTCCTCGTCACCAACTAGGCGGTCATCGAATGTACTCCTCGTTGGCTCTGAGTAAGCATATAACTGGCCCAGGCCCTTGATGTCGGTGGCATCCTTCAGATATTCGGCTTCAGACGCTCGTTGCATGGCAGCCCAATACTTCTTCACCAAAAACTCCTCCTCCGTGAGCGGATTGCGGACTCGCCAGCAGACCGTCCCCCGTGAGCGGATAGTGTAGCGATGGAACATAGGCTTGGGATCGAGTGTTGCTAGGCCACTGTCCGCATCGAGAATCTCGAACTCTAATGTCGCGGCGGGCCCGTACCACCGTTGGTTCGCGCCACAGGCATCGTCCCGGACCTGGGCGTCCACCATCTTCATCAGGCGCTTGTTGTCCTTCCAGTAGATCGACGTGTCGTAGCCCATGAGTGATTCGTCGAGTGAGGTGAAGAGGGACACGAGCTTGATGAACAGCAGCGGCTGCCGGTGAAAGTTGAAGGGCGGCGAGTAGTGCACACCGGAGCGGTCGAAGCGGATAGGGCGCAGGGTTTTCTGCGTCATAAGAGGGACATAGACGAACGACCGATTCGCTTGCTGCACGAAGACCTCCCTCGCGTAGACAGCGACCTGCGCCTTCTCCTTCTCCGTAAACTGCACACCCTTCTTCATCTCGATGGGCGTTCCGACCTGACTGTAAGCCGTTCTACCCAGAAAGGTCTCCTCCTTCGCCGCCGCGGGGCCCACCGTCAGCACACTGAGGTCAGGAGCAGTCTTGATATAGCCTGCCTCGCCGTCACCGTAAAAATCAGAGTTCGTGACTTTATGAACCATCCGGTCCTTCGACGTGTCGCGAACCACGCGTTTCTTAGCACGGGTTCCCGCCTCCGTCGAATCGCACTGGGCGTGTCCCAGTCCTTCGATGATGTCGTTCAACACCTGGATGGTCGGTTCGTATAGCTGGTCCTCAGCGGAGGTTGAGGAAACAGCAGCGATGGCGACCCAGCGCCCATCCCGGTACCCATCGTAGCTACCGAGCCAGTTCTGCGCCTTGTCATGCAGGTCTCGGTCGTATTCATCTGCCTTGACCCCAAGCAGAGTATGAAATTCTGCGTGCTCGAACCACGCGCCAGTTAACTCCTCCATGATCGTCCGTTTCAAGTCCGCCACGACTTTGTTGACGACTGTGCTGCTCGTCACTGACTTGTGGGGGGTACTCGGGAAGGTGATATCAGTTCGCCCAGAAGGAGGGCTGGCCGGAGGAGTCATAAAGGAAGCGTGTTGGAAAGGAATTGAAGGGGTAGACGCGTTCGTCGACATGGCGGAAGCGAACGATCTCGGCGTGGTTGGCTGAAAGACCATTTGGCTAAGGGAACTCAGTGTGACGTTTCGATATATCCACGAGCAGACACACTCTTGTTCGCTATTTCTCATCGATTCAATAGTGCTCCTAAGTCGCGACCTATTGAGCTGGGTCGGTGACTCGGGTGAGGGACTCTCCGAACGATGAGAGGAAAGCCTGTTGACCGGCGCGCCGGCAGCCGAGAGCTTTGTTTTCGGCGCTGTATGTTGGATAGGAGTGAGATCTTTCATTTTAGTGAAGAGCAATATCGTGCACTAACCGTGGCGACACTATTATAGGTCTGCGTAGGATGAGAACAATGAATTGCTGAAGCTGTGGCGGTGCTATGAGGCTTTGACCTTCTTCGATTGTTGGCATTGCAATTGATGTCACCGTCTCAACAATACGTTCTCAGTCTTGCTGCATGAAAGAAACCTGCACAAATCCTGAGCTTGTCTCCGTCAGCTTCATACTCGAGATACCGGAGGTAGCTTCAGTGGGACTTTTTTCTTCATCCAAACACCTCGACCAGGCAGTACGAAAGTTCACGGCGCGAGGTGGCCTGTATCTTTCAATAATACTTAAATCCCGGTTTCAGCTACAAGATCTGTAGGGCTTCGTCGACTGGAGCTTTCGATCACACTCAAGCACTGCTCACCACGTGATGTGACTGAACGTGTATGTGACTCGTGTGCTTGAAGAGGATCTACACGTGAGGGAAAGAGCTGGTCAAGAAAGAGGGATCTAGCAGTCACTCGATGAAATCTCCGCCGTTCCTCTATGAATTTGATTCGGCATGAGATTTCACGAGTTGGACATGAGATTAAATGATAAGACCTCTCAGCTTGATGTGGCTCGCTGGCTGTCGCCCTCTCGAATTGCGACCACCACAGGAACTTGCCCAGATCAAGCCATAGGGGTCAAATTCGAGATCTCCTTTCTAATCGTGATAACTCATAATGAAGGGTTTACGTCATCAATAACATGCAAAGGCCGGGAGCATTCTTATAATTAATACTGTATACTGTGCCGTTGCACCGTCTTCAGGGCCCTCGGCATCCACAACTTTTGCGGATGGCTCGGTTCCTTGAGGTATTGTGAGCCCTGCTTGTCTTTCCCTGAGTGCATCTTCTGGGGCTAAAAAATCTATGACCTAACTCCTACAGCCTCAAAAATGGACTGAGGCAGTTCTTTTCGAGTTTCTCATCGCTTGCAGCAGCTTCTGTCCACAGCCCATCCTGGTATCCGTAGGAGCTCTTCAGCCACGTGACGGCCCTCGCGTGCCATGGCCCCCCGCATGCACCGATCGCGTTTGAGACAGATAAGTTAAGGAGGAAATCGAGAAAACAATGTTAGCTGCGTGTACTGCGAAGGAGTCGGAAACTGAGAGCTACAAGTACATATGGAGAGATGATACAGTATGATATAATAAATAAGTCGCGAACTGTTTTACACGTCCTCCCAGGGCCGTTTCATCGGCAGGGAGTAGGGGCTTGACGAGGATGACGAAGCCGGATATGCGCTACGCCCCTGCCATGACGCCGAATCGTTCTGAAGCTGCTGGCGTCGACCAGCGAGTGTGAGAGGGACGCCCGTAAATCCGGCATTAGAGTAGGATGAATATTCGGGGACCTCGTAGCGCGAAACAATCCTTTGCTTCTCCTCTTCGACGGCCTTCTTCACAGCCCTCTTCTCCTCCGCACGTTCCAGCTCCTGGATCTCCTCGATCAGCCGCTCATTCGCGAACCGCAGCTGCGACAACTCATACTGCCAGCTCTCCCCCACATTGGGATCGAGCCGGTGAAACGGATTTGCGTTTGGCGAGGGCCGAGGAGGACACGAGGCGAGATAAACGCCGTACATCAGCTGAGCAGGCGCAACCGCACAGGGCAGCGGAGTGCGTTCAGCCGCTGGAGCGACGAAGCGAACGATGGCGGAAACAGGACCGTTCTTGCCTTGCAGGATGCACTGGATCTGGCGAATCCCATTCGGAATTTCCTGCCGCCATGCAGCAAGGGTGCTCTCAATGGGATTGGACGGTGCATGGGAATCCACGACCAGGGCACCGATTCTGGTGCCCCGGATACTTGCTGGCTCGAGGCCGAGCACGGTATTCGCTCCAACCCCAACGGAAAGCAGCAGCCCATACGGATCCATGACACCATGAAAGGCGGTGGGGAGAGTGGCGCTGGGCAGCGGCGAACTGACCGGGCTCGTACTCGCACCCTGGCCAGATGTCAATCGATAAGCAACACCAACCAAGTTATCACTCGCCTCGATCCTCGCCCTCTTGGGCTGCAGCGCCCATTCAAGGCCACTGCCCGAGCCCGTCGGCGATCCTGAAACATGTCGCGCTTGACGCGAAATGGGTGTAGGAGTTGGCGGCGTTTTCTCCTTCTCCGGCGCTGGCATGTGCGTCATGCCTCGTGCACGGCCGATCAATACAATAGCTTTTCGGCCCTTGCCTGGCTCCACGTGCAATCGACCTCGACATTCGACCCAGACCCAAGTCCCTTGCTTAGTCCGGGCCCGGAATACCAAGTCAACCACACGCAATGCTTCGGATGAAGTGCCACCAAGCGCTTTATCACCAGCCCAGCCTTCTGCAGGCAAACTGGCTTCTTTGAGAGCCCGTCCAACTGTAGGACTTGAGATGCAGGCCTTTTGATAATTAAAAGTAGAACGCACCGCTGACCACATCCCTCGAGAAACAAATATCCTCCAAAGACCGCCCCACCAGTTCCGTTGGCGCCCATCCAAGACAACGCGTCACCGCCGGCGAAACATATAGGAACGCGCCCTGTTGAGCTTGAGAGGAGGAATTATAGAATTACGCACGCACACACACCTTCAGGCTGAGCACGTGTATGAAATCTGGCAATACGCCAAGTAGAATGGAGTGCAAAGCATGGCTGGATGGATCCGGAGGCAGTCCACCACCAGACGTGGATGGCACCAGAGCACCGACAGTGGAAACAGGAGTGGCATCCAGACTTGCCAAGAAGCGAGGATTGATGAGCAATCGGGCCAGCAGAGAAGACACGAGAGGAGCAGGAACGAGATTGGTTCTCCGCTCTCGCTGAGGCACAGATTCACTTTTTACTGCACAAAAATGTAAGCAAAAGCAAGATGGATAGACCACAAGACTGACTGCCGTCGTCCTCCATCGACGGAGCACTCAACAACGGGACACCTTTATGGTACCGACCTTCTTTGACGCGCTGGACGATGCTCTCGCTCTGCGACGTCAGATCAACCTGGAACCCAACATACCACACGACCTCTCCGTCCTGCTCCATGCCTCAAATTATCGATGAGCAAGACAACACCCTCATTTGACCGAAACACTCACCAGGAACACCCGATTCTCCGACAAGTGGTACAATAGATACAAGATTCACAAACGCAGATCCGTCACGGCGGTAGTTCACGACACTCACTTGCGATTCTTTGTGACCCCCGACAGCCTTGGCCAGTGCCCGAACAGCTACATGCGAGGTGTGGTGTCTGGGGTCTCCCTTAGCCAGAGGCAGTAGCTCGCCAGAGCTCTCCGACGTCGGCGGGGCTTGCAGAAACCGGCAGTTGCGGCCCATGACTTCCTTCTCGCTGTATCCAGTCAGAGCACAGAAACTTGGGGAGCAGTAAACGATCGGTTCATCGTGTCGGCGCACGTCGACCACCACAAACGACGTCGAGAAATCGACTGGGCCCAGCTGAATCGTCGGATTGGGCCGGGCCATAACACGTGCCAGAAGAGAAAGCGCATCAAATCCGGAACCGGAGTAAAGCGGAAGGCGAGCAGAGGCGGTAAGCGGTGCCGGTGACGTCGAGCGTGGAGCTGTCGTTAAAGCACGTGCCAGGGGGCGGCCCAGGGAATTGTCATGCGATGAAGGCTGGAACGGATTGAACGCTGTCGAGCTAGGCGACCAGCTCTCATCCGACCAGGTCCCGCTGGCGCTCGAGAGTGGCGAAGGGTTCATGAACGCCGCATCGGGGTTAAAAAATGGGGAGACAGACGTCCCGAATGAGGAAGAGAAGTTGGACAGGTTCTCCAGGCTCTCGTAGGCATCTTGCACCGCGGGCATCCCGAATATCCGCGCGCGCTCCCAATCCTCTGCATTCGCTGCCCCAGGTTGAGCAGCAGATTGATGAGCCTGGAATCCATTGTTGCGGAACCATTGTGCCGCCTGGGCTGGGTGCAGTGCCTCAGCACCACCGCCGGGAGCCAAAGTCGGTGCCGCATCATAGAGATATTCGGGGAATTGAAATTGGATGGTGCTTTGACTTTGCGGCATCTGCATCATCCCGTTGTCTTGGGAGTGGCCTTGATGCTGGGTGTCGTTCTGGTCTTGGAGAGTCTCGGGATTGTATTCGTCGAATGGGAAATTGAGGTAGGAGAACGACATTGCTTTTGTTGTAAAATAATTCGTGTGGTTCGAGGGAGCGAGTCGCAGGGGTCGATAAGCAGAGGCGCCTTCAGTGATCGTTCAGCCGAATTACGCTGGCTTCGGTTTCGCAAAGAAAGGGCGTATCGGTCGCTGCAGCGTGGCTCAACCCCAATGCCCGACCGCGCGATGTCGGATGTAGCTTCCGGTGGAGCCCTGTCTGGCAAGGGATGCTGATAGATGCTGAGCCCGCAGAAGTGTGATTTTGGTACAGCGGTAAGGGACCAAGTCTCGCGCGCAATGTAGCTGGTAGGCGGAGAGAAATGAAAGAAGAGAAGCGAACTCGACTGGGACACGGTAGACACCCACCCTCTTACGTAAAATCTCTCTTGCCTCACCGTCTCCCAATCGGGAACACCCCCTCAACTTACTTTCGCACCAGCCGCAGTAGCGACGCAACGCGGCACGCAGTGACGCACTTGTATCAATAACCTGACTGCAGACCCTGCCATTACTCGCGTCCCCCCCTCAAGAACAGCGACGGCTGGGTCAGCATCATGATGCTTATGCGACCCGGGGTGTGTGTTGGTTGCCAATAACGACTGTGGTCGAGTTCTGCCGTGTCTGCTGTGTCCTCGTTTTTCGAGTTTCTTTCCCAGAAGAGTCAGGACCCTGACAATGACATACCACCACGCCCTCCTAACCCGTGCCTTCCGTGCCAACGCCACCGTCTATTTTACTACATGTAGTGCTTTTGCTGCCAACCCGTGAGATAGTAGATGTTTATTTAGACAGTTGTACATTCGAAGAAAGTTTATTGCGGTTCTATGTGGTACCCTGACTCACGAAGGGCTCATGGTTCATGAGCCGACGAGAAAAGCACCGAGGTTGAATTATCGTCCAATCTGGCGCAGTTGATCCACGACGGCAAACACCAACTCCTCGAGCACAGTAAACGTCCAGAGCATGAACTGCGTTCGGCGATAACGATTTGGATTGTACTGTGGCGCAAAGGGAAGCTGGTTGCGTTGTCGCCGATACTCGAGAAGTCCAGTTTGAAGTGGCGAAGGATTTTGAAAGCGAGGCGGAGACTCGCCTGAGGGGACTAGATAGCAGGTGGTGCTGCTCGGCGTACAGTTCGGGCAGCGAGTTGGAGGGTCAGATCGAGTCGGGTGGGGAAAAACATAAGGAGATCATTTCTGTGGACTGCCGAATCGTGCGCATCTTTCACTATTGAGCTCCTTTCTGCTTAGAACGAGCCCTCCACGCGGCTCAGATTAACATTCCAAACAGAGGCGGCTCGGAGCCATGTAGACAATATCTGCAGGGTTGATCGATAGGCAGATGGCACGGATGCGTAGTGACCGGCCACACAAGAGTCATGCCGGCGCACAAAGGCAAGATCGACGCGGGAGGATGAGAAAATCAAATTTAATCCGAGGGCCCAGGGGCTGCTGGAAGCGACGATGCACGGAGCACTGGGCGGAAACGCGCTCCAAAGATACTTCAGGAACAGAGACGATCGATGCCTCACCTTGCAACCTATGCGTCACAGGAGCAATAGACGGGAGGGTCAGTCCGTCGGCGCTCTGTATGATCACGGGCTGCGTCAATGAACCCCAAAATATCCATTCCTTTCACTTCCTCGCAGGTTCCTCGGTGACGTTCTCACAGAAGCTTGTTGGCGCCGAAATCGCAGGAGATAGCGTCGATGGATGTCCAGTGGATCCCCGCCGCGCAACACGTTTGCGCCATCTCGGCCGTGCTCAGATAGAGGATCCAGAACTGGACTAGGACTGGAACTTCGCACCAAGGATGTGGGAGAGATTCGAGAATGAGGATCACACGTGCTCAGGGTGATGGCTACTCCCCTATGTTCATGTTGCATCTACAATGGTACCGGACTTCAGGGTATATGCGGGAGATAATCCAGTCGGATCTACAGATTGCCATTGCGACGAATGACTGCCGCGAGAGTATTATCCACGTCGGTCAGGCTAGTCTCCTTGCGGAAGACCTCCAGATAAACATCTTCTTCGACAGTCCCTGTCTCAGTGCCTAGACCGTGTCGTGCGACATGCCAATACTGCGGATTTTGACCCCGAGAGAATATTTCCGTGATATTGGGCTCCCTAAAGGGTTTGGTGAGAAGGGATCAAGCAGCATGTATGGATTTTACCTTCCATGCAACAGCTGGCGTGCATTGTACAAGTGCCCAGACCGAGATTGGAAGTCTGTGCTGGGAATGACAAGACTTGAAGTTGTCAAGACAAAGCGGTCTCTGGGTTGCAAGATCATTGTGGCAGATGGCACGGAGTCCGTCGACCTGGAGGCGGGATGTGAGTAAGAGGTACGGAAATCTTGCTTTCAGACCCTACTTCGTCAATGGCTCGTCATTAAGCCTGGTGTATAGAGAAGCTGCCAAGGCGGCAGCATCTTCAGCAAGATCGCCGGCTTCTTCTAGGCCTATCAAGCACACTAGCACGCGACTCCTCTGATCGCAATTGAGAAAATAGTCCCCCGAAAGAGAAATGGGCACTGACTACAACGTAAAAGAGTTTCTTCTTTACGGTATCATTGGGGTCTTGGCCACTAGCAAGATAGACGCTTGTGGCTGAGAACTCGATAGGCTCTGGTCGCGTCTGCTCTTCAAATTGATTCGCAGTTTCGTCAATGGGGACGGAGATTGTATCGATGACGTCTCCCGGTTGTTCTGCTGCATCTTCATCGTCTAAGGTAGGCTTGATGGTTTCAGAAATGGAAGCGTCATCGAAGCTCTTCTCGAGCGGCAAAGGGAGCTGTTCAGATTGTATAGCATCTTCGAGGGCACTCCGGTCAACGTCAAAGTCGGTCGTCTGCTCCAGACGCGGAGTATCCAACGGGAAGGTCAACGGATCACCCTTGTCCTCGTTTCTCGGAGTAACCGCAAACAGATCGGGTGGTTTCTTCCCTCCTTTTCCAAACGTGAGATAACCCGGCCAATTCCATTTCGGCATATCCATTCGCACATCCAAATTCATCCCGAGGAAGGTCTTGCTGTTCTCGTCTGCGGCATCTCGGACCTGTGCAGGTTCGGGTTGCGATGAGGCCATGCTGACGTCAAGAACAGGAGGCGGGTCTGCTGGTTCTGGAACTATTGGTGGTACGAGAGATAGTATGAAAGCGGCCAAAGCAGATGGGAATGAAGAGTCGGTATATCGTGTGGAAGTTATAATGAAGGGGGGAGACACGGCAATGGGCACCACTTCATTTGGTAATCGCGACGAGAATTCATCCATGATTGAGGAAAGCGATATCTGTAGAGGATGACGGGATGGGCCTTGACATAATGAGAATATGCTGATTGCGGGAGAGATCACGACGCACCAAGCAGTTGTCCAAACTCCGGTCCATCGTCTAGGTCCCAAGACCATGCCCAGACGGTGAAGAATCTCTCTAGTTGTAGTTCCAAAGCTTCTCGACCGAGGGAAGAGAGAATGGATGCAAAAGAGCCGTGTTTCAGCTACGACCATTGAAATGCCCGCTCCGAGGAAAGAAAGCGGAGTAAGTGCGAACCTTGAACTTTTCGTATCCACGGAGGATGTCAGCTCTGACGGCCACATCGTAAGCCGAGTAATCATGATAATCGAACACTGTTGGCGTGTCCGCCTTTGGCTTTTCCTTCTCCTTGCCCTTGCCCTTAACAGGTTTTGGGGTTCTGGCCATTTCTATACCCTGGAACCTAACTGAATCAACGTGCGAGGTCAGATTTTGAGAAAGCCCGACTCACCGCGTGTATCCAATAGTTCGGTTCGGGTTGCACCATGGTGAGTCGTTTCGTATGTGAATGCACATTATCGCAAGGTCCATCGACGCTCAGAATTCTGGATAGCGAGGAAATTAGGCGTGATGTTCCAACACGAGAGCTGTTGAGGTGCATACTCGGAAAAGCTGATCAGTGCCTTAGCCAGTCCAATCTGCCTGAGCATTCTGTCACGCGAGACCGCTCGTTCTTTCGCAGTATAGAACAAGATATGGGCCTGTTCCTCAGCGTCTTCGTCGTCAGGAGATGCATTAGAGGCAGGCTTGAGGGTCGGATTGTAGATAGTGAGATATAGCAGGTTCGCAGCGTTCTCACACATTGGGGTGACTGGCGAGACGTGAAACCATAACCCCAGCTCATCGTGTACGTAAGTGAAGTGATGACATAATATCATGGTCATAATCATCAATAGGCCATCATCACCCCCCTTGCAGTCGATCTCCCAGGCCTCACCCATAGGCCTTGGAAGCTTTGCCTTGGTCGGACGCTCAATTCAGTAGATTCAAATCTGCTTTTCTGCTTGTAGGCTCCAGGAGCTAAAATGGATCCTGAGCGCTGAAGTGAGGCCCTGACACTGCTTAGGCGGGTGCTCGCATCAATTATCTGCGCTGCTCGGGTTAGGGTCTCGACTCACCATAATCGTTTCTGAGAGGCTGTCTCATACACTGATGTCAGCCGCCGGTTCCCAAGAAAAAGAAAAGGTCCGCACTCAGATTGGCACTAGAACGACATGATGAACTCTCTACCTCTCATAGGGCAATGCAGCCTTCAAAGCTGGTGATTTCCCAGCCGCCATCGGCCACTACAGTGCAGCAATCCACGCGAACCGCACTGACGCGACTTTCCCACTCAATCGCGCTGCTGCATACCTCAAACTCGGAAAGTACGCGAAGCAAACCTGTCAGGTTTGTCCAATGACGCCTGATCCAGTGCAGGAATGAAGATGCGGAACGAGACTGCTCGACTGTGCTTTCGCTGAGCAAAGGCAATGTGAAGGCGTTTTTTCGGCGGGCGCAAGCACGGACTGCAATGGGAAAGCTCGAGGAAGCAAGGGATGGTGCGCCCATCGAAACTGGATGGCTTGTAACATCTTCACAATTTTATCAGATCTAACCGAGGCGAGCAAACGAGAACCTGAAAATGAGTCGGTGAAGCAGGACTTGAAGAAAGTAGAGCAGCTTCTCCGAGATACTGTGTCCAAAGTAAGTTTCCACTCTTGTACGATCTTGTCCTCATGCCAGGTTTGAAGTCATCTGCATCCAAAGCGCCAATCGATATCACTGTACCGTCAGCAAAAGGTCGGCGAATACCAATAACTATCGTGGAAAAGGATGGGACTCGAAAGACGCTTCCGGTACCTGGCACACAAGATCACGCGACTCCTCCGGTCACAAAACCATCCCCCATTGTCGCGCCCAAAGCCACTGTCGCAGCGAGGCCAACTCAAGGCAACAGTGACCAGGACATGCTCAGCGCAGTCTCCTCTCGTTCTCTGAGTGGAGCATCAGCATCGGGCCCAAAGCAGTCGTCTCCCCCAGCTGCATCGGCGCCTCTACCGAAGCCCCAGGCGCCGCCGAAACCGCAGCCCATGTATACGACGAAAACGGCAAGCTCATTCAAAGACGCGAAGGCCACACGGGACACCTCAAAACCCAGCCGAATGATTGTGGGGGGTGGGATATTTCGTGCTTCTGGAGAGAGCACGGTCATACCGGAACGAGTGCTGATTGTGCCTCCCACTGGAGAGAAGAAAGTGCCTTCTTCAAAGCCGAGCGCAAATACGCCAGAACCTTCGTCGTCATCAGTGTCCAGGCCGCCGCTCGCGACCAGCAAGTCTCCGATGACGCTGTTCGACTTTACCCGATCATGGGAGCGAGATCCGGACCACGCAGCCCGATACGCATTGCTTTCTGTATGACCGAATCCAATCATTTTCCTTTTTCACTCATCATGTCGCCCAGGAAATCCCGCCCTCTGCTATTCCATCCCTTTTCCAGACTTCTCTTGAGCCAGAAACATTTTATGAGATTGCGGAAACCCTTGGACAAGCATCGATTGACCAGGATGTCGCCAAGGCCTACTTGCACCAACTGGAACAAGTGCCAAGGTTCGGAACGGTCGCGAGATTTCTGAGTGCCAAGGAACGCGCCCGGATACGGGATATATGGAGCTCGCTGGGTGTCGGGGAGAAAGACCAAACGAGGAGGCCTGCTGAATTGGCCGAGGTTTGGGACTTTGTCTATAGATGATGGAAATAGAGCAGTCAGTTGTGCTGCGGTTGAAATTTTCGAGGCAGAAAGCAACGCCAAGAGAGCTGGGTTCACACAATTCACTGGATCTATTGTCCATACTTACTGAGCTCACGAATCAGCTTTTGTTGAGGACCACTTGATTCTTCTCGCCAATCCGAGTATCGCATTCTCTCGGCAGTGTTGTTACAGATGGAAAACACCTTGGAGAATCCGGTCCAGACAATCTTGATGCTGACACCACCAAACAACAAACTTTAAGTACCAGTCGAGCGTGTGTAGCCCGGATTTCGGCTATGTAGTAACGTACGTGAGGGATATGACAAAATGTTGCCAACTATCGAAGATGAAGCGTGCGTCTACCATACTATTACGGGGGTCAACATACACATCAAGGCCCACTGTCTGGCCATTCTTGGAGTATGGCCGAGCTGCTTTCGTTAGATTGAACCCTGCATCGAGGCTTTGGCGTGTCAGGTCGAATGCCCAGAACTTTCGGCTTTCCTTGTAAGGTCATATACCGGTCAAAGCGCCGGAATCCATGTCTGGGCCGAAGTCCGATCATGATGTCTTACTTCCCACTTTTCTTTCTTCCGTCCACTTCCGGCGGTACCAACACACCACCCACCCCTAATCACACCTCTTCCTGGGGAGATGACACTCCCTCGCTCCGCGGGCATCGACGCACAGCTTGTGCACATCCAGAACGCACTCCGTCATTATGCTGCTCGGCGGTGTCCCGCGCGTCGTCTCCCCACCGAACTCTGGGATCTCATCTTCCAATACGCCGTCTCCGCTACCCCAGAGCCCAGTCTTATGCAACCGCCCCTGAATGCGTCTCAGGTCTCGCGTCGCTGGCGGGCCATTGCGCTCTCGAGCCGAAGGCTGTGGGCGGGCCTTGCTGTCACGGTCACCCAACGGCATACTTCGGACAGCAGGGCACTGGAGGCACTGCACAAGATTGTTGGGACGTGGCTGGCTCGTGCAGGCAGGAGGCCACTCGCTATTTACCTGGTACAGGGCGAGGACATCAAAGACACGAGTCCAGTCTCGCTCCTGTTGGACGCTGTTCTCAGACAGTGCAGTGCCCAGATCCTCAGCCTGTCCCTTCAAGCGCCAGAGACTTGTCTCTTGCCCCTCGCATCATATACGGAATATCTGCCCTTGCTGGAACATTTCAGTGTACAGTCATCTTTTTGGCCTCATTTGACGGCACCGGAACTTGTACTTGCCTTGAGTGGGGAACAAACCCCACGTCTGCATGCGTTGACCCTCTATTCTTCCCCATTCGATGTGCTTCCCTCCACAGACGTGACGCAACTCACCTCCATCACGCTGCTCCCTAGCACGGGTGCGCCGGGCCACCTGTTCCTCAGCGCAGACGATGTGCTCGACTGCCTGGCATCCGCTCCCCATCTCCACACAGCTCGCTTTGCCCTGAACGACTTCATGCCGACTCGCCTCACGCTGGTCCGCGCAGGCCTGCTTCGCGTGTTACGGCTCGAATTTCGCGATTCGGTTCCGGCCAGCACCAACGGCCAATTGCGGGGAACACGTATCGGTGCCTTGCTGAGTCTGCTGTATGCGCCGGAATTACAGCGCTTCGCGCTGCGGGATAGAGCGAAGCCTGGCGCTGGCGCGTGGGCGTGGCCTCAAGCTCAGTTCCTCGCGTTTCTCTCGACGACGCCCTTCCTGCAGGCTCTGCACCTCATCCATCTCCCTCTCTACGAGACCCAGATCATCGAATGCCTGCGTCGACTGCCGCTAGTCCGGCACCTCGTTCTCGAAGCCCGAGCCGGGAAGGGGTCTCAGCGGAATGTCGGGGACGTGTTATTAAGGGCGCTAACTGTCGGATCGGGTGCGACTCTGGCCGACGCTCTTCATACACTGGAATTCCGCCACTGCGGAAAGCGGTGTACCGAGCAGGCGCTGATTTCAATGGTCGATTCAAGGCTTGTGCTCGGCCGCCTGGGGTATCTGTGTGTGCATCGTTCTGCGGGGCCCAGTCCAGAGCTGGTGAGCAAGCTTGCGGCGTGGAGGCTTACTGCAATGGTCGATGTAGTCTACTAGATCCGTGCTTGGATATGGTAATGTCTTGTACTAATCTGTTATACTCGTATAAACAGCATCTGTAATTGTACCCAGAGTATAAATTTCTGGGGACCTATAATGGTTCTCCTCCGGCTCAGTGCTCACTAAAGCTCAATGGACACATAAACACCTTCAAAACAGTCACGGGATATGCTTACTCGCAAAATAACTTTGACCAGCTCAGACTCAGAACAGATTCCGGAGCGTACATAGCACTTGAGAGCGAGACGGATCTGGCCGGCATGGGAGCACGTCATCGAGGAAGGCGCGTGGAGGACATGAATCAGGCTGCGGCCCTGCGGGTAGCCGCGAGGAACAGTCGTTATCTAATCCGTGATGGGAGATCATAGCCAACACCATGGCGCATATTTGTTGAACGTTGACGACCACGGCGACCCGGGGTTCTCTTACATTGCACGTCCAGTTCTCATGTCGAAAGAGTGAATGCCGAACCCAACTCCGAATTCCTCTTCATTTCTGACTACAAGGTATGTAAGGAAGGATTATATAGTACTAGCGGCGCAGTAGCTGTGGCCGCAGTTAATCAGATCCCCTCCCATGTGCCATTGGAGAGGGCGGGATCCCATTTATAAAAGGGACCGTGCCAAGTTCCCGCAGTCTCTACCCGAATCTTCCTCTTTCCATTACCATGAGCGACTCGAAGGGTGCAATCAGACTGCCTGTCTACACTGACGAGGCTGTCCCAGAGCGTCCTCACCACACTTCCAAGTGGATCAAATTGGGCAAAGTCTGTCTTATCTCTCTGGTTGCTTGGATGTTCTTTTCCAGTGCCGCCACGAGCGTGTTCTCGGGTGTTTCGAACTTGCTCAGTGTAAGATTTTCGACTCCGCACTGCTAGATGGATCCTCTTACTGAGCTGCCTGCAGGGCGAGTACCACTACCCCATTCCATCCGATATCACCACGTCCGACTGCGTATCGTCCTGGGACGTCACCACGCCCCACCCGTCGCGACCTTGGGGATACCACTACACTGCGTCCGCTGAGCCTTTCAGCTTCGGCGTGCCCGAAGAGGCTCTCTTGCTTCTCTCCAAGGGGTCCCTCCAGGGCGGATCGCTGCACATCTCGGTGGGCGATGACGAAGACGTCCAGGTCCAAGTCACAGTCCTGTATTCCAACGAGGAAGCTCGGGACCTGGCGCGTGTGTGCATGATCGAGCGAGCCGACGGTGAGAAGGGCGTCGGAATCTTCGTGCGTCGCTTTTCGCCTCCTTGTCTCTGTTGTGATAGCTTATGGAGCCGTAGACACCGACGCAATCTGTATTCCCGCCTCGTCAATCCAACCGTCTGCGATTCGAAGTGGAGCTTGTCTTGCCTCAATCTGCATACATCAAGTTGCTCTCGACCGATGTCAGCAACTTCAAACAAAACGTGGACGCTCTGAAGGACGTGGTCGATTTTGGCAAAATCATGCTCCGGGGTTCCAACGGAGAGATTCGCACAGAAGTGGGTGCTCAATCATTATGCTCGACTCGCGAATTGACCGAATACCTAGGCTGTCGCGGCGGACACTGATGTTTCCTTCACTACGTCCAACGGGAAGATCAGCAGCGAAGTGAGTATCTCTCGCCTCGATGCCGATTGAGAGACGCAACTGAGGACCTTCAGCACATGACTGCCCCAGTCATCGACCTTCACTCGTCCAACGGCGCTGTTTCGGGTCGATTCTCGGCCTCCCAGTCATTCGGAGTTGTGACCAGCAATGGTCGAGTCGATCTTTCTCTGACACTCAATGCGACTGGCAGCGAAGAGCCCAAGGTCTCAATCAAGACCAGTAACAGGTGTGTCCGGTGTCATTGACTTTCACTGCTTCGGTCTCATTCGATCATCAAGTGCACTCAACGCCGAGCTGACGTTGCTTTCGCAATCCGGCTCTGGCGGCGTTTTCCCCATCCGGACGGAAACATCCAATGGTCGGCTTGACACCAAGGTCGTCGAGGCCCCAATCGACTCGGTCATCACACTGGATGCCCGGACCTCCAATTCCGCGGGCTCAATCGAACTCCCGGCCACCTACGAAGGCCTGTTCTCGATCTCCACTTCCAACGCCAAAACGTCGATGCACCGTGTGTCCGGGAACGACGAGGACCCCAAGTGTGCTGTCGCGAGCGACTGCGAGCCGAGGAAGAGACACGTCCAGACGAAGATGCAAAACAAGGGCCACGTCGCGGGGACCGTGTTTTGGGAGCAGGGGAACGAGGATCGCGGCAAGGCCACTCTGCGGACCTCCAACGGCCCGGCAGATATCTACCTGTGAACGAGCTGGCTGTTTGTACAAATGTTGTTTTTTGCGTATTGTATGTACAGATTGGCAACGCTACACTCCCTTTGCCTCCTGTTGCGCGACCTTCTCGATGGCTCGAGATACCAAATCAGCGCCGTCGCCCGTCCAGAACTGTTTCTCATGTGAACTCAGTCGGCCGAGCACGTGGTCTGCCAGATCCCCCGTCGAGCGCCCCACACCGAGGCGTATGCGGTGGAAGTCGCGTGTCCCGAGCGCGGCAATCGTGCTTTTGAGCCCGTTGTGGCCGTTGTGGCTCCCCCCGAGGCGGTACTTCATGATGCACGGCGCGTGCTCGGCGGAATCGGATATGACGATGAGCGCGCTGGGCGGGAGACCGCGTTTCCGCAGCGCTGCTGCTATTGACGGCCCGGATATGTTCATGAGAGATTCTGGATGGGAGTGGGGGTGAGCATATGCGTTCCCGCGTGGGGTGTGCACACGCACTGGATTTGTAGAGTGTGAGGGACATGGGGGTGCTACCGAGCGTGACGATGGCGTCGCCAGAGAATCCCTCTTTATCCGCGGAGAGTGTGATTCCCGCTCGCCATGCTAGTTCGTCAATCACCAGTTGGCCGACGCTGGTGGGACGAGAACATTAGTGAGTGTTCGCTCGGCTTCTTCTTGCGCACTGCACGCACCTATGCCTTGTGTTCGGGTACGGGAGGTTGCCCAGTCCCGCTACTAGTATTCTCGGCAGTGTGGACATGGTAGCTTTAGGTGAGGTCGAGGGGCGTGTTGCAATGAATCAGCCCGGCCTCGTCCCTTTTGTCATCGTCGCTCGACGGGAGCTCTGAAAACTTGCACTGCCACGATGACCCGAAATGAGTCGTTGTCATCAGATTGAGTCAGCCGTCATCCAGAATTTCCGGAGTCTCAGTCCGGCCTTCAGCCTCGCTGGTAGATTCCGTCTTGAAGCAGAGTAGCAAGAAGGAAATTCGCTATCTTCGTGGG